AACTTCGCCATGGTCTCCCGCGGGATCTACCGCTCCGGCCACCCGAACGAACGAAATTTCGAATTCCTCCGTCGCCTCTCCCTCCGCACCGTCCTCTACCTCGGAACCGAAGACTACCGTCCCAACATGACCGCCTGGACCTCCTCCCAGAACATCACCTTTCACCACCTCCGCCTCGCGATCAACAAGGAACCTCTCGCCGAAATGGACGAATCCGACGTAGTCAGAGCGCTTCAACTCATCCTCACCCCTGCGAATTGGCCGATCCTGATCCACTGCAACAAGGGGAAATATCGCGTAGGTTGCATTGTTGGGTTGGTGAGGAGGTTGCAGGGTTGGAGTCATACGAGCATTTTCGAAGAGTACAGCAGATTTGCAGGTACAAAGATCAGCGATTTGGAGTTTATAGAGGTGTTCGATTTGGACAAGGTCTCTCTCACTAGCTAGAGTGGATGTTCAGAAATACACTTCGATCCAGCTTCGAGATCGCGAGAATGGCTGCGATCGCCCCCGCAAAGCTTGTAGGATCCGCACTCTTTGCCACTGCCACATCTCCACCTTCCCAGCAGACCTAGGACACCGCACGTACTCCATCAACGTTGCTGCGCTACCACCATCGTTGTTGCTCGATGGGGTCATGTGAGTGATGATCGCAGGTTGGATGACGTTGTTGGTGTAGTCACCGAACGTCGCCCGTGTTGAGGTTCTCGGTGTCGGTGTGGCTGTGGAGAAGAGATCGAAGGGATCGCGATGGAGCGTGTCTGTGTAGGCATCGTACAGAGCACCTGCTGGTATGGACGCGTGTGACGTCTCCGTAGGTCGCTGCGAATGCCTTGCATGCCACTGGCCGACGTAGTTCCCCGCTGCTTTCCCATCAAACGTCGTTTGCCGCCGCTTCTCGCCCTCTCTCGGATCTGTCACCGCCGGACACCCAGTCAGAAGTAACCTCCCCAACCTCGGCCACGCAACCATCGTCCTGTTCGCCCAAGACACCGCCTGCACCGCATCCGCGCACACCCATCCGCACCAACTCAGATCCAACATCTCCAGCTTACCCAAGCTCCGACTGAGCTTGCGCAGAAACACCGCCGCCCGTTGATGGTCCTCCCTCTCGGACTCATCCGCCGTGGCCGAAGATAGTTGTGAGCCTGCCAAGCTGAGCGCTGTGAGGTTGGGGAGCCGTGCGAAGATGGCGTGCATGGCGGGGGTGTCCAGTGAGACAGTGCCGGCGAGGCTGAGCATTCGGAGTGATGTGCCGGATGGACCGGTGCAGAAGGTCGAGAGCATGCGAGTGATTGTTTTGGATGAGGTGGTGGAGAAGGAGAGGTCGAGAGCGGTGCTGCCTTCGCTGGGTGTGCTGGGGAGGTGGTTGGTAGGGTGTCGGTCGGGGTCGAAACTTGTCTCCCAGTCGTCTTCTGCTTCACCTGGTTGCCGTTCGTCGTTGATGTCAGGCTCGGTGGTCCTCCGCGTGTGCAGCTCGATCATGGCCTGAGCAGTCCACTCGCTCAATGGCCACTCGGTAGCAGCGAGTCGTCCGCACAGCGTCAGCATGCGCTGCTGCATGTGTATCGGCAGATACTCGAGAACCTCCCTGAGCTGCGATCGGTTCATCTCCCCGAATGCGTTCCGCTCTTTACCCTTGCCCCGATGCGGACGGTTGAGAGCATCAGCAATCACGCACAAGGTCATGTCTCTCAGCCCAAGCATCGTCTTGCTTCCCTCTTGTGCTCCTTCTCCATCGTACATCCAGCGAAGGCCTGCACACGTTGCACCATGTACCTCCCTCACACCTCGTCGACCAACTCGATCCACATCAGACCCAACCCTACTTCCACTGCCCTCTTCCCCCTCCCTGCCAACCGACGAGACCAGATCCTGCAGCCTCTGCCAATCAAAGTGACTCGCAACACCCTTTCGTATGCTCAACCGATCGAAGTCGTCACGCCACGATTCCGGTGGGATGGGACCTGCCACCTGACGCTTCAACTGACGTTCCCTGGACCGCTGATCGCGTTCGCGCTGTGCCTGTTCGGTGGACGACATGAACATGAGTCCTGTCCGTGACGACGATGATGTGACGTGCACGGGGATCGAGTGGTGCATCTTGGGTGGCGTTGCGGCGGATCCGAGAGCGAGCGGTGGCTCATGAGCATCGTGCAGTTGCGCTCGGGCTAGCTTGGCTTGGATGTTTCGACATCGTCGGAGGTCTTCCTCTCGCGCGCGGGCGAGGCGCTCGTTGACGCTGAATTTTGAGGACTCGGCGTTTGCGACCATGGTGTTGGGTTTCAGCGTGGCTACGTGTCTTTCATGGTCGGGGCGGTCCGATTGCTCAGAAGGATGGCGGTGATGGTGAATCGACAAGAAGGCTCAGTTGTGTCAGTTTTGTGGAGGATGACAGCGTTTTCCAAAAATGTACCGGTAAAAGCGCCGAACATATTCGCGACACCAAAATGTCGACTCTGCTCACTACTCAGCTCGAACACCTTCAAACGCGCAAAACATCAGCTTCTCGACAACATTGTACATTACAGTCCAACTTTCAGCATGTCAGAGCAAGGGGTATACAAACAGACTATGTACAGCAAAAGCGATGCATGTCCAAGACTCTTACGAACCGAGCATGGCCGAAAGCATACGCTTGTAATCACCGCTCGTCTCGCCCTCTACGCGGTTCTTGAGACCCTTCTTGTGGAAGAGCTGTGCATACGCAGGCTTGATGTGGCCTTCGAAGCGGGGCTTGTTCCAGTGCAGACGCGCAACACGGTAGACCAGACGCTCGTCCTTGGTGCCCATACCCTTCATGCTATCCTCCAAGAGTCGAGCGTCTCTGGTGATGCCCTGACCGTCGTGCTCTGCGCCATCGACAATGTAGCGGAGCGCATCCTGCATGTGGCCCGAGAATTCCGAGTTGATCATGGAGGAGAGCGACTTGCGGTGCCGTTGCTGGTAGGCCTGCGCTACAGCTGCGAGGTGGGGTGTGCTTCGCTGGATGAGGATGCCGCAGATGGCGATCTCGTCGGTACCTGCACCGCGAGCGGCGCTGTGCAGAGCAGCGACGTCGGCTTCCACAGCACGTGGATCGACAGGAATGTTGTCTTCCTGTCGAACACCTTGCATGGCCATGACAAACATGCGCTTGGTCTTGAACGACAGCTCGTCCTCGACCACCTTTTCGAGATTCTTGCCGTAGGTCGCCTGGTAAGCCTGTTTGAGGATGTGCATTTCCGAGTTCGTCCTGCAAAGGATGACTTCGTTGAGAAGGTCTTCGTGCGTACCTGCGCCCACACAGGCACGCTTGATGAGCCAGCAGTCGTAAAGGACAGGACCGAGCACTTTGGCACGAAGCGCGGCTTCGAACCATCCGGAGGTTTCCTTCTCGAGGACGGTAAGCAAGTCTTTGCCTACGGTTGCCTTGAATGTGTGGCGCAAGGCGTCAATCTGCCAGGCATCGAGAGGTGCCAGTGTGGCGATGAGGGCGCCTTCGTCTGTGCCGAATCCCTTGGTTGCTTTGCGGATGCGCTCTACGTCTTGAGCTGCGTTGTAGCCGGGCGGAGGCGGAGCGGGCTGGGCGGGAGGCGGAGGTGGAACGGGGACTCCGAGGTAGTAAGCGCCACCTCCCATTGCTGGCGCGCCGTATCCATGCTGAGGAGGGGGAGGTGCGTGATGGTGGTGCTGGTGGTGATGATGCGGTGGTCCAGGAGGGGCCGCATAACCGCCGCCGCCGTACGGGGCTTGTTGAGGAGGAGGTGCGCCATAGCCACCAGCATGGGGAGGAGGTGGTCCAGGTGGTGCTCCGTAGCCGCCGCCGCCGTATCCACCTTGAGGCATTGGGGGCGGAGCACCATAGCCTTGGGGAGGTGGAGCACCGTAGCCTTGAGGAGGCGGGTAAGGATTCTGTTGCCAGGACATGTTCGTAAGGGCTGTGGTTATCGAGTCGTTCTTGCCGTAAGGGACGATGGACGTGAACTGGAATATTCACCTTCGCAGCAGCAATCCTTCTTATAGACTCTGTGAGGATGCTCAGCTCGAGTAGACTTCTACCGGCAGACACGGGCCACCCAAAGAGTCAGGCTTCTCTCCACACTGTGTTCCGTTGGACAGACGGAGAACCGCTCGGAGCTGGTGCCTGACTCGCTTGGCTTGTTCATTTCGGCTCGCTCATTCCTTGGCACAATCTGTACAGTTCTGCTCTGACAGGCCTCGACAGACACAGCCCAAAAGCAGTGTACGGTTCGGCTCTGCCGCCCTGTTGCTGGTGGCGCTTAATTTGCCAAAGACGCGAGGCGGTGCTTTTGACTGCACAGCGTACGTCACTTGACACTTCTCGTCACGGCGCAAATTGGTCGCGTAAATTAACGCTCAAATGAGCCACGATCTGACACACCTTGACTTTCTCGAACAGACTCGGTATCCGTGCACGATGGCGACACAACCTTGGCGGCTCGTGTCGATCCAGGGTCCTTTGTCCACCTCGACCTCCTCCATACAGGTCTGCCATCTAGAGGCATACATTGCACTGCCAACATGGGTCTGGACGCTAAGCTACCCCATCCGATCAGTGCTAGTCACTCTTCCGAGCTCCATCGTCACGTCGAAACTCTACCGCTGCACCGATACACAAAGCGACGAGCAGCCAAAGATTTCCTCAAGGGCATCGCCATCGCTCTCCTCCTCCTCATCTTCCTTTCCCACTCCAGCAAGAGCTTCGACTATGCCCATGACCTCGCCTCCGGTGTCTGGCGATGGCCGTGGTCCCCACGCCCGATCAAGACCAACATCATCCTCATGATCAGCGACGGTTACGGCCCCGCCTCCGTCACCTTCACACGTCACTTCCACCAAGCCCTAAACAACGACACCGACTTTTCGAGTCTGTTTCAACTTCCGCTCGATACCATCATGGTCGGAACACATCGATCCAGATCCTCTTCCTCGCTCATCACCGATTCTGCAGCTGGCGCCACCGCGTTCTCGTGCGCAAAGAAGTCGTACAATGGAGCTATCGGTGTGACGCCAGATGGCAAGGCTTGCGGGACGGTGTTCGAGGCTGCAAAGAGGAAAGGACTGTTGACGGGGGTGGTGGTGACATCGAGGCTGACGGATGCTACGCCTGCCGCGTTTATTTCGCATGCAGCGTCGAGGGCGGAGGAGCCGTTGATCGCTTCGCAGATGATTGGAGGCGACAAGAATCCGTTGGGGGAGAGGACGTTGGATTTGGCTATCGGTGGTGGTGGATGTGCCTTCCTGCCCAAATCCAGCAGCGTTTCTTGTCGACAGGATGATGAGGATACGGTGAAACACGCAAGACAGCTCGGATGGGAAGTGCGTGTCGCATTCCCTACCAACACTTCCCTCGATCAGTCATTCGAACAATCGCGAATCGATGGCGACGTCTTTGGCATCCAAAGCAAATCTGAACCACAACTTCCCTTCATGGCGCTACTCTCTCCCGGCAACACCCCATACGAGATCGACCGGGTCAACATTCCGGCACCTCTCCCACTCAAACCTCTCTCACACTACGCCCGCAAAGCCCTCGACCTCCTCTCTAACTCCAAGCAGAACCAGAAAGGCTTCATCCTCATGATCGAAGGATCGCAGATCGATCTCTGCGCTCACAACAACGACCCCGCCTGTCACGCACGCGAAGCCCTCGCCTACCACGACACCATCGACCTCGTCAAGAAGTTCGTCGAGCAACACACTTCCAAGACCGAACGCACGCTGCTGATCTCGACGTCGGATCACGAGACCGGCGGTGTGACGCTGGGTAGGCAGCTCTCGGAAGACTATCCCAACTACGCGTACTATCCGGAGCGGCTGTTGAACGCCAAGCATTCCACGCCGATCTTGACGGCTGTGCTGATCGATTTCGTGCGCAACGAGAGGGAGCGTATGCAGGGTGGTGGTGACGGGGGTGGGAAGGTGAGTGAGAGTTTGGTGAGGGACTTCATTCGCGAAAAGATCTTGGGTGGTTCCGGACTCGGATTCGAAGGTGATGGTCAGGGTGGCAAGCCGACAGCTGAAGAGGTGGAGAAGGTGTGGAAGGTGGTCAAGCAGGAACTTGTGAATTCGGACAGGATGCAGCTTGTCTGGGCGAGCGAGTATTTGAAGCATTCGCATTCGACAAGTCATCACGGTGAAGCATCAAGGCAGCCTGCTAGCATGGCTCCGGTGCCGGGGGTCAATTTGGACGGCATCCGCAGAGTCATCTCCGACATCGCTGCGAGAAGAGCCGAAATCGGTTTCTCTACTAGCGGTCACACGGGCATCGACATCAACGTCTACGCCCACGGCGCCGAGGTGCATAGACTCGTCGGCAACCAGGACAACACCAACATCGGTGTCGTCATTCGCGACATTCTAGATCTCGATCTCGATGCTGTCACGAGAGATCTCAACAGGAACTGAGAAACCCGCCCTTGTCTGCCATGCCTAGAATCTCAACGTCATCACTTCACCGCTGCATCGTTATTTCACCACGCAACACGCACGCTAGCGAGACCAAGTGTGTTGAGAACCGATTCGAGGGATTGCTGGGTTTCGAATGTTTTTGGGTAGGTACATGATTGATGACGATATGTGGTGTTGTTAAGGGAGAGAGAGATGAATCCATGAATCCAACTCGCTGATCCTACATCGGTCGACTGAGAGGAAAAAGTATACAGAGAAAGAGACAGTCGACGACGAGGGGCAGCGAGCTTTGAATAGAGACACCGAATCAGAGTCGATTGAAGAGCGCACGAAGCTCCACGAGGAGAAGAGATGGACCAAACTTTCTCGCTACCAGCCCAGCAAAACCCTATAGAACCAACTGGTGACGAGAAGTTCAAAATCCATCCCTTCGCTCGTCGATGCGTGCTTGTGCGCTGACTGAAGTTCAACCGTTTTTGAGCGATGCATCCAACGACACGGCCAAATGATATGTAGATGGTCGAGAGCCGCTGAATGGCAAAAGTGTAGGGAAAATGACGGACAATGCAAATGAGATGATACACGACGAACGAGAACCGAAACGCGAAACAAGAGACACTACGACGTGGTTTGAATCACATCACAGCGCCAGCTTGCAGACGCGCTTAGTTCATTCGGCGGACGAGAGCGTTGATAGCCTCGCCACGGTCACCAGTGTTGCCGCCCTCGGTGTAGTGGGTGAGCTTCTTGCCCTTGAAGCCACCGTTGGGGTTCGAGAGCTTGAAGGCCCAGAGGAAGTTGGTGACGGCCTTGAAGTTGGGGCCGCAGGTGGCGATCTCGTGGACGATGTCCTCGATGGAGAGGATGCCGAACTTGCCGAGGTTCTCCTCGATGATCTTGTTGTCGTTGATGGGGAGACGCTGGCGGTTGACCTTGGCGTAACCACGCTTGTAGACAAGCTCACGGATGGTCTTGAGGTTGGGTGCGCCGTAGGTGACGTAAGGCTGGACGAGCTGGAGCATCTGCGAGGTGGCCTTGGTCAATCGGACAAAGACACCGTTGTTGATCTGGAGAAGACGCAGGAGCTGCAGAATCTTGCGTGGCTTGGGGGCAATGTTGTTGATACCACGGAGACGGACGACGAAGACGACCTTGGGCTGGCCGGCAACGTAGAAGTCACCCTTGGCCTTGGCGGCACGGCGAAGACGGATCTCCTCGCGCTCGGCGGAGCGGTACTCCTTGGTGTACTGCTCGGCGCGCTTGAAGATGACCTTGCGCTTGGCGAGGTTGGCCTATTGATCGGGCAGAGTCAGATCGAAATAGAAGGGAGAGATGTCAGAAAACAATTCCGTTGCAAGAGATAAACCTGGTGTGAAGGTCTTGACCCGCATCGCAATCCTCGTACAGCATTCCTTCTAGACCGCTATATCCCCGTCGAGACCTCGTTTCGAATCTCCTGCCCCTCCTTGCGACCACTTCGATGTGCAGCAAGCTGCTCGATCAAAGATGAAACCTCAGCCCCGAAAGATGGTATAATTTCGGCAGCATTGTCCGAAGACTAGCCCGAAGTGTTGGTTGTGATGCATCACTGTAATCTTGAACCTTTGTCGCACAGCCGATCCTTTGATCCCTCCAACAAAATGTCCAAATTGGTCCCAAGCAATCTTGCCTCCTGCGATTCGGGTCTGTCAATCTGCGTCAAGATGCTTACCTTCTTGGACTCGGCGGCCTTGGCGGCCTTCTCCTCACGAGCCTTGGCGTCGGACTTCCTCTTCTTGAGGAGAGTCTCGGGGACGAGGACGTCGTGAGCCGCGGGGACGGTGCTGTGAAGATGGGATCAGATCGTCATGAGAACGTCAGCATTTACGATACTATGGCAATATGGTGGCAAGTGTCGAGATATGATGCGATGTTGCGGCATGAGCAGCTGGGATGGCGAGCAGCAGGAGCGATTGTGAATGTCGAAGTATGTTTGAGGCTATTTGGCTGAGATGCAAATTGGTGCTTGGGCGTTGAAAGTCTGCGATGATGGCTTGCGTGCCGTCAGGCCTCTTTACCAGGTTTAGGCGATGCTTTCGACGCGATCTGGTGAGCAGCGTTGTCGATGGGACGACAGACCGTGCGTTTTCTGTACGAGAAGACAGAGCGAAGTACCACGGTCGATTGATCTATGATTGGCATGGCGAAGCGCAGATGGGCGCGATGTCATCGACGCTGTATCCGCCATGATCGATGGCTGCATGAACTCCCTGTCTTCCTGCCTCGCAGCTCCAAGTCCACCCTCTATAGATTATCCCCTTCACAACCTCCCGCGAATGTCGCATAAGCTATATAAATGCGTACACCTGATGCCGTTGCTCCCGGATGACATGTTCTGCAGCCCTGATATGTAGTAGAAGTGACCGGCGGCGGTTCATGCTGATGTCGGTTGTCGATACGGGTTCTGCTACCGCTGCCTCTTTGCTGGTGCCGTTGCTGCTGCTGATTGCTGTGCTGTGCCGTGCGATCGCATCACTCTTCATGAATGATACATACGTTCGGGTCTGAGTCGACATTGTTCTTGACGGGAAAGGGGATGGTGGTGACAAGGTGGTGATGAAGGCGAAGAAGCAGCTAGATTCGATATTCAACCCAGTGCGGCAGATGCGCTCTCTCGAACAAGAAACCTCAAATTGTCATCAGCGGCGTGGCCAACGAGACTCACAGCCTAGCTGCGCTGCCTAGCTAACGAGATTGGCCGACAGCGTCGACTGCCGAACTCGACAAACTTGCCTCTACAAATTCTCGCAAAAGTTTCGAGGTCCATCAGTCTTGCTTGACGCTGCCCGTCTGCAACCGCTCATTTCTGGCAGGCTTCCACACCGCTTTATTCTACCGCTCGCGGCGTCGCTAAGTAAGTCGGCGAAGGGCGAGACACGGGAATTCGAAGAATTCAAAGCAAAGTTGAAGTCAAATTACAAGTGAGGTGAATTCAATTTTTCATGTGGTCACATGACTTATCGACAGCGGCCGAAGCGAGCTGTCGAGCATTCCAAATGCTCAATTATGAAGGATTAGGTAATTGCAATTGGCGCTCGGATCATCTTGTGACACAAGGGGCCTGTCAAGCTCTGCTGGACCCTGAATCGCAGCCCCACTTTGTGCATATACATCTGGACTATCATGTTCGTCTCGAAAGCAGCCCTAACCGACAGCATTACATCGTCTACTCTGTCGCGCTAAGAATCACAACAGGATGGCGCTGTCCAGTGCAGCAATGCCGCACCAAGGTGCGTTCAACAGCATCCTACTTGCTGCTCCTTTGTTGAGCGACATGTGCCACGTATGTCTGCTGACCCTCAGTTACTCTCTCCCGACCTTTCGTATCGGAACGTTGCAGATCTGGATCGGCAGCTCGAGTCTGCGGCTACTATATCGACATCAGCAAGCCCATCATCAGCCGCTCTTCAGGCGCTCGAGCAGTACAAGAAGCGCGACTCCTCGAAAGGTATGTTTGAACATCACATTGCAAGCTGACATGCCCCTTTCTCGGATCCGGCTAACAATCCGAGGACCCGTCCGGGTAGAGTCAGGGGCCCATGTCAGTCCGCAGGAAAGACGAGCAATCTGACTGACAACACTTTTTCGCCCTCATAACCTCGCTGAACGTCCAAACCCTGGTGCCTGGATGTATAAGTCGTCGTGCGGTTCAAAGCCATCGGCAATGCACCCATCATGAAGGTACGCCGTTACGATTCACCCTCGCATCCCATAGCCTCGACTCTCTGACCCCTTCAAACTCCTTGCTCTTCCATCCCGATCAGAATAACCACTTTCGCATCACGGCATTCAACCGTTTCCAAGCTGTCACCGTCTTTCTCCGGAAAGAGCTCAACTTCAAGCCTACCGATTCACTGGTACGTCTGTTCAAGCCTCGACGTTTGTCCCTGAGTTGGCCTCCCTTTTCGACTGATCGCTGACACCTCTGATCTGGAATGCAGTTTCTCTATATCAATGCATCATTCAGTCCGGCGCCAGACGACACCGTTGGGAATCTGTACCGGGTAAGTCGATCTACGAAGCTCTTGTTTTCTGGACAGCGCAACCGAGAGCTAATACTAACCCTTTTGGTTTCTCACGAACCCATCTTATGCTGTCTACCTGTAGTGCTTCGGTACCGAAGGTCATCTGATAGTCAACTACAGCACAACAGCTGCTTGGGGATAGACTCTCGCCATCGTTGCATGTTGCTCGTAGACATATACCCGTGGTACCCCCACCACTAGCCTTGCTTCACATACTCTATCATCCATCCATGCGCTCATTCACACTCTACAAGCCGCAAAGCGATGTGAAACCGAGGGCAATTCAGCATTGAAAGCGCTTGACATGCGCAGTCGCAGAACAGAATCAACATCAGAAACAAGGACCAGGCCCCAAGACGAAACAAGTGTCTAGTACACCTCGAGGACGTATCGCTCGTCCTCCTTGAGAGCCTCCATCTTCTTCTCGGCCTGATCCTTGGTCAAGCCCTTCTTGACAAAGGCACCGATGAGCGCCTCGTGAATGTCGGGAACGGGCCAGGTAGGACCGCAGACGAAGAAGTAACCCTTCTTGCCTTCCTCAACGTCGTCGTCGTTCACCAGGCCGTCTTGGAGGACGACTTCGGCCTTACCACCTGCAGCCTCGAGCTTCTCGATCTCGGGGCCGAGGTACTGGGTGAGCAGATCGCCATCCTCGAGGATCTTGTGCTGGATGTAGACCTTCTTGGACGTGTCACGGGAGAAGGCGAGACCCATGTGCTGGATCACACCGTCCTGGGTGTAGGCTTCGAGTTCCTCGCCGTACAGGTACTCGGACGAACGGTAACGAGAACCGAAGTAGTACACGAGAGGTCCGACGTCGATACCCTGCGCCTTCTTGTGAGCGCGAGCCTGGATGAAGGCTCGGAAGGGTGCAGCACCCGTACCGAGACCAGCCATGATGATGGGCTGCGAATCGATGGGCGGCAGCTTCATCACCGAAGGCTTGAGCGAGACAGTCACCTTGGCACCGGGCTTGAGCTGCGAGAGGTAGCGCGTGCACTGTCCGAAGCGAGGGCTGCCGCTGGGCGTCTTCCAGTCAACAGTGACGATGAGCAGGTGGATCGACTCACCAACGGCAGACTGCGCAGAAGCGATCGAGTAGTGACGCGGCTTGATGGGCTCGACGAGCGTAAGCATCTGGTCGATAGGCAGACGTGCCGAGGGGAACATGCGCAGCACATCGGCGTACGTCAAGGTCTCGATCTCCGAAAGCTTCTTGAACGTGTACGAGCCTTCGGCGGAGCTGATGAAGCGCAACCAGCGGGCCTCGTCACGGTTCGTGGCAAGCTTGCCGAGCTCCTCGTAGAAGCGCTTGGGAGGCTTACCGAAGATGTCGAGGTTCTGCTGCAGCGTCTGGAAGACGGTGCGGCTCTCGTGCTTGCCGGCCTCGGTGAGGCTTGGAGCATTGACGATCTCGTCGGCGTCGTAGCCAGCCCACTTGATAAAGTCGGCAACCTCCTGCTCGTCGTTCCAGCCGTGGACACCGAGCGCTTCGCCGACCTCGTACTTGAGATCGGTGCCCTTGGTGCTAAGCTCCATGTGGAAGACGTTTCGGTCGTAGTCGACAGGGGTGAGGCGGCGGTTCTCGGTGACCTCGACCACCCAAGTCTGCTCGGGCAGGTCGGGTCGGAGCGAGTCGGCCTTGGTGTCGTAGGCCTCGGAGAAGAGGTGCTGCCAAGCAGACTGAGCCCAGGTGCTGCGGAAGGGAGTAGCCTCGACACCAACGGTGGCAGCGTCCGGGTTGGGACCGAAGCCGTTGTAGCGGATCTGCGTGGGACGCAGAGGAGCGTTCTGCTCGGCTTCGGAGATGGGCTCAGCACGCGACCACTCGTCGTCGTTGAAGGCGTGGAGTTGAATGGCGCTCTCGGCGGCCGAGACGAGGCCCTCGACGCCATCAATGCCAACGGGAGCGGTGCCGATGACGCGCTTGAGGAAGGCAGCAAGAGCAGCACCAGAGGTGTTGAGCTGGACACGCAAGACAGCGACGAGGAGCACGGCGGCGGCGATCTCGGCGGGGACGACGTTGTCGCCGACCTTGGCCTTGCCACCGCTGGCGTTGGCGGTCTTGGTGTTGAGCTTTTCGACGACAGCAGCGGCATCGACGAGCAGGAGACGGGCACTCTTCTGAGCAAGCACGCGCTTGTCCTCGGCGCGCAGCTTGGAGTCGAGCTCGGCGACCTCCCAACCGGGGGTGTTGAAGATGACGGTGCCGCCACGGACGAGCGACTGGAAGGGAGCGTAACTCTTGAGCGTGGTGGCGGGGTCGCTGATGACAACCACCTTGGCAGCGTTCTCCTCGGCGGCGAGGACGATGGGAGCATCGGCGGCCGACTCAGGACGGCTCGAGAGGATGATGTCGGAGCGAACGATGCCCGAGGCCTCAAAGTTGTCGTAGCGAGACAGCAGACGGGCGTGGAGCTGGGTGTCAGCGCCGCGGTCGCGGATGGCGCGAGCGGTGAGCTGAGCAAGAGGAGCAGTGGGGCTAGCCTCGCTGTCGAAGAAGGTGACGACGGAGGCACCGGAAAGGGCCAGAAGGTCGGCATGGGCGTCGTCTGCCTCGTCGAGCACGTCATCGAGCTTGAGCGCGGCGTTGTGGCTGGCACCGAGCGTCTCGAGGAGCTTGCTGAGCTCGGCAGCGGTCAAGTCCTGGCCGGGGGCGAGGGCGAGGGGGAAGACGTGCGAGGGGATGTCGGAGCCGGCAAACTCGGCGTCAAAGACGGCAGAGACAATGTCCTCGTAGAGCTGACCGGAGATGGCACCATCTGCGACCTCCTCGAGGATGTGCAGGCTCTCGACCGATTTGGGAAGCGCCTTGCGGAGGTCGGACTCGTCCCAGTTACGCAGGCTGCGAACCGAGAGGAGTGCGACGTTGTGGCGCACAGCAGGAGGCAGAGTGACCAGGACGGCACGAGCAGCCTGGCTGTGAGAGCCGCTGGGGACGACGAGGACCGTCTGGGCCTTGGGCGAGCCGGTGAAGAGGAAAGGCTCGGGAACGTCGACCTTCTGTCCCTTGGTGGGGATGTTGAGCGTGCCGACTTCGCGACCTGCAAAGGCACCGTCAAAGATGTGGACGACATTCTTGGACGACTGGTAGGCATACCGGGCAAAGTCAACAGCCTCCTGTCGGGTGGCCGAGAGGAGAACCTCGAACGAGTCGCCGAGAGCGGCGGCGGCGGAGAGAACCGAAGCGTAATCGTTGGTGATGTTGAGCTCCTGATCCAGTTCGGCAGAGTGGGTGGCAGCCGAGACCTGCAGGACAAGCTTGGCATTGTCCGAGCCGTGGTACGAGGCGAGGGCAGGGGCCATGGCAGCGAAGCCAGCGGCGTTGGTAAGGGCGGTGACGACCTTGGCGGCCTGGGTGGAGGAAGAGCCTCCCTTGGCGTTGAGGTAGCCAATGATGGCATTGCCGGCACCGGAGCGGGTCTGCATGGCGAAAACTGAAGGACGACCCTTGAACCAGCCCTTTTCGGCGGCAAGCTTAGCCTCCTGCTCGCTGTAGGCGCCAAGGCCGCCGTTGGCCTGGCTCTCGTAGCTGAAGATGGCGGTGCTGTTGCCGTAGGCGATCGAGTCAATGGCGGCGGTGCTGGTGAGCTTGGTGCTGGAGACGCCGAGCAACCAGGACTGAGCGGCGATCTTGGCAGCGACCTCGGCCTCGGAGGGACCTTGGACGGTGCTCAAGTCCATGCGAGCCTCGACATGTTTGGCGCGGTTGGCAGGCGAGGGCTCAGGAACGGCAGCATTGGCAGGTTGAGCGTTGACGAGGCCGTTGAGCTTCTGCCCACCGGCGGTGGCATCGACGCCGTTGGGAGCGGCGTGGCCGGGAAGCTGTGGCTTGGAAGGAGCGACAGGGCCAGAGCCCTTTGCGTCGACGTCGTCGAGCTGCTTGGAAGCAGAAGGGTCAACGCGGCCAGCGCCAGTGATGCCAGCGAGGGCGGTGGCAGAGTCCTTTGCGGCGACAGCGGTGGTAGCAGACTTGGAAGAGTCGGTGGAACGCAGCTTTGCGTCCGACACCTTGCGCTTGATCGACTTGTTGGGCTTGTGTGCGGGGGCAAAGGCGGCACGCGAGAGCGCGAGCGTACCTGCGCCGATAGCGAGACCACCGGCAAAGATGGCAGCGCTCTGGTAGAGCGACTGCGACGAGGTGGCAGCCATCTTGAGTGTATGTGTTGGTATACACGCACACAAGGATTGGCAAAGGATACGGGATGGGATGGGGTGAGGGGAAGGCAAGGATGGCGTCCGAGTCTGGCCTCCGTTACACGATGGTCAGCAGCTGCACCACTACAACAGTAGAGCCAAGGTCCGGGACTCACGAAGGGTCCTCTAGCCCTGACTCCAGCCAAATCTTCCAAATCTTCCAGCAGCCGAGCAAGATTATCAGGAATTGGGCCGTCAAGCTCCGGATATCCAAATTGACAAGTCAGCAGAGCGCGCTCTTCTTTGCGATTGGCTGAGCGGAGCAGCTGTCAAACCAAAATCTTCTTCCCCGGAGGAGAGCGATGGCGCAATTTCAGGTGCAGATGCGCTCATCACGAATTTTGTTTGTGTAGATGATAACCGGTCTAACACTCGCCTTTTCTTGTTGCTCAGGTGTCAGGTCGCGCACAAACAACATCTTACGGCAAAATACTTGGAAATTTCGGAGCCCCCATTTTTCTCAATCTTTTCAACTTGCGATTCAGTTTCCAAAAATCAATTTATCTTTCGCAGGCGATTACTCCCTCCAAACAATCTTTCTGCTCCGAGACGACGCATCCATGGCCACCCCGGCGGTGATCGTGGTGGCAGAGAGTTGGAACTTCTGTATCACGGAGCACTGTTGAGATCGGGTCTGCGCTACCAGTGGCTCGATGCTGGGCAGAGATCGATCGGCCAGGACGTGGTCGCAAATCTGTTCCGTTCCTGGAAATCGTCTTCCGGTTCCAAATATAGACTCGCATGCGCTCAACCGAGACGGCCATTGCTGCGGATTTCATCGGAGCCGACTGGACTCATCCGCCTCGATCTTGCTGTCAGCGACTTGTCGAACGACTTGCATCCGTGACCCGTTGTCGGACTTCAGCATCGATGATGTTTGCTTTGTTATACCAATCGAGACCACCTTTCGACGCCTACATCTACCGGACTCCGCTTTTCTGAATCCAGGGTCTCTGCAGGCAAGCCCCCTCTTTTCCCATATTCAATAAAAAATAAAACGCCGGCAGCTCGCTGTCGGACTTGCGGCGATTGAAATTGCCGCCAACCCTGACTGATCTGCGGCGTGTGGCTTGCTCTCCTCGGTTGGTTGGTGGCATATCGTCATCCTCCAGCGGTTGTTCACCTCCGTTTCGCTAGCACCGATGGATGAGGAGAGCAGTGAAGCAGGAACCTCTGTGCACAGACGGCGTTACGCTCAAGGTATGGATGATATGCTACCACACCTATGGCCAACGGAGAAAGCATCGTGGGCTCGTTAAACAGCATCAAGTGGTCGTCTGTGCTTTTCATGGACAGGCAACGCGATACCATGCATCTCTGTGACTTCTGTCATAGGCAGGCGATGAGCATTGATAGAATCACCTGGTCGAGATACTGTCCGACGAGGGAGGCCGACGGCGTTCGAGGAACAACTCGTGTGGTGGATTGTGCCTCGCTTCAGCCGAAGACGCGCTTCATGCATCAACGGCGTTCAAACTCGATTTCTTCTGCTCTGCTTTGTTACAACGTGACGTCTACAGTGAAGGTGCTCATCGTTCGGGCTTCTCGCCGCAACCTGGCCACTCTTTGGTCGATCCTGGTCCTCTGCCCCGCACTGTGGGTGATTCATTCTAGTGCCGCAGCCAGCTTGCATATCTCCTCTCCTCTTTAGTCTGCGTTCAAGCTGCAAACACGCACCTCCTCCAGACTTTTCTTGACTTCACATATCTCCCCCATTCATCGTGCCTTGCCGCGATCATCGTCGCCGTTCGTACCAGCTATCGCCGCCGGCGCGGCCTTCGACAGGCCTGTGAACACATGGACAGCACCAAAGACGCCTGCCACCTCGATTGTCGCTTCCGCAGAACCACTTCCTCGCCAAATCACATTTCGATCAATCGCTCCAGCGCTGCGACGTACGATTGACAGGTCAAGGCTGTCGTTAGAAGATCGTGACACTACACAGTGCCACAAGCTCGCGACTCGCCCGTCATGTCGGCCACCGTGGTGACCGTGGCAGTCACGACGACGGCAAGCCAGTCTGTTGTCGTCGTTACCTCGACCATTGCGGCTTCCGATCTCTCTTCGTTGACCGGATCGCCCACAAGCAGCGCTAGCGCCGGCTCCTCCATTCCCACCTCCAGCGATCCTTCGAGCTCCTCAACTTCCGCAAATGGGGCTGGTTCATCGTCCGGCAGTGACCCAACCTCCCGCGCCGGTTCGACTCCGATCGGAGCCATCGTCGGAGGTGCGGTGGGAGGCGCAGCCTTGCTTGCACTCCTGCTTCTTCTCGCCTGTCTCTACAGAAGACGCTCGAACGCCAAAAGGAAAGCCGCCAATCCTTTCCCAGACGATACTGACGAAAAAGGTCCTGCCGTCATTGCAGGCCTTCCTCCCAATCCATCGAGCTCACAGGCGCGACCCCTTTCGGGCAGCTACAGCAACTCGCTCTTCATGACCGAGGCCAACTCGTCCCTGCCGTTGCTCGGCACCGAGAGATCCTTCCATAGTGGATCGCACCCCAACGCCGGTCTCGCGTCTGATGCGCGTTCCAACCACGCCCATCGGCCTTCGATGACCTCTCTGGCTCCCAGCTTCGTCATGGGTTCGTCGGCCTCCTTCGCACAGTCCCACAACAGCCATTTTGGACAGCCCATGAACGGCAATCACATCAATTGTCACGATAGCGCCACTACTGGATTTGCTGGCGCTTATCCTGACGTGCATCGATCCGCCTACTACGACACAAACGTGCCTTCCGGCGTCGATCCTCGAACCATGGGTGTAGGATCGGCCGCAGCAGCCTACACCAACGGAAGCGCTGCAACCACCATGCCAGGCTCGCCTGCTCAAGCGTATGACCCTCGAAGCCTGCCAATGGGTGCGGCGCCCTCCGAGTACACCGCGGCCAGCGAAGCAGCCCGCACGCGTGGCATGTCTTTGAGTGGTTCCGGCGGAGAATCGCAAGTTTGGTCGGGCGCCGCTTCACCCAACGATGCCCGAAGCCGCAGAGGCTCGCACGGAAGCGCGCTTGCCATGCCTCGAGCCGCCTCAGCACACTCGCACGATGAGGTCGAGAGCTTGCAGTCTCGTCGACCACCCGCTGCCGGCCTTAATGGCTTCCCGTCCACGCTCAACACCATTCCTGGTTCGGTCGCGGCATCCGAGATAGCGAGCGCCGATCAACACTCCATGCAGTCGGCAGGTTACAGTAGCTTCGGAGAGCGCAGTATCCCGCCGAGGTTACCATCGATTTCTTCATCGAGTCCGCTCATGATGCAGGGCGCAAGCTCTTTTGCACCGCACGCGTCGATGGCAGCCGGCGCTGCTCTGCCAGCTGCCCACAGCTCCATGTCGCCACGTCTCACATCTCAGCCAGGCGCCGACACGCTCCAATCGAGCGATCCATCCAACGGCGGGACGTTCAACAGCGACGGTACCTACAACACCTACACCGGCGCCGTCAAGGGTCAATTGCGAGTCGTCGGTGCTACGAATGAGCATGGCAAAGGTCCACCCACCATTGCCGAGGAAGCGGAAGATCGGCCACGTGCAAGTGCAGCGATGAAGCGTTTGGGTCAGCACTCGGCCAGCGCAAGCACATCGAGCGTCAACAGGACGGGCAGTCGGATGGTCGAGATGCTCGACGTTAACGAGCAACCACACGTGCCTGACTCTGTGACTGGAGCGGACGAAGGGCAGACGGCTTCGCCGCCCACACGACCGTCTTTCTGGAAGGAACGCAGCAGGTCGGCGCAGTCGATCACCAAGGTCTTCCGCAGCTCTCCCTTGCTGTCGGCCCAACGCTCGCCAGCTACCGATGCTTCTACCGGCCAAGACGCTTACTACCGAGCTTCAGAGAATGAAGCTTTGCCATCTCCGGACACCGGCAGATCCGTCGCTGCCGAAACGGCGTCGGAATCGCACAAGACGGACGGAGATGCCGAAATGTGGAAGGGAGCTTCCAAGTCCAAGTCGAGGCAGGCAGGTGGTTTGCGCAAGTGGACTATGAGAAGAATCCCGCAGCCTGGTGCGAAAGGAGCGAATGAGGTGGATGTCGATCAGCTCTTTCGATGACCGCTCGTAGAAATGGCTGGCGTAAGAGCCTCGAAAGGAAGGACTTTCGAAAGACAATCTGCTGTGAGTTCAAGTCAGTGTATCTTTAGCATTTCGATCGCAATACAGCCAGCAAGGCATCGTCTATGTCGTCGCCAGAACGGCGGCAGCCTCTGAGAGGCGCTTGACTAGTGAAACCGATGCTTGTCAGTACAGGATAGGAGAGTCAGTGTTGCTTCTCGTGGCAGTTTGGTATATATCGAGAGAATGGACACCCCTCGTCGGCTCAAGATGCATGCTCGATACCTTCGCACTCAAAGATCTGCACCGATCGCATGCTCGAAAAGCGAGCATTAGTCGGAGAAAGGAAGTCGCGGCTAATGACTTGCACACACAGCTACAGTATGTGAAGCTTCTGCAGAGACACGCGAATCCGCGGACGCCTTTGCACTCGCATGGCGTGCTGCTGCTCGACGTCAGCCAAGACCTGTAAGGCATCGCCGATTCTGGCAAAAACGGCAGGACCCTGGGCAGAACAGAATTGTGAGTTTTTCCTTGATAATCTCACCTGAATGAACCCTGACTTCACCCTGAACCTACGAAGAAAACAGATAGAGGGCCACGGCCCAACCCAGAGACTGGCGTAAGACCCTGTTGTGGTAGATTTGTGGAAGCCGAGGGTGGAATTTTCCACGGCTGCAGGTGCGTCTGCGAAATGCGTGGGTGATCCCCCGCGGTTTGACTCTCGCTCCGGCCATCGATGGAGGACAGAATCCTCGCAGACCGGCCTTTGTCGATTCTTAGAACAGTGGACAAGAAGGCGCCCTCGCATCAGGTCGCATCTCGCTTGCTCGTCATCGCGCGGACACGGCGACCGAGAAGCGTGCCTGCTTCTGACTCAAGCGACCTTGTGTCCGGCATTGAGAAACATGCACGATACTGTGCTTTGCTTGGTGGTCAGGTTTCGAACACAAACCGAGCGTTGATGTGCCAAGCTTTCGAAAAGAAAACAGTCAGCCAAGGCCAGATGAGCGAACACGGCTCGATCCTTCTGCCAAGAGTCAGCCCATGTTCCTCTCTGCATCTGCTGTTGCATACAGACAGACCTTCAACAATAACTCCCCTGCCTGCGGACACGGTATTGCTGGCAAGAGAAGCACAGAGCCGGAACGGCGAAAGCTTGTGATGCTGTTGACCTTCCTACGCTGCCAATGCAAACTCGTTTCTCGACATGGTCGGTCGCTCACTTGAGCAGACGCAAAGGAGGCAAAGCAGGTCGCCATCGCCCGTCACCCTCGGCTGTAAGTGATGCATTGCAGCGCCTCATGCTCTTTGCCGCTTTTCCGCGCTGCTGCTGCTGCTGCTGTTCGGATATCTCTAGGTTGGGGCTCAAGGAAGTGTGCGTGTTTTGATGATGAATTTTTGGAAGAAAGGCGGTGCACGTTTCCCACATTTAGCTTTGTGTCTCGCTAGGGCGATACGGACCACGCTGCTCCTGCTCTGGAAAATTGCATGCTGTTCGGCAGCTGCGTTGTATTTGATTTTATTTCGAACTCAGTTTGTATTTGCTACATTCAGGGAAAGGTGACCCTGAGCAGCACCCCTTTCCGCTCTCAAGTTGGGAAAACCCTTACGCTCAAGCACAATCAAGAGGCGCAAAGGGTTCAGCTGATTTTGGTTGTTCGAGGTCAAAATACCCACAGCAACCGAACACCACACACTGCTGTGATGCTGCTCTACCCCTCCTATCCAATTATACGCAGCGTGTGGGCTTGTTTTTCTTTTTCCTTGAACGCAGGGCTGCATCTGAAGCTGATCAGAGCACACCAGCGCAGCGGCAGCGACTCCTTTTGGACCTCAGTCGTGCTCACCGTTGCCTGCTGGTCCAAAGGTGGGCGCGAGCAGCACAGCACCGTGTCGCAGTGTCACACTCTGCGTCGCAGCAATTCCGATCGTCAACTCGCTCTCTCTCTCTCTCTTGAGTGTAAAAGTCGATGCCGCCTTGACCTGCTCGCTGCTGCTGCTCTCGAGTCTCAATTGTGTGCCTGTTTGTCTTGCCTCTTCCTTCTTCTCTCTCTTCCCACGCTCACGGCCCTTTGCTCGTCTGGCCCTCGTCATCCCACCATCTCGATCTCCGTCAGCACATCCTCACCTGCGATTTGGCTGTTTCGATCTGATCGCTTCGACTCCTGGAACGTCACCATCTTCCGCTCGCGCCACTCAGCAAGCGCAACAGCGCCGACCTCAGCGCATCTCGCCAACATTGGCGCTGTTCAGTTTCTGTGGTCCGATCGTCGTTCATTTCCGCTGCTTGAACCGAACGCACCGAGGTGGACATCCAACTTGCCTGAAGCCATAGTGATACCGGACCCGAGACGCCACCCTCACCCTCACCATCACATCTCCTCTGGACAACATGCGCTCGTATGTAAGAGTCGGCCTTTTGGCCGCCTTGCTGGCTCAAGCGCAACTCGCCCATGCCTTCACCGTCACTGTAACGCAGGTCTCGTGTGTTTATCTTCAATTCGCGCTCGCCGTCACCACTGCCGAGAGCTCCACTGCCTCTGCCCTCGGTGTATATCCTGGCCCAAACAACAACACCGAGATCTCACAGGTCGCCTTTGTCGACGTCTACGCTAATACAAACACCTACACGTTCTATTCGCCCTTCTTTACTACTTTCACCGAGTCTGGCCCGCAGCAAATCACCTTCCGTCTGCTCGACGACAGTGGTAATGTCATCCCCAGCTACCTTCCCGTCACCCAAACCATCAACTTCCAATGCGGAACCACCATTACCACCTCCTCGGCAGCCTCCAGCACACCTACCGGAACGTCTGGCTCTGGTTCCGGAGGCAATTCGAACGGCAACGGCAATAGCAACAGCAACAGCAACAGCAGCACCAGCTCGGGGTCCTCATCCTCGACCGGTGCCATCGCCGGCGGTGTGGTCGGTGGTGTCATTGCTTTGCTCGCCCTCGGGCTTCTCGCTTTCTGCCTGATGAGGAGGAAGAAGAAGCAGCGTGCTCAGCAGAGTCGTCTCGCCAACAATGAGGCCGACGAAGCTGCCTTCCGTGCTCCCAACAACGACTCCACCGCTTCCTTGGCTACAGCTCCCGAAAACGCCAACACGCCCATGATGCGCGATATCTCGACTAAGAACGTCTTTGCCGACCCGACCACGTCAACTGCATCGGGTGCCGCATCTGGCTCCTCGACCATGTTCAGCGCCAACAACCAAGCTCCATCCAAGTTCCCGTCCGGCTCTGGCACGGGTGGTGCATCTGGCGCTGCCGCCGGTGCCGCCGCTGGTGCTGGTATCGGCGCCGCTGCCATCGCTGCTCGCAAACAATCGCGGGAGCAATCTCGCGCTGCGTCGCCGGCCGGTCGCGTCTCCGAGTCACGCCCTTCGACCGAGTCGTTCAAAGATGTACCATCATCGCAGTCCCCTCCACCTGTCCCGTCGCTTCCTTCGTCTTATGCCGCCACAAATGCCCCCGCTGCACCGCAGAACGCATCAAAAGCCTCGCAGCCAGCAACGTATCCAACAGCAAACGCGTCGATTGAGTCCGCGACGAAGTCTCCATCCGGAGGCGGAGCCGCTACGTCGACTGCTGCTGTTGGTGCTGGCGCTACCGCCGCCGCTGCAGCCGCCGCCGCCAAGAAGACTTCGTCAGATAACAAGGAAAAGGACAACAAGGCAAAGACAAGCAAATGGGGTTTCAAGCGCCCTTCCAAGGACATGGGCAACACTAGCAAGCCTCCCTACACACAGGCTCCCTACCCACAGGCTGTTGCCGAGCCAGCGCCGGCAGCAGCAGCAGCAGCAGCTGCACCAGCAGCGGTAGCCAGCCCTTCTCCATCCCCACCGTTTAGCAGCCCTTCCGAGACACCTGCATCGCCGTCACGTTCGTTCAAAGTGATCCAGAAGCAGCCTACGCCGGCAGCTGCCTCGGCAGCTGGACCCAGCAGCGCTTCGATTGCGCCGAGCGAGAACAGCTTGAATCGCGCACCCGCCTTGTCTCCCCGATCCGGCCATGCCACACCGGCTGGTTCAATTCGCGGCAACAACTACTCGCGTGCCCCCTCGGTCGCCTCCATGTCGGCTGGATTCACGGATGCGCCTCCTCTGCCTTCGGGCGCCGCCTCGGTCTCGTCGATGCCAACGTCCGAATTCGGAGGCAACATGGCAGGGGTTGGAGCCGGACGCTCGTTCGCCGCTTCATCCGGCAACTCGACCAAGTGGCACCAGCAGGCTTACAATGTGATGCCCAACTTCAGCCACCGCGCGCTGGCCCGCTCAACACAGTTGGACGAAGACCTCATCTTCGGTCACCTCGGTATGGGTCTCACTCCTCCCCCCGGTCCCGCGGGCAATGGCAGTGAGAGTGGCAGCTCAAAGAGTCGCACAGATCCTTTCGGTGACCGTTGATCGTCTTTTCCCCCTTGCATTCTCGAGAGTTCGGCGCACATCCATTTGCATATGTTGATCCCTTTTCGTCCTTCTCGACCTACCCTTACTTTGAAACCCAGAACAATCATTTTCATTTTTTCTTTTGTCAGTAGCGGTTTTGAATTACAGTCATTTCACCAAACATGGATGGGGATGAAGGGCGTTTGTGAATGTTGCGGTCGTCGTTGAGAGGTAAATTCAAGGCTTTGGATTGTGACGAATGACAAGAGGAGCGATGGGAGGTACGGCATGCGTTCAAGCGCGTTGCAGGCGCAGCATGGAGCTCAAAGTGGGATCGAGCGCATGGTTCTGATTTGCGACCGAGAGCAGTTGGTTCGCCTCGAGGTTGGCAGGGTAATCGGTGGAACCCGAAGTTTTGACGAGACGACGATCGCGTTTGAGTTTGGCGATCTGGGCAGAGGACTGTTCGAGATGATCCGATTGGTGGGTTAGGGTTTTGGAGAGCTCGACGATGTGTTCTGCTTCTGGAAGCAGCATTTGTTCCAACTCGAGCTACGGGTAGAGAAAGATAAGGGAAATGTCAGTGTGACGGTTTCGGGTTGGGAAGGGAAGGGGTGTGCAACTTACGATGTCCGCATTCATACCGAGACCCATGAGATCGACCGACTGTTCCGGGTTCTCGGCGCGCAACAGCGAACCTTCCTCCTCCAAGCGCCAAGACAACATGCTGCTGGCCAAATCACGACGTGTGACCGACGCAGTGTTGCCCTGGGGTATCCGAGCTAGCGGAGGAACCAGGCCGGTCTCGAGTCTACCATCGATCCTGTTGAGTGCGCGCGTCAAACTGTCCGCCACCATGGATCGAATGTTCTTAGGCATCGAATTGAGCAGCGGGATAGCGGTCCTCCAAATCAAGCCTCCTTCCGAGGTGACGCACTCTCGTTCTTCGACACTCAAGCGACGCCATTTGCGCAACCTTTCGATCTCGCTGGGCCATCCTTTGCGCTTGATCTTTCTGCGCGAGCTCGATGCTTGACGCGCTTCGTCTTCGGATGACAGAGCCTCGTCGTCTTCCTCTTCCGCGGACAGTGATGGATCGGCTTCGGAAGCATCATCGTCTTCGTCGGATGCTCCATCGACGAGGGACACTTCGGAGCCCGATTCCTCTTCGACCTCCGGCCTTGCGTATCGTGGCGCCTTGGACGGCTGGCTCTTTGGCAAGCCTATTTGTGCCGCTTTCGGCTTGTTTGTGCTTCCGGGTGGTCGACCTCGTCGCTTTGGCGCTGACTGGGAGACAGAGGTGGATGCGTCGGCGGCGTTCTTAGGTGGGCGTCCTCGCTTCTTGGGCTGGTCCGAGAACGAGACACTGTTAGGAGGCGAGACGTTGCTGCGGTTTCTGGGAGTGGCAAGGATTGATTTGGGCGGGCGACCACGCGGTCGGGAAGCTGAAGCTGTACCGTAGGATGTGGAAGCGATGCTGGTGTCAGCCGCGGTGAGTGCGCGTGAACCTGGTGTGGTGAGCGCGTGTTTTGGTGGCCTGCCGCGTTTCTTTTGAGCAGTAGCGGGAGTAGACGAGGAGAGAGTGGATGCGAGAGAGTAGTCGGCCATGTTCCTGGACTTGGCAGGCGTGGGAGCACCGACGGTTGAACTGAGCGAGACGTTGGCGGCGTCTTGACGTGGTCTTCCTTTGGGACGTGGGAGGATGCTGGACGAGGAAGCGTCCCATTGCGCAGCATCGGATGGCCTCTGCACTCTTTTCGGCGGCATTGTGGCTGGATCTGTTCGTGGTTGTGGATGAGATGAAAAGAGATGAATGTCATGTATGAGAGTCGGCGTTGTTCCGAAACAGCCACCGTGATACCACAAAAGAGAGACAGCGCCTGTGTGCGTGATTTTTCAAAGATGCGACTCCACACCGCGGCTCTGCCGATTGTGGTGTTGCTGCTGTCGCTGCAGGGTGCACTTTTTCCAGAGAAACGCGTCTCGCTTCTCGTTCGACGCGCCTGAGTGTGTATGCTGATTTTGACACCTCTATCCACCATCACCACCACCTACCCTCCTTGTATCCCTGTTCCGTTCTGGCGATCTGGCGTCTCATCACACACAACCAATCTGGCAATCATATCGATAATCTGCGGGCCAATTTATGGCTGGAATTCTTCCACCCGAACTTCAAGCCAGTCAGTGATCACAAGATGAGCAGCAGACCCTCGAGCTCGCGCGGCGGCGCTGCCAACAATGGTCGACCGTCAGCGAACCGCTTCGCTGATCGTCGGCAAGAGCGTATGCGTGGTGCAGGAACGGCTGTAGCAATGCAACGAGATTTCCAGTTCAAGCTACCGGCCAAACGAGCTGCACCTGCTATGACGGGAAGTAATGCCGACGCATCTACTTCCACAGATACATCACTCACAAAGCGAAAGCCAGGACGACCAAGAGGCTCGGGCCCGAAACAGAAGGCTGCAGCTGCGGCAGCAGCAGCAGCAGCTGCTGCTGCTTCCGAAACATCCTTCGATGCCGGCTCCTCTCTGAACGCATACTCACCGCCACCAGTGTACGACGATGGAGTGCCATACTCGCCTCACACCGATGCATCCGGTAGTATGGGTGTAGGACGGCGTGCCGCCAAGCCGAGAACTTCCGGTCCCATCAGCAGCACACCTGCTGCATCGCGCATCCGAAAACAAGGGCAGTCACATCTATCGTCCTCCAACATCGATCCGATGCTCAGAGGCGACCACGATGACGAGCTCGGAAGTCAGCTCGGCGAAGACTACTCCGGCTCTAGTGCCGAAGCCAGCGCAGGTGGTAGTGCCGACATGGACATGTCGACCGGATGGGACGCCGGCGGAATGGATCTGGGCGGGGACGAATCTCTTCCTATGATCCCTTCACCCGCTGCCTCTTCTTCCCACGTCGACACCTCCATCCGTCGTATGCGTCCCAGCATCGGAGGGACGAGCGTCTCCCGCCTCAGCATCGCCTCCGACCCCAACTCGCCAGCCGCACGAGCAGCCCAACGCAACCTCGATCAACGTCAACGTCGGCGACAAGCCAGTCCTGGAAAAGAGCGAGTGTACAAGCAAGCAGCGGCCACCGCCGCCGCAGCCCGACAACAAGCTCGACCACCCCGGCGTGCACTCGTACAGATCCCCTCCGAACTCGACGACGAGACTCTCATGGACCGCACCGCCCTCGAACGCCAACGAGGAAACGCTGCCGCTCTGGCTTCAGCACGAGCAGCCCGACCTGAACGCGACATGCAGAAACGTCTCAAGCGTGCGCTCTCTCTCGTATTCTCCGCATCCGAAGACCCCGACGATCCGGACAGCTCCCGTTCCACCAAGAAGCGCAAATCCGCCAAATACCTCAACGACGTCGACATCATCTGGTCCATCGTCGATGAAGAGCTCCGCAGCGCCATCGAAGAGCAACCTGCCAAAGCTCCCTTCTTGGCCCTCAAAACGCTGCGCAAGAGCGTTCGTTCCAACTTCCTCAACTTGAGCGAAAAGACCGACAACAGGACTACGCTCATCTCGCAACTGATGCGCGCACGAAAGCAGAAGAGAATGCTGAGAAAGGAGGTGTTTGCAAAGAGGAGCGAGCTGGCGAAGGTCACTGTCGAGGCGAAAGAGAGGCAGAAGGAGATGGACGATTGGAAGAACGAGGTGGGCGAGGTGAGGAGGGTGAACAACTTCTTGCTCAATCTGAGGCATCAGGCTGCTGCATGGACGTAAAGTTTTTCATCACATTCAGAAATCGTACACCGCTGCGTTGCCAACCGATCAAATCTTTGTGTTTGTTGACCTTCTTGTAGTGTGTCATTGGCACAACGATGGTGTATCACGCAGCCCTCAAAAGGCTTCAGTATCCTTTGCAAGTCGTCTAGTTCTCGCGCTTAATGATGATGGCAGAAGCTCCACCACCACCGTTGCAGACACCGGCGCAACCGTACTGACCAGGCTTCAGCGCATGAGCCAGCGTCACCACGATCCTGGCGCCCGAACTTCCAATCGGGTGTCCCAAGGAAACACCACCACCCAACACGTTGACCTTGCTGGCGTCCAAACCCAGCATCTGGTTGTTAGCCAATGCGACAGCCGAGAAAGCCTCGTTGATCTCGAACAGTGCGATGTCGTCCTTTGTCAAACCGGCCCTCTCCAGCGCCTTGGGAATGGCGTAAGCAGGGGCGATGGGGAAGTCGATCGGTGCACACGCCGCATCCGCAAACGCAACGATCTTTGCCAAAGGCTTGACACCCATCTTGGCCACTTCGGCTTCCGAAGCCAAGACGACGGCGGAAGCACCGTCGTTGAGGGTCGAAGCGTTGGCGGCGGTGATGGTTCCGTTCTTGTCGAACACGGGTCGAAGAGAGGGGATCTTTTCGAGCTTGACGTTCTTGTACTCCTCGTCTTCGCTGATGACGACATCGCCCTTCTTGTCGGAGATGGTGACGGGTGCGATCTCGGAGGCGAACGCGTTGGCTTTCCACGCTTCGGCAGATCGACGGTAGGACTCGACGGCGAAGGCATCTTGTTGCTCGCGCGTGATGGAGAGCTTCTTGGCGGTGTTCTCGGCACAATTGCCCATGGCGAATTGGTTGTAGACATCGAAGAGACCGTCCTTGACGATGGCATCGGTCGCCTGGACGTGACCGTAGGCGTTGCCTCGGGGGAGGTAGTAGCTGTTGACGCAGATGCAAGCGATAATAAGGGGAGAATGCATTGTCAGCAACGAGGTTTCGGTAAGATGCACGTGAGCCGCAGAGTCACAAAGTGCCTGCTCCATTTTCGACCGAGCCTTGCTTCACCCTGACGCCAGCTCCCAATACCTGCATCCACAATCCGACCCCAGAACATGTTGCGAAGGCCCGAAGGTAGTGATTAGTCTCGGGCCAGGTGGGCGGAAAGCCAGATCGATTTTCCCCGCAGATGCTGCCATGTTAGAGCGGCGAGGTGTATTTGGCCCGAACGGCACGGCAAGATGCGGATGTACCGGTCCAGCTCCTGGCCTAGCCAGGGAAGCGCCTTTCTGTTGCCTCTTCCGTCCAGCGAGCCAAAACGAGCCTGCAGTGCAGCGACGTAGGTGCTCGGCCGCCGCTTTCTCCCCAGCATATGTCCTGCTTTGTAGTCGATCCGATGCCAATCTGAACAGGGTTTGTGATCGGAACGTTGTTGATTTGTGTGATACTTACGGAGCGTTCGACATGGACTCCATACCACCAGCGACCATGACACCACGCTGTCCAAGGGCGATGCTCTGAGCAGCGAGAGAGATGGCCTTCATACCGGAAGCGCAGACCTTGTTGATGGTGGTAGCCTCGGTGGTGTCGGGGCAGCCGGATTTGAGCGCCACCTGACGAGCGGGAGCCTGACCGACGTTGCCCTGGAGCACATTTCCCATGTACACCTCCTCAACCTGGTCGGGCTTGATACCGGCACGTTCGATGGCTGCCTTGACGGCTACGACACCGAGCTCGGGAGCGGTGGCCTTCTTGAGCACACCGTTGAACGAGCCGATCGGCGTTCGGGCGGCGGAGACGATGTAGACGTCGTTGATCTGCGTCTGTGTTCGTGCCACCATTGAATTCATTCGCGTGCAGAGACCGGAAGAACCGAGAGGGTCAGCCGTACTGGACTGATCGAGCACCTGCAACTGCACCGGTGTGCCGGAATACGAGTCTGACGAGCGGCAGACTTACCATGATTCTAGCTGTCTGGGAAAGTCGTGCGACGGCGGTCTGATAGAAAGCTGGCATTGGAAGTCAAGAGGGAAGCGACGGAAACGGCAGATGCAGAGGTGGCGAGTGTTGGGTGGGGGAAGGCACACCGACCAATCGATGTTGAGCGTCCAGTATCGATTTCTAGCTCGCCTGCGCCGTCGCTCTCTGGAAGAAACGTACGACTTTCGCGGCTGAGCAGCACTGCAGTTCACACTCTACAGCTGCACGCACGCGTCTCAAAAGAGAGTGTCACCCCATTTCTCTCAAGCCCCGTTGCTCTCCGCTTTTTGGAGCCCAACACCTGCCGGACTTGCTCCGTGACGCCTGGTGCTTACGAAAATGATTTTCAGGCATGTGAGATTTTGGATATAGGCTCGTTAAAGACCAAAAAGAGCTAGAAGTACAAACGAAGACGAAACAAGGATGCAATGCGAAACAAATACATAAGCCCAAAACCACAGACAAGTCAGCGGGTAGACGATGAGCTTGAAGGGCCTGTCGAAGCGTAGAGCGAAATGGCAGATAGTGGGAAGTTGCGACGCTCGCCGCCAGCAAGCCCGGACGCCATGCTACGCTGGCGCGCCTGTGATGAAGGGCCTTGCGGACTCTTTGATCCCTTCGGACCCTGAGGACCTGGCGATTGCGCTTCTACCCGAGCCTGCAGCTGCTTAGCGACGGCCTGCACTTCTTTAGATAGGCTCGACTGCCTGCCCGTCGCCGGAGCAGCCGGAGATGCCCTCGAAACGGTGCCAGAGCCTGCACTGTAAGGCGGAGCCGCTGCAGACCTTGCAGGAGCCAGGGCAAAGGGAGCGCCACCACCACCACCGCCACTTAGTTCTCCCAGGCTCAGAGAGCCATTCGGCCTCGGCGAAACTGACGACGCGTAGGGCGTACTCGAGGGCGACTTGGATGTTCGTCTTAATGGGCTGCTATCGCACTGATGCCGATTGCACGCATCCCGACGAACGAATGACCTTCCGCAGCTCTCGCAGCGAAATTTCTTGCCAGGAGTACCGAGACCCAGCGAGACAAGCCCACCCGTCTCGCCGCCGACGACTTCCTCTGGATCACCGTGGATACCCGGCTCTGCCTCATTCTCGTGGATACTGGCAACATGCCGCTGCAGGTCGTGCTTGCGGCTGAACGAGCGGCCCCCTTCCGACTTGCAGGATGGATACGGACACGGGAATGGCTTGGACCGATTCGGGTCAGGGTCGTGCGTTGAGAGATGCGTATTGAGGTTGTATGCACGCGCAAAAGCTTTGTCGCACTTCGGACACGGGAAGCGCTTTCTGGGACCGGAGCCTGACCGTCGCGCCGCCGGGGAAGAAGACGAGGCTGTTCGTGATGGGCCAGGTGTGTTGAACGCGCCACCAGAGGGGTTCGAGGTGACGACTCCTTGCTCCTTAGCAGCTGCCCTAGCCAACTCTTGCGATGCTCGTGCAGCTGCTGCCGCCGCGGCCGCCGCGGCTGCCTGCTGAATCGCTTTCTGCGCAGCCTCTCCATGTGCGTCACCCAGACGCTTGATCGCCGCGGCCAGAGCACGTTGATCTTCGCCGGTGCCACTCAGAAGGTCAGCGTCAGCCTCGATGCCGATGGCTTTGGCCGCAGCCGCCAGATCCGCGCCAGAGAAAGGTTCAGGTTTGGCAGAGACGGCGCTTGGCGCAGCCGTCGTATCCTGGGCGTAAAGATCTTCGATGAGCGCATCGGCGGCTCTTTCCTCCTCTTCTCTCGTCATGGCGAGAGACGCTTCTCCCTCCTCCTTGACAGGCGCAGCGGCGTCCGCGGCTGTGTCAGCGAGAACAGCATCTTTGAGCGCTCGATCATGGACCTGTGGGAACTGATACTGCGCAAACGTGTTCTGGAAGCTCGGACCCGCCGCGAGTGCTGCATCCATCGGAGCTGCTGATTTCGACGATGCCATTTGTAAAGAGCCGCCGGCTCCCGCAGCAGGTGCCGGCAGCAAGGTCGGATCTGCTAGCCTCGTCGCTTCAAGCGGAGTCACCCCGGCCGAGGCGTCGTGCTGTGCAATGTTCGGCCCTGCTGCTGATGGAGGTGGCACCAAATCCGGCAGTGGAGGATCCTGCTGTGTTGAGGCCCGATTGTCTGCGGTGCTCGCAGCAACGGAGCTCGACGTAGATTGTATGAGGGCTTCTACCTGAGCCTGTATGGATTGGGCGTCAAGCATGGGCGCGGTCGGAACGTCGAGGACAGGTTGCTGGAGCAGAGCTGCAGTCTGAGACGCCAGCACCGCTGGCATTGCCGCTGCTGTCATGTTGCTGTTCGTCGGGATAGGAGCACGAGGTAACACTGCGAGATTGTTAACAGAGGCAGTAGCCGGACTCACACTCAGTGCATCCGGCAAGGACGGACCGACGGCGCTGAAAGTTGGCGCAGGTAGCACATTCTGCGTAGTCGCCAAAGAGATGCAAGGTGTAGGTATGGGCGGCAGCTGTACTGGTCCAGTCGTCAGAGGAACGCCGATAGAGTTGGTGTTGGAGGAGGTCGGTGGCGTGGTCGTGGCGGAAGGACCACGCCCCGTGGAATGATGCTTCCGTGCAATGATGAGCAGGTGCACAAGTCGGCCCAAGCTGTTTCGAGTCGGGATCGGGGTAGTAACGAAGGCGTTCGAGAGTCAGTATTGAGATAACATATTTGATGGAGGAGGAGGAGCTGCGGCACGACTGCGGTAGCCAGGGTCCTGCTGAGATCGTAAGGGTGCCACAAGACTCGTCCGACGATCCCGGGAAAACCGCCCGCTGATCTTGCTGCGCGATGATCGATTCGCTTGCTTACCTTGTGCGTACACAAGCGCTCTATTGGGCCGCTCGATGGACGAGTTTCGAGATGCGGTAGAAGCTTGTAGTGATATGGTGGGACAGTTGCTAGGGAGGTCTGGATGACCGCGACGGACTGCAGCACACAGCAACAGGACCTCGAAAGCTGTGTTCTATTTCAACTTGCAGCGCTCTTCCAAAAATTCTTGAGAATTCCTGGAGGCCCAAATTTTGGTCCAGTGATCCCAGAGTGTTAGACCATTCCCTCCCAATTTTATCGCACGAGAGACAAAGTGGACCACGCGACGTCCCTGAATCCTTCTGCAAGCCCTTTGGGGAGGACGATGATCGCCAGTGTCTCAATCTCGCGCAAGAAGCAGACAATCGGATGGAAGGATCAAAGCGGTTATCAGCAGTAACAAGGGTGCTCCATCATCAGTCATCATATCATTGAAGAACATTCAGGCCCCTCATATGAGTCTGGCAACGCCGCGTGGGCAATGTAGTGAAGTGCCTCGACTCGAAATTCGGATTGCCACGGCACAGGGGCTCGGTAAAGTTCAAAATTCGCTCTTCTTGACAGCGCGGCGCACCTGATGCACCTGATCCTCGGACGCAGAGTTGCAGATCCTGTGCAAATCAAGTGAGACACCGCCTCTCGACGACTCTTGCCCTCGCTAGCACCTTTACCTTCCCTCGGCTTTGGGATTCTTCCGCCGGCGGAGCAGCAATATTCGCCGTTGCTTCATGCAGACAAACAGAGGCAAAGTTCGCTTCCAGCGTTTTCTTCGCTGCTGCTCTCCCCTTTGAGGCCGACCGGCGTCTTTTCATGCCCAAAGGACGCGACCTGTTCTCGCAATCAAGAGCCTTTCTGCAGCACTTTGCATGGTTGTCTCTTTGCGTGTTCACCTGTTCGTCCGCAGAAGTGCTCGACTCTCTTTGGCAGCCATCGATCTGCACATTTGCGAACCCCCGTTTTTGCCTTTGACTGTATTGAACGTCGTGCTTGAGTAGGGCTAGACCAAAGGCTCATGCGTCGAATGCTCATCCTGGACAAGGTTACGCCTCATCGTGAGAGACCGCCCTGCTGATCCGCCCCTGATCCGCCGAAATGTCCGCTACCGAAGCTCATGTCTCAGCGCTTCAGCTTAGACTCTTGCAACCTTGGCAAAACCGCCGTATGAACACTATAGCACTTTTTCCTTTCCACTCCATCGTCGCCTCCCTCACCCTTTCCCACACCGTCTACAACATCAACTCTTCACGTGTAGCCAGTCCGTCTCTGCTCCTGCTTCTTGTCGGCCTATTGCCGTGCCAATCATCGCCATCGCCTCTCGATTTCACCTCAATTCACCATCCCAACTCGCATCAATAAAGTTAAGCTTCATGAAGTTTGTCCCAACACGCGTCTTCACATTGCAGTCTGCGCCCTAGATTGCCTCCGTCTTTCGACATCCCGCATCCCACGCACGTCGGCAGTGTTCTGCGTCGAACATCAGCGGGAGTCAATGCTGCGCTGCGTGATCGGCCCACGATCCGACGGACGAGCAGAGCGACACTCTCGCCCTTGATCTCGCACCTAAAAATTCCGCTTGAAGAACCACACTCATCAGCAGCTCGTCACAATGTCATTAAGCATTCCCTCCGAAAGAAGGGAGCGGACGTCACTTTCCGATGAAGCTGCGCCTCGCCCCTCGTCGACGTCCATCGCCCCTCTACTCCCCGCGCACCTCACCAATCGTACCAGAGATCACAGCTTAGACTTACCGACCGCATCCCAAACGCCACGTACATCCGATCTCAGCCTCGATACCCAAATTCAACCACGAATCAGCAGTCTCGTCCGCTATTATATGGATGACGATCAGTCCTACGAAGACGATCAAGGCGACATGATCCACACTCGGTACTCAGCGATCCTCGATTCTACCGTCGACAATGATGATTCTAAGATGGGCAATTCTACGAATGATCACAGCGACGAGACTCACGACCTTGCAACGCTTTCTTACAGCGTCGATGTTGGTGAACCCAGCACAGGTCCCACCCGCTATGCCAACTTGGGCATGTCACGACCGCTATCATACCGCCCAGACGACCAGAAGGTCAATCCACGCGCAGTGCGCGATCCTTTCACCCTGCCTTCATCGCTCGTCGGCTCTTCCGTGAGCATGAATCATTCCACTGCTGCTTCGGAAGCGCCCGACTACTTTGCAAATCCGTACTCGTGGGATACCATGGACGGCAAGCGGGAGCCGGACGACGATCTCCACGATCCAGACGTGATCTCTGAGTCCAAGCACGGCTGGCTCGGCGGCTCCATCGGTAAAAGGGGAGTGCTCAACGTCGGTGTACTCGCTCTGCTCTCGGCCAGTCTCGTCTTGCTATTTGGCGGATACCCCATCATCTCTTACGTATCTCGCCGACACGAGGGTACCAAGGGAGGCTGGAACCTCGGCGGGGTCAACGCCTCCGGTCAGATCGCCAGCATCCCTGGCTTCCGCACTTCGCTCATCGACCCGGACACTCCCAGAGATGCCCTTTCGACACTCAGCCCGGACGGCACCAAGACCATGAAGCTCGTCTTCTCCGACGAGTTCAACACCCCTGGACGTTCCTTCTACCCTGGCGACGACCCGTTTTGGGAAGCTTCCGATCTTCACTACTGGGCAACGAACAACTACGAGTGGTACTCGCCCGAAGCTGTCACGACTGCGGACGGCGCGCTTCGCATCACCCTCGACCAGGTTGAGACCAACAATCTCAACTTTCGCGGCGGGTTTCTCAGTTCATGGAACAAGTTTTGCTTCACCGGTGGCTATCTCGTAGCCAGCGTTCAGCTGCCTGGTGCATCCAATGTCCCAGGCTTGTGGCCCGCTTTCTGGACAATGGGCAACCTCGGACGCCCAGGATACGGTGCGACAACCGATGGCACCTGGCCTTATTCGTATGACGCATGCGATGTGGGCACGCTTATGAATCAGACCGATGCCAGTGGTCAGCCTGCCGCTGCTGCCACTGGTGGCGACGTGATTTGGAACAGGAAGGCGGAGTCCAAGTCGCTCTCCTTCCTACCCGGCCAGCGTCTTTCGGCTTGCACATGCCCCGGAGAAGATCACCCCGGGCCTGTGCTCAAGGACGGCACGTACCGTGGTCGCAGTGCTCCCGAGATCGACGTCTTTGAAGCTCAGGTCGACCGAAAGCTAGGCATGACTGTCTCGCAATCCATGCAAACAGCGCCCTTCAACATGTACTACAACATCACCAACAGTACAGGTCCAGCGTACGAGTTCTTCCAGCCCGAATCGCACCTCAACACCTACACGGGTCAGAACGATCAGCAGGCCCTAAGCGGTATCAGTGTCGCTTCGCAGCTCGCCATGCAGCGCGGTGGCGACGGCAGCTTCGCCACCTACGGATTCGAGTACGTTCCTGGTCCACAAGGATACATCGACTGGGTCTCTGACAGCAAACGAGCATGGAGGGTGAACGCTGCCGCACTCAGCGCTGACCCCGTCAGTCAGATCAGCGATCGTCCCATCCCGCAAGAGCCGATGTTCTTGATCTTCAACCTGGGCATCAGCGAGAACTTTGGCTTTCCTGATTGGGCCCGCCTCCGATGGCCTGCTGTCATGTCGGTCGACTGGGTGCGCGTCTACCAGGATCCGGATGCCGAGAACGTCGGTTGCGATCCACCCGACTTTCCCACGGCTGCTTACATCGAGCGTCATAAGGCAGCTTATACGAACCCGAACGCGACGACGTGGGGAGGAACCGCCGAGCAGGGTGGCTATGGTGCTCTGTGGCCCCGTAATAGACTCTATCCATCAGGATGCTCCGCTCCTCCCTCCACTCAACCGGGTTCACCCGTCCAGCCCTATCCTCAGGCTAGTCCTGTGCCATCGTCGGCTATCGCTGTGGGCCAGAATTAGACGTGTCTACTCTTCGACTCTAATTGCATCCCTCCCTACGCCCGACAGAGGACCCGATCAACGCCGGTCCCTCGGGTTCATCACGTATCCCCCGGCTTCATCTGCATATGTTTCACATCATCTTCCAACTCATGTTTCTCAGCATCATGCAAGCACAGCAGCTCGCTGTTCGCTCATACATACCACCGAACAAGCAATGGACACTTTCATTTTCATTCCTTCATCCGAAGCGCGACGCGGTGAAGGATCACTGAGATGCATGATTCGTCGATTGGCCAAGTGAGAAACAGGATTCGTGACCCGACTTCCTTCTGCTTACGAAAGGATTTGGCAAGGAGGGATGGCGGAAGCAGGATCGTCGGCTGCGGTAGCTGTCGCTGGGAGCAACTCGAGACCGTCCGCTCTTGCGGTGAGGCAAGCGTCACTTTGGGAGCGCTTCCGTTTCGCTAACGTCGCTCTGTAGGTGACCAGATCATCATCGTCCTCGTCCGTGTAAAGATCATCGTGCTTGCGGTTGAACAAGGCAGGCGCCTGCAGTGGAACGGATATGAATTTATGTTCCAGCGGTGCGGAACCCGTCAAAGAGGTGGGGTAGAGGTTGAATGAATCCGGCTGTTGATCGCAGGCAAAGCTCATCATCGTGTCCAATTGTGCGGGATGGCTGGCTTTGTGTTTCTTCCTCGCGATGCTATCGTCGGAAGAGTCGGAATCGCTGTCGGAGCTCCTTTCGCTGGTCGGTGCGGATGTCGAATCCGTTGGCATGTGCTCACTTCCTCCAGCTGCGGACGAGACCACTGGGATGCTGTTGACATCGACGTTCCAATCCCCGGCGAACCCGACGGCAGAATTGATCGAGAAAGCCGTGTCCGCCGAGCTCGATGATGTGTCCGAGCCGAGAGAGAGCATTTCTCGCATTGGCTGATTTGTGAGTTGCGCCAGTGACTGGAGGATGGACAACGGTTCGATGGAAAGCGACGCTGTGTTCGGCGGCGACAGCATGTCAGAGGTCGGACCTGTCGTCAGTGGAAGAGCGCTCGGTTGTTCGCAATTTGGCTGCTCGAGCAACTGTAATAGCTGTAGATAGTCTGTCGCTTCTCTCGCTTGGTCGGTGTTGCTGCTGTACGGGTGCGTGGGTCGAGCAGGCGGGCCATCGGACCTTGTGCCAGAACTATCTTCGGATGTCGACTCTACCCGAGAAGAGGCGTCTAATGCAAAGTACGTGTCGAACGCAGACTGCATTGAGGGTTGCTGCCGGTCAAGAGCACTTCCATCGATACCGATTGAGAAGCGATCCGCGCTTCCTATCGAACCCTCGAAACTGGAACCGGCGGAGAGGCTTTCGACAACACTGTTCGGACTCAGTCCACCTCCGATATCACCCACATGGCCGGCCACTGCCGCCCTCAACGCTTCCCTCTGCAAAGGCGGGCTAGCCAGCGGAATTTGCTGAAAAGCCGGAGTCCCGCTCCGAGTAGCTCTCGTCAACCTCTCCAACTGCACATACGCCATATGCGCCGACGGTGAGCGATCCGACAACTGATCCAAAGCCCACAAGCATTTCCCAATGCGATCATGACTTTCCTCCAACTCCTTCCACTTGAACGACGAGCAGTAGCCTTCGTGCAACTTGATTTCGGTCTTGACCACCGCCGTGATGCTATGCACCAGGATCTCCGACCACGGCTCTGTCAACAACAGATTTCCCCCTGAATCACGAACGTATTCGAACGTGGGCTCGAGGTGGTCGAAAGAGGTGCTCTGAATGGCTGCGATCAGCAGAGCCAGGTCCGAGCAGGCACGATCACGAAGTCTCGGAAAGATGCCCGACCTCGCCCTTTCGCACCTCGCCTGCTTATCGCTCGCCCCAGCCATATCCACCGTCTGAACCATCTCGACAAACAGCAGGACCGCTAAGTACCACGGGAATGCCAGCAACACGTACCACGACTGAATCGATGCCGGCAGCTCGCCATGAGAAGCACGGCAAGAATCGATCAGTGGACCGTACACCTGGTTCCAGTGGTAGATGATCGATAGTCCGCTGCGAATTTGCTGCTCGACAGAGATCGTAGAAGCGCGTCGCCAGAACGACATTTGCAAACGTCCGATCTGGCGAAACATGACGACTTTGACTGGTGTTGAGAAGGCGAGTGTCGCAGAGGCTTTGGCGATATTGCAGGGCCAAGAGGTGGAGAATTCGGTGTGTTGCTTGAGCTTGCTCATGTCGAGAATGTAGTCGTCCCAGATGCCTTTTCGTCCGAACAGGGTGCCCGGTGGAACGCCGGGTATGGACGACATGACTTCGCTGTCTTCGTCGCATACGACGGGTGGGTATTTGCGGAGGACGCTGGTCTCCGTATCGATGACCACGCAAAGCCAGTAGAGCATGTGGTATGTTCCTTCCATGCGGGACGTTTCGGCGGCGGTTGCAAGGGTGGGATCGTAGCCAGGTCTGCTGCGACCATGTGCCGCCGTGGCGGGTCGCTTGCTCTCGAGGTCAGCCTGGATCTTGCCTGCCATGGTTGTTGCATTCTGCTCTTCACCGTCGACTTCCATAGCAGATGCTGTTTGCTGTGCTCTTGCTTGACTTGCCGCGCCAGACGACGATGTAGCAGCCCCTGCAAGCTTGCGATTCGGAGCATTCCAAGGGCATACACCTCTTCTCTTCTTACCCTCGATCCTGAATTTGATGCTCAACAATTTTCGCATCGCTGCCACCAACAGGAAAGTACTTCCCTCGGCAGGCGACTGCCAGGCACTTGTATCCAACGCACAATTCTCCGCGTTCAGATCCACGTCGATCCCGTTCTCCACGCAATCCATCACCTGTCTCGGCTTTTCCGTCCAAGCAAAGATGATCAAGGCAAAGATGACTCGGAACGAATCGACGTTTGCGACCTTTTGCAGCTTGTCCCTCGCTCGCTCCCACAGAGCTAGCCTGACTTTGTTCCCTGAAGAACTCGACTGAGGTTGGGTGAGGTTTGAGACCCAGTGTGGACTCCATTGCGCAGCAAAAGCTAGCACGACGGAATGAAACGCATCCATGATCTCTCTTTCTCGACTGGCAGGGCTGAAAGGAGACTGCAAGAGGAGCGTACGTGCTCCTCGGTCGAGCTCGCAGATGCGCCAATAGACGAGCTGCTGAGATGACGATGACGAAGAGGTGGAACACTGGGAAAGCATGTACGGTGTGTTGGAAGAGGTGACCCAGCATTTAAGTGCGTGCTCGGCCGCGCCTTCGTAGACGCGAATGAGACCGTCGTTGAGGAAGATGCGGTCGATGGTGCTGGACATCCGCGTGGTCGACGAGGTCGGAGATATGCTGGTCAGAGACTTGAATGCTGATGCAGCCTCTGCGACTGTCATGTCCTCGATCATGAACTGACCCGGCTGGTCGTTCGGCTTGACGCCACTCCGCGCTACTGTCCGCGGAATCGAAGCCTGCCGGAGTTCGGCAAATGCCGAGCGGCTGTCAACCATGTCTGTTTGAGCAGCATTCGATCCGAGATCGGTCAGGGTCTGGGAAGTACTGTTGACCGACTCGGACACCATTAGTTGGCCTACAAAAGTCGACAGATCAGGCATGATTGCCCCATCGCCGCTGGCTGCGACACCGTGTCCCGTCGTGCTAGGAACGCCGCCGAGGATGGACAGCACATACTGGAAGGAACATGTTTTGCCCTTCTTTCTACAGTTCGAGCAAGCGACTTTGCTGTTGATAGCTTCGGCCACCGAGTCGTACTCTGCATTGCAGGCACGTTTGCCCACACGGCATCGATCGCAGGATCGATACTGACGACGTCGCGAGTCTTTGGCGCTAGAAAGCGCGATGGCTGCGGCTGCTGCAGACGATTCTGCCTTCATCATTGTGGCGTAAGGTCTGTATGAGGATAAGGCTCAAGGGAGGTTCGATGGTAAACTTCGCGAGGGACAGGGATGTGATGATCTTACATGGGGTAGGCTCACCAAGTGTGGGGAAAGGACCCTTGCTCGGGAAAACTTGCCAGACGGACGCTCGATGGTCTTCTCGACAGCGACACAGGCCGGACACAAGTCTGTGGGGCAACTCGGATGTTCATGGTAGCCAATCTCTCGGCTGTGACAACGGGCAGCAACACAGACAGACAAGGTCACGAGGAAGTGTGGGGAAGTTGATGCGGCTTCCCGTGCTACGCGGAAGAGCGGTCACTAATGTTGCCGACCGCGGACGGAGCACCGCTGTACCCAAAGTCATGCAGAACCCTCGGCTCGACTTGCATCCTTGCAAAGCTGAAGCTGCGGGCGTTCCAGCGGCCTGCGGAGGCGAAGCGCAAATCGACACTCTGCTCCTCAGCCTCTGAAGTTGAGCGGCGCGACCAATAAAGATGTCTCAAATTGTTGTGTGTCTCGGTCTCACATAGTAAACGTCTTGAAATACATCTGCGGAACGCGGAGAAAAGTGTCGCTGCCACAAGCGAAATTTTTGGGATTTGATGCTTGCCAAACCTGGAAGAAATAGAATCAGCCAACAGCAGATTCATTGCGTCCATCATCACCGTCATCAGCTCGCACAAAAAGTCGACAAGCATCATGGCTGCCACCACATCTGCTGCCTCAGCGGTAGCGCCAAGCGACATTGCAAAACTGTTAGCAACAGTTCAAAAGTCGGTCACGGCTCTCAGCAGCTCAGTCAAAGCCTTTGAGAACGACGTCACCGAGGCCGCATCCAACGATTCCGCAGCGAACCCTTTTGCATACCCTGACGGCATCTCCTTGCTCTCCGTCAAGAACGATGCTATGCTCGACTACCTCCACCACATCGTCGCTGTTTGTCTTGCCAAGATCTCAGGTCGATCCTTGACCGCCAGCAGCAGCAAAACAGATGCTCTACAGGGTCCGGCAGATCTTGTCCAGGATCTTGTCACACTTCGCCTGATGCTCGAAAAGCTTCGACCGCTGGAGAACAGACTCAAATATCAAATGGACAAACTTCTTCGTGCTGCTGCTGATGACGACAAGGACGTCCTGCTGGGCCGGTCCAAGCCGGCATCGACCAAGGCCAAGAAGAGCAAAGGCGACAGCAGCGATGAAGACGAAGCCAGCGATGACGACCTTGCATTCCGACCGAATCCAGCCGCCTTCATGCAGGACAAAGCTCGAAACGTGGCTCAGACAGGCAAGGCAAACGGCACGTCGAAGAGAAGACCAGGACACCAGTCCTCCGATTCAGAGTCTGAGTCGGAGCAGGAAGGCGGCAAGACAGCCGTCTATCGACCGCCCAAACTTGTGCCCATGTCGTACGACCCGGATGCACGAACCAACAAGAAGGATTCACTTTCGTCCATCACGCGCAACTCTGCATTGCTATCTGATCTCACAGCTGGCATGTCCTCGAATCCGTACGAAGCCTCCTCTGCCGGCGTCGGCGTTGGAGGTCGTGGTCGACTGGCAGCCAACACCTCTTCCCGCGCCAAAGCGTTGGCCAGAATGGACGAGTTCGAGGAGGAGAACTTCACCCGTCTCGTCATGTCCAAAAAGGATGCTCGCAAGCGTCGTCGTGACGAAGCCGACGTTGCACTCGGCGGCGCCGGTCTCAGTTCGGGTCGCGATGGCAGGAGAAGGATCGGTGGTGGTATGGAGGAAGAGTTTGGCGATCTGCTTCGTGGATCGGGGCTGGACGGTCGTGGAGGAAAGAAGGCGAAGAAGGCTGCGAGCGCGTACGATGCGCTCAGGGCCAGCAGCAAGGCTGGCTCGACGTTGCAGAGGTCCAAGGGTTCTTCCGCGCCGTCGTCCGCACCGGGTGGCAAGAGCAACAAGTTCAAGAACCAGGTCAATCGTGCTCGGAGGTGATTGGATACCTATGCAGTGGACAGCAATTCGACAATCTCTGCCAAAGTGAATGTATTCAAACGCGGACATGCGTGTGAGACAGAGTACCTGAACATCCCATTGCTGAGGAATCACGCGAGCTACTACTCAGCATCCCCATCGTCATCATTGTCATCATCTACGTCCAAACTCGCCTCAAAGAAACCAACCACTTTCACACCATCTCCATCGTCCTCTCGATGTTGGTCATCGTGCTCTCGTGTGACGCCGTCATCTACACCTCTCCCGCCTCTTCCCTGATACTCTGCTGGATCTCTACGCTTTCGCCGCCTACGCTCTACTCTTTGCTTCTCGAGTGTCTGCTTGATCCACTGCAAATTTTCCGCATGCGAGTCCCCACACTGCGGCGATGCGAGTCGTGACGCCAGGACGTCGTAGTATACTTTCTCTGCCAGATGCACAGCGGCGTCCGTCAGTCCCGAGATGGATGTGGTTGCGTGACTGGCTTCGCCCGATGATGGGGCACTGGACGGCGGTGGGAATGGGATGCTCGATATGTTAGGATGTGTGCTCTCGTCGAGCGTCAGAGGTATGAGTTGGCGGTACGTCATTTGAAGCAGGGGCTGCGTGGCAGACGTTGCTTCGGGTGGATGTGCTTTGTTCGTTAAGCTGATCACTTGGGCGAGCACCGGTTGCAGGGCATCCGACGCCGAGCGGTGAGAGTCTTGCTCGGCAGCCTCGGTCTGGATGTAGTAGACATACTGGCCCTTGGGGCAGGAGAATGTGCCTTCGCCCATCATGAGCACGGTGACAGTATTTGCGTTACCTCCGATGGAGCCCGGAGGAAAGACGACGAGGCCTGTCTCTGGCGGGAGGTCTGACTCGGCAGCTGTACGCGATGAAGTGTCTTTGGCATCTTCTTCGGTTGTCCGTACATCTGGATTTACGGCATCGGTGAAGGAGATGGGTGTGTCGAGGACCAGTATCGCCTTGTACAGAACTTTTACCTTAGGCTCTGAATTTGAGGCGTCTGTTGACCGCAGGCCAAGCTCGTGTAGTACTTCATCGCTCGAGACGATGTAGTCCGCTGTGATTACCTCATCTATGCCATCAACACCGATCTCCCAGTTATCTGTTACCTTCTTTGCGCTTTTAATCCCGTGTGCCAGTATGAACATGCCTCCCTTGACCGCCGAAGCACGGCAATAACCTTGCGCGAGCTCACCTGCACCTCCGTACTGTCCCACAAGATACGCCGAGTTACCGTACCTTCCCACACTTTGCATGTGGCTCTTTGCTCTCTTCATCGCCATCTCTGTTGTCTCGTCTGGTGTTGCACAAAGACACACGCCGTAGGCGACTGCGTCAATGAGATCGGGCGACATCTTGTGCACCTCTGCCAGATACTCGACGAACGGCTTCTTTGCAAGCTTCTGATCGTGTGCAAGGTCCGACTGCCAATCCTCGGTACCGATGTACATGAGAAGCTTCATAAGCTTGCGCTTAGCTATCAAAGAAAGTGTCTTGGTCTTGAAGATGTCCTCTTTGCTGGCGGGAACGCCGGTGAGCGTCATATTGGTCGAGTCGTCCGTTGATGCGGATGCTACACAAGTGCGTTCGAGCAGGCGAAATGTGGCGTAAGACGAGACTTTGGAGCGAATCAGACAATCAATCGAGGGTCCTGTAGCGGGCAGAAGAGTAGGTGCAAGCGAGATCGCATAGTGGCGATCGAGGGATGCTAGTGACGGGGGCAACTGAGAAGGTTCGCTTGACTTTGCGTCTTCGGCATCGGTCGCGGAAGGAAAGCGGAGGTCAACATCGTCAATGTGCTGCACGGAAGAGAATCCATTCCGAGGGCTGTTCTTGATGCTTTGTGTCCACTTAAGCAGCTCTGAAAGTGTCAGACTGGCCCACTGATCCGCATAGTAGTCGTTCTTGTCTATATGGATCACGGAGAGCCCAGCTGAGGCGAGAGCGGCCGACAGAATGCTCTGAGGGAGACCTGTGCTGAAGATGGCCACGTCGTAATGAGTGCGATCGAGCGACATGATTGAGCGATGCCGACAGTTGCCTGGAGGGCTGAGGAGCGGAACGAGAATGTGCAAGTCACAGTCCCAAGTCTGTGTGTTTCAAGGGTCCAACTCTGGCTCGTCTCCGAATCCCGAACCAAGATCCTCGTGATTTTGAAAAAGTTAGTGACACTTCTTGTACCACCTTCTTGCCTCTGCTCCCTTTTACAACTGCAGATACCGGCTTCTCTCTACTGCCATGAGCGGGACACCAGGACACACAGATCCACAGGCCGCTGCTGTCATGCCAGTCAAGGCTCGCGTTGTCGAGGCTGGCACGGCTGCAAGCAGCTCCTCCCGCAGCAAGGTGCTACTGCCCGTCGACATCATCCGATCGCTGAAATTGCAGACGGGCGATGCTGTGCTGATCACAGCCGAGGCATCAGTTGACAATGATTTCGCTGTTGGGACTGTATGGCCATCTTTCGCGCTTGAAGCTGGGACCATTCGCCTCCCACTCGCTGCACAGATGCCCAGTGGGCTTGCATCCGGCCAAACGGTTTTGGTCCTTCCTCTCCAAGCAACTCAGTCGAAGAGCGCCTCTAGAAAGCCGCCGACAGCTACATCCGCTGTTATTTCAGCCCTTTCGCCATCCAGTTCGAGCTCTCTCGCGAAGCTCGGCACGTCTGACCGACAGATGCTCACTGTGCACGCCAAGGAAGCTTTGACCGATCTCGAATGCGTCCATTTGGGTCAAGAACTTTCTTTGAGCTTCCAAGGAGAGCTTTATCACTTTATTATCACGTCGCTGCATGATGCAATTGGGCAGCAAGAGTGGAACGTTTCGACGAGTAATCAGTCGGGTCCAGCAGGGAGCACGACGCAAGTTTGCGTAGCGAGCCGGTCAACCGAGGTTTCCATCACCACCTCTGAAGCGGAACTCAACAAAACGAAAGACGCAGCAATCGGACCTGCAGAGGTTGCTCCTGGCAAGAACCCATACGCGAAGCTGGGCGGACTGGATCGACAGATTGCAGAGATCAAGACTCTGATTGAGATGCCACTCATGTCTCCCGAGATCTTTGTCCAGTACGGGCTCAAACCGCCGAAAGGAGTGCTGCTGTACGGCCCGCCTGGAACGGGAAAGACTTCTCTCGCACGGGCAGTCGCTGCCGCTACCGGCTCATCTTACCTCACCATCAACGGGCCAGAACTCTCGTCTGCCTTTCATGGTGAGACCGAATCCAAACTTCGCAGCATCTTCAGAGAAGCAAGACGCAAGAGCCCATGCATCATCATCATCGACGAGATCGATGCCCTAGCACCGAGGCGAGAAGGCGGCACCGGCGAAGGTGCCAATGCGGATGGAGCCGGCGAGGTGGAGCGCCGAGTGGTTGCACAGCTTCTGACACTTCTCGATGGCATGGAAGAGGCCGATGACGATGACGACGAGGATCCTCAGCAGGACGAAACAGCGTTGACTGATTCAAGGATGGAACAGAGGTCATTGTCGAAGACAAAGAAGGCGGCGAGAGTGCCTGCTCGCGTAGTTGTTCTTGCTGCGACCAACAGGCCCAACGCCATTGATCCTGCTCTTCGTCGTCCTGGACGAATCGATCGAGAAATTGAGATCGGCATCCCGACCGCTGCAGCTCGAGGCGAGATCATCCGAACTCTCATACAGCCCGTACCACATGCTATGACTCCGGAGCAGATCGACGACCTCGCTAGCCGTACACACGGTTATGTCGGGGCAGATCTTTCTGCGCTCGTCCGCGAGGCTGGTATGCGAGCCGTTCGACGTACCTTTGCTCGGCGCAAAGCCGAACCTGATCAGCTGGAGGCCAAGATTGCTTCCATGACGCTCGAAGCCAACGCTGTAAATAATACCAACGATGCTACGCTCGACCAGGTGACTGCAACAGACGTCCTTGCGTCTCTGCCGCTCGTCCGACCCTCTGCCATGCGCGAGATCTTCCTAGAACCACCAAAAGTATATTGGTCAGACATCGCTGGTTCTTCGACGCCCTCAGCAGGTGGCTCGGGGGCACTGTCCTCCAAATCCGTCCAAGCTCAGGTCCGCGAACTCGTCGAGTGGCCCATCAAGCATGCCGCCGCTTTCAACCGATTGGGCGTCTCCCCGCCTCGAGGCGTTCTGCTATACGGCCCACCGGGCTGTTCGAAGACGCTCATTGCTCGAGCTCTCGCTACGGAATCTGGACTCAACTTCCTCGCCGTCAAAGGTCCCGAACTATATTCGAAGTACGTAGGTGAATCAGAACGTGCCATCCGCGACACTTTCAAGAAAGCACGAGCAGCAGCACCTAGCATCATCTTCTTTGACGAGATTGATGCCCTCTCCTCCAGCCGCGATGGCGATTCCTCGAGCGGGGACGCACTCAACAGCCGTATCATCGCCACACTGCTCAACGAGATGGATGGAATCGAGGCCATGTCGGATGTCATTGTGATCGGCGCCACCAACAGGCCACAGACGCTGGATCCTGCTCTACTACGACCAGGTCGACTCGACAGGCTTGTGTACGTTGGCCCGCCGGATCACGCGGCGAGGCAGCAGATCCTGCGTACAAGGATGGCCAAAATGGCAGTTGGTGCAGACGACGTCGATTTGGAGAAGCTCGCGCAGATGACGGATGGTTGCTCGGGCGCCGAGGTGGTCTCGGTTTGTCAAGAGGCAGGGCTGTTAGCAATGGACGAAGATCTAAATTGCGAAATAATCGAGCAACGACACTTTGAGATTGCTGCTTCGTCGGTCAAACGTCGCATCACTTCACTGATGCTTCGGCAGTACGAGACTTGGCGCGACACCCTCGTCGTCTAAGCTCAGCGAGTCAAATTTTCATCCCCGAAACCTTCCGGCAGAGAGCTCATCCGAACATCACGCAGCGACGAAAGGTTGATGCGATGAACAACGATCTATTAAGCGTGAACAAAAAGAATGCCTGTAACGTGCGATGACAAACCCTTACAAACGAGACTGGAACTAGAAACAAGGAGAGTGAATGACGAGAGACAGTGGACCGTGGTCCCTTAGTTGTTGCCATAAGCAGCGATAGCCTTGTAGTAAAGGACCGTGCAGTAGGATTCCTCGATCTGGCTTGCTACCAACTGACTCAAGACAGTGATGTAGAACAAGACGAACGAGGAAGCAAACAGCCACCAACCGGCACGCAACACAGCGCTGGTGATTTCGGCAGCCGTGTACTCGTGCGTCCACTTGGGCAGAAGCGAGACGACGGTCATCATTGACATCTCCGAATCCGACTGGAAGTGTACCTTTTCCGTGTCGACCACCTTCGTCTTTTGTTTGGGTGGAGGGAAGAGTTGAGCTGGAAGATGGATGATGAGTGTGTGGACCAAGGCGGTGGAGAGGACACCGATGATGATCTGCATGAAGATAAGCCACGAAGATCGACCGAGGGGGCAGATGAGAACAGTGACCCCTGCACTGTAGAGCGCGAGAAGGGTGCCTTTGGCGGAGAGAATGGACCAGATCATGGACGTGTTGAGTAGAAGCTGCTTTGGGTCGCGCAGTTTGAGCTCGTGTCCGACCTGCCTGCACCATGCCTCGGCGGGGATCTTTGCGGGCAGAAGGTACATCCTCGTCATGGTGATGATGAGGAAGAATCCAGCGACGGCGAAGGAGATGCCGATCTGAAGGACGTTGGAGAGCTTGTCGAATCGAGCGTCGAGGAAGCTGCCCCACGCCCAGCCCCAAAGACCACCGAGGATCCAACCACAGAGGACATCGGTAGGCCAGTGAAGTGCGAGATACAGACGTGACAGACCGGAGGCCAAAGTGAGGATGCTCAAAGCAACGTGAACTCCCGCGGGGAAGTCGAACGCGAAACCCTCGTGAGTACGCGAGAAGTAGTAGGTTGCGTACAAGCATGCCATGAACGCCGAGTGACCCGATGGGAAGGTGTAATCGTACTGCCTCAGAGGCCTCTTCAAGGCGTACGGGTTGATCTTGAGACGGTTTGCTGCCACCCAGGCCGGACGGGGAACGGGATTCATCACCTTGATGAAGTTGACCAAGGCAAACGTGATGATACACGAGCGCATGATAGCGTTGAGCGCCAACTGGTTCCATCTCGAAAAGTAAATGCAGGCACCGATGAAAATCAGCGTCGACTCCTGGATAGTGTGATGCAAGACCAGCGAAGGGATCTTGAACCCTGGCAAGCTCTGAATTCTGTTGATGATGGAAATCTCGAAAGCACGGTACGTAGGATGCAGTCGAGCGGTAAGCATGTGCCTCCACTTGACCTTGTCCCGGTAATCGATGTTCCATGCCTGGCACTGCCTGAGGGAGCATTCGACGATCTTGCTTTCGCACTCGGCCTTGATCTCTTCCGCCGTCCTGCCGTGCAGCTGCACAGGCTCGAGCAAGGCGTAGGTAACCTTGGCGTAGGGCATCATCATGAGCAGCAGGAAATCGAACAAGTAGCTCGAGTTGGCTTTGCGGAGATGGATAGGGTACGGCATGTCGTAGCTCATGGCCACGGGGACGAGCTCGACCTGGGTAGGGTGGGCAGCGGCGAACTTGAAAGTGGGCAGTGCAAAATGCACGAAGTTGTTCTGTGCCACCGTCACTGCCTGAGGGAAGACAACGAGATTCTTTGCCAAGACGGGATTTTGCACCCAATTTTCGAGCATCTTCACTAGAGACATGCCGCGCTTCTTGACGACCGAGAATGGACGTGTCAGGAACCCGGTGATCCCGTGTGCTACGGCCTCACCAACAATCAAAGATGAGTTGGTGAGAAGCGGGAGGCATCCATCAAGGAAGAGATAAGGGTGCTCGGCGCAGTAGATGCGTCGGACGTCGGCTTGCGCAGCCTCGCCCCAGTTATTGATGGAGAAGGTTTCCGCAGCAATTGGGTTGCCCAGGTGGTCGACCACGTTGAACTTGACCAAAGGGAAAATTTGCTGAGGGTGCAATCCTTTTGGACCTTTGACGCCAAGGATGTAGAAGGCTCGCATGAACATGTAGATCAGCTGGCCGATGCAAAGAATGATCCCGAATGGAATGTAGAGGATCCAGAGGAAGGACCACCAAGAGAGCATCTTGGGATTGAGACGTCGCGTGGGCCACGATGCCTCGCAGGCCGCGGTATCGAGCTCGGTCTCGACAGCCATCTTGTCGTATCTGACGCGGCTCGCGGTGCCAAATGTGATCGGTCCTTGAGGTGCGAGAGAGAGGGGGTTGGATGGTGGTGGAAGGAAGTTGAGAGACACGTCGTTGCCCTACGTCGAAGGTGTCTGCCAAGGTAGAGGGTGCAAAGCGTTAGAAGCAAGCAAGCAGAGGATGTGTAAGGGAGGAAAAGCTTGAACAACGCAGAGTCTTGTTCGCAGAAGACCGTAGACGACTGACAACGAGATGACGCTGGAGAGGGCACATGAGCAACGGCTAATGACTTTACCAGATGCCTGCGCGTTTTGTTGATAGGCGCAGAAACTGTTTGTTCGTCTCTGTCCGTAACACAAGGTCAAGCCCCCCGAAAGATTTGAGACGCCTTGATCGATGCCGCCTGTTGGTTTCGTTTTTCCCTCACGGCAATCGTGCAAAGAATCCGTTTTCGGCTCAGGCGGACTGGAGGCAACTTCAAGGATTATTGGATGGTCGGCACAGTGCAAGACGATTAGAAATTCCGGGAAGATTGATGCACGAAAGCGTGGCAGCAAGGACAAAGGGGCGGATCGGCGGTGTCAAATGGCCCACGTTGCGTCTCGAGCCGGGATTACCGTGCGCAGTACACTCGTGTCTCAGATGCATTCCTGGACAGGTTGAGAGGAAACGCCAAGTATCTCAATGACCGCGCCTAATACCATTTTTTATCTTTTAAATTACTCTTCGTAAATCTGGGTTGATAAACCCGTTTTCTGCAGCACACTGAGACCTGAATCTGCCTCAGATTCACCGAGCGAATGGAAGAACGTTTTTATTCTGAAATTCGAGCATGCACTCTGAGCAGTTCGCCGGCAAGGCTAAATGAGCGACCGTGATCCCTGTATGGTGCGCTGAAGTGCGCCACCTAGCAGGAAAGGGGACCGGTCGCTTGACTGACTGGTGCGCTTTCGCAAGCTCTCGGAATACGAGCCCACGATTGTCTTTGAGAAGCAGCGAACCACTTCAGCTTCGGCGAATGCGACTGTGATCTGCTCAAGACGAGGGAGGGTCCGCAGCAAGCTCCCTCAGTTCAATTGAACTCTGCAACGTTCAGCAGTGCTGGTGTAGTGACCTCCATTACTGATAGTCTGTACTGGTCTGACCTGACTCCACTCAGACGCACTCGCACGCAACAGTCGAACGTCGAGTTCATTCCCTGGCGAGCGAAATCGACGAAGAAATCTACCTTCCCATCCCGCCATCACGATCACAATCTGATCCTCCTCAAACGCTATCCAGCATCAGCAATCCATTCCGCTAGAATTGCCCTCACAACGCAAGTGTTCTGGACAAGATGTCGCCCACAAGTATTCGTTCAAGCTGCATAGCGCTGGTAGCAACTCTGGCCCTGGCTACCGCTCCAACGTACGGTCAAAGCTCAGCATCAGCGAGCTCAATTACGGTCAGTTCGACAGCGAGTCGATCCGCTACATCTACAGGCTCGGCTACGCCATCGGCATCGGCAACGATGGCACCCTACATGGTCTCCTGTCCCGCTGAGCTCGAGCTGCAAATCGGCATCTGCCTCGACACGGTCGCTCGTGACGGAGCGGTATTGCCTTGCAACGCAGACGACTGGTGGTGCAACTGCAACAATTGGCAAGGTGTGATCGCGTGCTATCAGCCGTGTCCCGACATGCAGGATCAGCTCGATGTCGAGTGGAATCAGCAAAATTGCCAGGGTCAGCACGGCTTCGCCAACCTCTTCGGAGGTAACTCGTCAGGCACGTATCTCGGCTCCAACATTGTAACAACAGGATCCAACGGCGCCACAAGAGCGTACTATAGCGCGATGCCAGTGAGCAGCTCAGCCACGGCAAGCGCCTGGACGTGGACACCGACTGCAACCGGCTCGAGCCAACAGCGCTCCTCGTCTTCGGCGGCGCGGCACTTTTCTATTCCGGCAGGCCTTCTTGCATCCTCGCTCGCTCTCGCTGCAGCTTCCGGCTTGCTCATCCTCTGATCGTTATTCTCGTACTTGTCGTCTCCACATGTCATTGATAGGGCGCCGTCTCCGTTCGCACTCCGTCCAGTTCCGCATCACACGTCCATTCAATGCTTTTACCGATGTTTGTGGGTCATTTGTTTGTTAAGGTAGTCACGAATCCATCCATTCTTCGTTTTGTTTGTCCGTTTCAAAAATATGAGAGCGTGGCTTGCTGGGTGCCCGTTGGCGTCGGTTCCTGATTCTGCCGGGCAGCCGGCGCAGGGTCCAGCTCGTCCGTGCTGTTTGTTAGACCGTCGCTCGCTGCCACGCGTTGATCCGACCGTATGCTTTCTCGCAGCGACATCTCCTCGACACTATCGGCCTTCTAGCGTGGAGCGGACCTTGTGATTATCAGGCTTAAACATGCTATCCAGGCACTGCATTCTCAAGAATCATCTGAACATTGCTGAGCATACCAGAACTCATGCCAAATAAAGCTATGGTACAAGCGCTTGAGCACTGAGCCTCAAGGTGCAAGCGATTAGCCATAGACAACCGTGAAAACACACACTTACTCTCCATTCAGGAGGGTGCAACTCATGTTGTTGAGATCATGTCGCAAGCCAGAGGACTGCAGATTGGGATGATACATGCGTTGAAGCTATCACGGCACAGCAAATCGATAGCAAGTTCCGCAAGGAATGAGGATGATCACGATGGACGTGAGAGCGGCTCCGCTAGCAAATCCACTGGATGATCGATAGCAGACGGACGGAGGTTCACGCTTTGTGCACGCCATGCTTGTCCTCATGCGATTGCGAGGAGATGAAGGAAGGGCTGAACAGGCTCGAAAAGTTTTGCAAGCATCGCCAAGAAACGGCCTAGCGTCGCAGGTGCCGGTTCATGTCTCAGGGACGGCAAACTTAGGCAACCCGTATATCCATGCTCGCCAAAGAAGGCGGGTTGAACATCCATATGGGTCAAGAGCGTGTGTCGTAGATGCCCAGACTTCCGGATCAGGGTCTTGGTCTGATATGCTGGGGATAACATGGCACCAGGTCTTGGGCGCCGATTTCGGGCAAGAAGATATGCATAAGCGAAAGTACAAGGAGATCGAGGACGCAGCGACGATAAGGGCAACGGACGGTGGTGGTCAAGACGCTGCCGCACAGCACGGTAGAGTCCGAGGTCGGGCATGGCGAGAAATCATGTGATTTTATAATATCACAGGACCGCAACGAGCTCACTTCGCGCCGGAGAGCAGGGTCCCAGGCTAGAACCGCCCACATACATGCTTGCAGGAAAGAATCTCTTCCCACGCTGGCCTGCCCCAAAAGCGGCCGTTTCTAGGAACACCACCAGCACTGTCGATTGCAATAAATTGATCTCGCTAATGCAAAAGACCCTCGCCTGGAAGCAGCGCTGGAAATCCATGGCCACGGGTGTATCGTGAACCGCCGCTCGCGTCCACACAAGCGTCCACAAGCGATCCGTGATCGTTTCAACCCGAGCCTTGTCTCGCAAAAGAAACGACTCTTCGGCTATCGAATTACATCCCTCGGCTGTTTGCGACCAGCTCTGCAAATATTTGCCGTCTCTGATTTGGTTGGTTATCGGTGTCACTTTTGTAGCGACGTCACGGACGAGGCTGAGACCAGGCGTCGACAGCGCGTGGTCGAGGGGAGTCTGGGTGTCAGCGTGCTCTCGACATGTACGGAACGGCGAGAGCCTCGAAACAAGCCGCAAGGCCGGCCGAGACAGTTCGGAGGCCTTTAAGACGAAGAGGACTGCGCCTCAAGCTGGGTGAAAAGAGGAAAAGACGTGAAAAGAGGCTCGAGGTCTGGATCAAGTTGACTGACCTGCAAATACCGTGGTGATGGGCGACCGGACTGTGAAATTACGCGTGGCAGACGGCTTCCCAGGGTCTGCAGACTGCTGGGCGCAACATCTTTGCATAGACGGAAAAATGCTCTAGTGCCAGTCTGCTGCACGGAGACCCTTGAGCTGCGGCCTAAGAGTCCCGTGAGACATTTCCACGGCGACGAAAAACGCAGCAAATATTGTGAAAAAGCAGCGTGCTCTCCAAGCCGAAAGACAGCCGCGTGGTGCCGAGGTTGCCTGCGCCCAGCAAAGCAGAAAATTTCGCCTGAAAATCTTTGGCTGCTAGTCGCTCGCTTCGCAGCACGCGCTCCTCCGCGCTCGCAGCGCCAAACGAGGGCCGAGGGCCGGGCACGATCAAATGTGGCCCCTGACGGACAGGCATTTCCCGCGGAATTTCTTCGCCTCCAGGAGCCGCAAGCCATTCGGGGTCTGGCCTCAAGGCGCCTGTTCATAGTCCAATCACCGCCAGGAGGGTGCTGCACAAGGCGAGATTGGCTGATCGAAGTTGTCATGTCAATCGTCCCTTCCAGCAGAGACAAGCTCGCCGATCAAGCTTGAGTTCGGACCGGGACGCCGGACATACAAACAATGCCTGTCGCACAGCAGCACCCAAACCGCCAAACAGAACGGTGTCTGCCAAAATGTCTTGAACGCTAAAATGGTAGCACGTTGCTGCCGTTATTCATGTCCTCTGCTGCAGAACGGGAAGCTTCGGAGCGCGGACGTTTCGCATAAGCGAGCTGGAAAAGCATTTAGGCGAGACCACAAAATTCGGATTGGCAGCAGATCTGCCGATTCGATCCACAGGGTCGCCGGGCGAGTCGGCAACAGGTCACGCTCATCGAAGCGCTAGACAGTTTTGATGTTCTGAACGAAGATGCTCCGAACGGCACTGTGCACAGTCAATGCATTAGGTCCATTTTACGCGACACGCGCATCCAGTCCAATTCCTGCAGACAGCAAGCGCCAGCGCAGTCCACGATCTGCGGTACGCATTGGCGCTCGACGGCGGAAGAACGACCTGCAAACTTATACTGCTTATCGATGGTCGACCTTGACAACGACTACCAGGTGCTAACCGTCATCTTCTCCCACGTCCGAGCCGATGCGGTACCGAGTCTGAGGATGAGCTCGACACCCTGTTTGCAGACCTGTATGACGCTTTTCAAGGCTAAGCATTGTCTTGGTGGGTCGTAATGCAGTCGTAAGACAACCTTTCGCTTGACAAATCTGGTACAGCTCTGTGAACCAAAGTGGTGTCGACTGATGTCCGTGCTGCGTTTCGTGGTGGTGCTTATCGCATCACGCAGGCATCAGCGCCAACAAACCGGGTAACACGGCCATATTGGAGCGGTAGGGTCAATGTTTCGTATCGCAAGCTCACTCGAAGAAGTTGATCGATACGATGACGAGGAGAACTACCACCCGAAGAGCATCACAGCGCATGGTCGGGATGACCTGGACGAACATGCGCACCAGTCGATCGCCTTACTTCTGAGCAGCCGCTCGTCAACCAATGTGGACGTCATCCGAAGCGGGATCCATCGTGAGATCTTTCAGAGACATGGAACATCGATACGCATCTCGAGTATCGTATGCCACACATGCCACAGAGAGACAACGTGCGCCACGCAAGCTGCAACGTGGTTCCTGAAATGTACCTGTTCGCACCCAATGATAAGGCCCATTTGGCCATCCGCTCAATCGTGAGAAGCGATGCAGATTTTCCAGTCATGCTCTTCCATGCTACAGGTCGGAATCGCTGATGCTACATGCCGGGACGGGAAGGCGAGTGCTGACGGGCTCACTGAGTCAGGCACAGCGGCGGGGCTGAACAGATTCCGTGACGGATAGCAACGCACGCCGTGGACCCTTGTACGCGCTGCAGGTGATTTGTTCCTGGTTGACCGCCATCTGCGATTAGCTTTTCCAGCTCCGCCGCTCTGGGGTGCGCGAGGAGCACGTTTTTCCCACGTACGCGACGTGAGTGCTGTGTTGCGATAACGTGGAGGGATATCGGGAGAAGAAATTGCAATTAAAATCGGGCTGTGCGTCGTTACCACGCCTATCAAAAAGATCGTCGAAATGATCGTCAATGAGTGAAGGTTGTCACGTCGATGAGCTGAGCATTCACATGGAGTCACAGTAGGCGCGAGAGACACTGAACGTCCGCTCAAACCTTTCACTTACGTGTTGCGATAGTCATCTTACGATACAATCCCAGAGCCTTCATTCCACGGACGTAAGCAAGTCACCATGCCGAAAGGCGTCTGAAACACATTTCACCGTTGGATCGCATTGATGCTGGCATCGAGCTAGTGGCATCCTATCGATTGCCAAGAGATAGCCACTGGAGTGTGAGAGTGGTCCCCCGAGCCGACAGATCGCCACCTTCCACGCTGTGTCAGCGCTCTTTGCGCCTTGCTGCTGCGAGGATGCAGAGCCGCCACACGTCCGAACGAGATCCTCTTACATCTCGGTGTTGCGAAGAAACATACGAGTTTGTGGAGTGTTTGTGGCTTTGTCAGCGGTCTCGTGTTCTCCGAGGCGGACTACAACCTTTGATCGACAGACACCGGCTATTCACTTCTAGACTCGGAAGACGTCCCGGACCGTCAGCGCCGTGTTTCATCCAGCGGTCCAGATTCGTTCGCACAAACCCACTCGGGATTTCTTCATATCCGGAATTCATTTCGGAGATAAAATTCTAATTAATTAAAAGAAGACAAAATGACATGGAATCTGAGTCTCGAAGATCATATCCAGAAAAGTGGGTTCACCGAAAAATTCAGCACTGCCAAGCGAAGGTCGAGGTCTACGCCCACATTTTGCGGTAATAATGGCATCTGCCCGCCGAAAGCGTCTTCGGACTCGAACTGACAGATAGCTGGCCGACGAGAATATGTGCGAGAGGCTCGAAGCGTCGTCGCTGCTGAATGCTCGCTGCTACGAGACAAGCATCGATGGGAACAGGAGTTCAGCTCGTTCTTTGCAGTGTGCCCAGAAGACGGTGCATAGACATCACTTTGAAGTTTCAGCAAAGTCAGCTTAGTCTGCGCCTCCACTGCAGGAAAGTTCGTAGGCCCACCTTCCGTTGTATCGCATCTTGTCGGGCCTTTCATTTCCCTCTTGATTCTTCTCACCATCATCTAACGGTCGCGCTGGCAACTCGCGAGTATCACATTCCTCGTCCCGATCACAGCCTTCGTTGCCATACACGCCTCCATCGTCCCGTCTTCCTTCAAGCGCTCTTTTCAGACTTTCGCCAGGCAACCGACAGTCAAGACATACGAACACAAAGTGGCATCATGCACGTCTCAGGATTCGTCAAGGGCGCTGCTGCCGCAGCGTTGCTGCTGGTCGGTACCAGTTCCGCCACCAGAATCTCAAAACCATCGCCTTATGACAAGTACGCGCTGCTTGCCCAGCAAATGGGATCAGGAGATGTGTCGTCTTCGTCTCTGGTGCAGCCAACCTGGATGCGTTTGCAGCAGCATCTCACCCTTCCTGATACCTCGAATCCTGAATTAGCGTACGAGTCATTGGGATTAATCGTACCTGGTCTCAATCTCTCGGTGCTGAAGGGTGAGGGTGGAAATTATTCCCTCGCTGGCATTCCTCTGAACAACACCGCAAGCCTCAACGAGGAAGAGATCGCCCGCGCTAGAAATTGTCCCGAAATCGAGTTCATCACTACTCGCGGTGCAAACGACTCTTACCCAGACAGCTTCTGGCTCATGGAGATGGCTCGTCAAGTCATGTCGCAGTTGCCCAATGGCACATCGAGGAGAACCGAGACGCGATACAACTCTTCCATCGGCAACGACCTGACATCGCAAGTCAACGCAGCGCTCAACGGTAGCTACTGGATCGCCAACTACACCACACTCCTTGCTCAGAGCTGTCCTGATACCACGATCATCATGATGGCTTACTCACTCGGCTCCGCTGCCAACATCATTGCTACCAACCGCCCTCGGTTCCCTCATAGTCGTATCAAGGCATTGGTATACTGGGGATCCCCTTTGCACTCGCCTGGTCGCCCACAGAACCGCGGTACCGCTCAGTCCGCCCTCGGTCAGGTCGGACTGGTGGGCTACCGTACTCCCCGAGGCATCCAGCCAATCGTTCGAGATTATTGTAACGAGGGAGACATCATCTGCACATCGTCGGGAAACCTGACCGTTCATTTGGGCTATGCCAACTCTTCCATCCAGGACGAGACGGTCGACTACCTGGTCAAAGCCGCTCTTCAGGCCTGAAGAAGATTGCGCCACTAGGTCTTTTCTGCGCGCGTTGTCGTCTGTCTATCGCTTCATTTTGTTCCTTTGTCGTAGTGTTCCGCAGTCACCGTTGTAATCTCACAGACATGTTCCATAACATCGCTATTAGTTTTCGCCGGATCTGTGAATCAGGCGACGAAGCAAAGATCGATGACAAGAAGCTGGGGGGTCGGATCCTGTTCCCGCAGAGTCATCCACTATTTCGGCTGCTTGAGGTGTTCGAAGTAACATGTTGGAAAATTCGGGACCGAACGGCTGCTCTGGGGAAAGGCCGAAAATGCGGGATCCGGCAACGAAGCTTGCCGTGTCGCAGGACATTCGGCCCCGTCTTAACCCCGTCTTTATCACATCTTGGAGGACTGGCAAAGCCTAGACAACGGAGAAGTCACGCCGATGCAGGGTGCGGAATGAAACCATTGTCTGACCTGAGAGTGAAAAGAAGAAATAAGATACCATGTCTCTGTCAGGTTTAACCTTTTGCGGATTTTCAAAGCCAGCCAGACACGATTACCCGACGGAGCGGGTCTCGGAACTGATACCATTCAATCGGGTGAACAAAGGGTCTTGCCAACACGATGACCGTCATCGTCGTCATCTACTGTGACGTCAACCAAGCAGAGGTTACAGATGGACTCTACGCTTTCATAATGATCGCAAGACTCGACAGGCAAATCCTGGCAGCTCCCGGCATCATTGAATCGAGTCACGGCAGGAGCGGCGTCAGCAGCGACTTCGCTTTTTTTGCTTTGTTAAATTGTGAAATGCGGCTAACATGTCGTCATTTCCGGATCGTCGCAGATGCTTACAGTGTATATCGACGCTGCACGAAAATCGTGACTCCGGTTGACCCTCATTGTCTTTACGGTATGCTGTAGACTAAGCGCAGTAACACCATGATGCCGCTCGACGATTGAAGTTTGTTAAATCTTGTTCGAGGCGAAGGTCCGTAGATAAAAAGATGGGAGCTCTCAGATAGGCTGCAGCAACGATCGTGCTTTGTATCTCTTGAAACAAGAACCCTGGAGACGACAAGGCAAAATGATGGTATCTCACGCCTGGAACTTAATATCGAGACCACTCCCTGTATTTCTTCCCTTTAAGCGCACATCGCAGCCTCATTCATAAGGTGACCATGAAATGACAGGCTGGAGACCTAGTGGAAGATCGGAACTATGGCATCGAGCTGAGCGACAATGCTTCTGTCTTTCACCACACTCGCACCAGCCGACTGATGGCGAAGGCAGTTGTGAGATCTCAAGCGTCTCGGGCTGCCATCAGGATTTCTCTATATCTTGTTCCCACGATGCATGACTAAGGTTTATCGGAAAGGGTCCAATCTTTCCCGAGCCGCAAGTTCAGGGTAGGAACCCAGAAGTCAATTTCGAGGATACGTCCGAACGGAATCCGACTCGTACCGATCGACATCGGATCAGCTTCTATCCAGATTCAAGCGCCTGCCTACATGAAATTTCTTGAAGGCGGCAGTCCACCCTAAATGAAACGAGCGGCGAACTCTGCGATTTGCAAGCTGAAAGCATGTATCTCTTTCTGCTGCCTGGCCGAAGATTAGGTCATCAGCGAAGGGGAGCCGGTTATGAGACCCCAGCGTGCGCGAGAAAATGGATCGGGTCGCATGTCGACACGCGTGCTTCCCACAAGATGCGGGAGGCACGAGCAGATCCAGGATTCGCACATCGGCAAAGACTCGAGATAAGCGCTTTATGACTTGAGCCCACGTGCCCAGCAGATTTGCTGCGTGATTCGTGGATCCACGATGAGCGGTGTGGCCTTACGTCGTTCGAGTCCAGGAACGGGGCGCCCGGACGACAACAATTGAGGCCATGATCCGAAGAATGCAAGCGAGTTCCCCGTCACGAGTGAGGTCTGAGCACTTGTTGTGTGTCGGAGCTTCGAAAGAACGATAAGCTGGGTAAGTCGGACGCACCAGACAAGGAACTTCAGGATGCGCAATCGATATTGAAACTGATAAGGTGTCCAAGGCGATGGCAGTTCAGGGTGCAACCCCCAATTCGGCGGATCCGACGTGGCACAGAACTGTCAGATTTTGGCAGCGGGATCTTCGCTTCAGGTCTGGGTTTTCTCCGATGGGACGATTTGATCGATTGTTGCGACCCAAGTTTGACCCTCGCTAACCTTACTTCGCTTCGAGGCACGACCGGCCGCAGCGTTCTCATATCTCTCAAGCTCGAGCTCGGCGGACTTCAGGTCGAGACGGAAGGAGTATTACTTTTATGTATCTGCTGCTATTAACCAAAAAAGAGACGCGAAGCTACAAGACTACCCACAAGGATCCATTGCGAAAGCTGAAATAAAAGAAAGTGTGATAGGACGAACAGATGCACTACAAGGGCTTCGCTCAGAATGAGAAGCGAATAAGCGCAGGGTTGAGAAGGAATGGCGAGAGCAGAGTGGTCACCGTGATGAATAGAACCGGTAGTAGCGTAGGCCACTCGGTGATCTGCCATCCGATGGGCACTGCGGAGGTAGCCAGCACACTCACCGCCGCTACGATGGCGAGGCAGAGCACATTGGACTGCCAGAACTCGCGCAGCACCAGTGGCGCCTCGGTGGCAAAGTGGAAGTCGCTGTCGTCCTTGGCGGTGACACCGAATGAGATGGGCAGCGAAACCAAGTAGATCAACGACGCCTTGATCAGCGCAAACGAGAGCGAGACAATCGTAAGCAGGTTGATCGGGTACCAAAGCAGGTGCTGTCCGAGAGCCACAAAGATGTTAGCATCGCCGCTTCGGTGACGAGCCACCGTGACACCAATGAAGCCACTAGCGCCAAAGATGACCAGCGAGACAATCCAGTACTCGAACGTGGAGACGAAGAAGGGCAGCAACCAGGGTTGCAGCCAGCCCTGAACAAAGTACAGCGCAACCGCACTGGGCAGCGAGACTCCGATGGCGAGGTATCCGGCGGCGTAGGTGAGCAGGTTGAACTTGTAGTGCGTGGGCACCTTGCTCGACCAGAACACGGTGCGGATGAGCTTGGGTACGGGTCCATGGACGGGCCATCGCCACAGCGGGTTGAGGAAGAGCTCAAAGATACCGTACGTATACTTGCGCCAACGGTTGAGCTCGTCCATGTAGGTCAGAGAGACACCTTCCTGGAAGCCATAGTTGGAGTAGGTGGCCCATCGCACGATCCAACCATTGAGAAGAAGACGGAGGCCAAGGTCGAGATCCTCGGACACGGTCTCCTCGGACCAAGGCTGGATGAAGCCATCGCTGGTCGAGGCGCTGAGCGACTCTTCAGCGAGTTCGTGAATGGCCGACTTGCGGATGAAAGCGTTGTGTCCAACAAATGGAGCCACTTCGCCCGTAGCCGTCTGCCACGAAATGAAGAAGTAGACAAAGCGCATAAAGTAGGCGAGCGACTTCTCGAAGAATCCAGTACCGACGATGAGCACACCGGAGCAATGCTGCAAGATACCGACTTCGGGAGACGACGCCATCTCCCAAGCACTGGGCAACAGAGAGTCGGCAGGAATACGGGTGTCCGAGTCGATGAGCAGGATGAGCTCGCCGATACTGACGTCGCCCTCGCCCTCAGCTTGAGGGTGTCGTTCCTTGAGCACGCGCTGGAGCAGAGAATGGCGGTCTTGGTTAGGGTTGGCGAGGATCGACTCTTCGTACTTCTTGGCGATCTGCATGCTGAAGTTCAAGTTGGAAGCCTTCTTGAAACGACCAGCACGCACAAACATGTCGCCGTGGCGAGGGCGGGCGATCCAAGCGATGTCGTGACGACGGTAGAAGTCGAGACGCGCCTGCTTCTCCTCATCGTCGATCACAGCCATACCATCCTCGCCAATGAGAATCGAGGCGGTACCTCCCTGCAACTCGTACTCGGTGATTGCGGCGCGCACCGAGTCGAGCGTGGGCTGCAGAACGTGCTTGAGCGATTCCTTGTAGACGGGCACCTGGATGGTGACGTGGGGAAGGATGGTCTTGCCGACGGGAGCCTGGGGACTGACACCAGAGTAGTAGCGCGAGTTGCGCATCATGGGACGGATGGGACCGAGCGCCATGGCAACGCAGCTGGCAACGTTGTCCGCAAGAGGAAGAAGAACCAGGAACATGGGGAAGATGGCAAGTAGGGCGAGAAGGTAGATGGGCTCGCCGTCCAGACGAACTGTCTGAACGATGAGGCGGATCCAGTTGGCAACGACAACGGTGGCGATGCAGACACCAAGACCACGGACTGCGCCGGCGAAGGACTCGACGCTGCGAACTTCGGGAACGTAGTTCTCAAGCTGCGAAAGGTCCGACTCCTTAGAGTTCGAAGAGGTGACAACGGTGTTGTCGACCGTAGTGTTGAGCGACATGAGGGAGGGCGAGCGCGAGATCATGCTGTGGCGGGCTGACGCAGTGGGGTCTGAAGTGATCGACCAGACGTAATCAACGAGCAGACGCTCGAAGGCACGCACTTGCTGGATAAGGTCTCGGCAAGACTCTGTCCAGATAACGAGCACCTGCTCGGTATCGGAGAAAGCCGCCATCTGGGCACGACGCGCACCGCCCAAGTAGTCGAGGCTGTGAACCACTTGCACTCGCTTGGAAGAGCTGAGGCGAATCTCATTCTCGTCAGCGTTGAGCGTGGAGAGCGCAGCGGCAACAAGGGGAGTGTTGATGATGATAGCGGCATCGCAGTTGAGCTCGAGCATGGCACGGGAGAAGGCAGGCATCGAGGAGCCTTCTTGCGGGTATAGGATGTAGCTTCCGACCTGGACTCGGACGGCTACGGCGTTGGTGAAGTTGTCCTGCCTGCACCACTTCTCGGTCACTGCAACCGAGAAGATGTGGCGAGCAAGGACGAGCGAGGCGTGTATAGCGTCCGTCGGGGCCCCTGCTTCAGCCGGGTCGTCAGCCGTGGAGTGGTACGTGAAAGATCCGGCGGAGCCAGCCGACGGAGCGGTGGTCAGGATGTAAGAGTCCGCACGACGCTTGGGGCTCTGGTGGTGACCTCTTGCTGACGAGTGGGAGTAGCTGTGATTGTTGGAAGATGAAATTTCCGAAGGAGGCGAGATGCGGTCCTCGTCATCCGACTCCATGACCTCCATGTCATCATCTTGGTCTTGATAGTAATGGTAGCCACCGTGGTGTGCAACACTTGATGCTGGCGTAAGGTTGTGGTTGAAGGTAGGAAGCGAGGGGAGCGAAGAGACACTGGGGCTAGAGTCGGAGGACTGCATCTTGTCTCTGTGACTGGCAGCCAGCGATCGCTAGCAGACCAATGTTGATTGCTTGTTAGGGTCAAGGCAAGAGCTGCGATGAGCAAGTTCAGAAGAAGCGGCCGCGGGAGTCTTGACGATGGGACCGGATGAAGGGATGGATGAGGAAAGGAAGAAAGAAGAGAAGGGGGATGTTGAAATGGACAAGTAGGTGGTGTGAGACGAGTGAATGTATGAAGAGATGCCAGTTGGAGTATGTTGAGGATCAAGAGCGACACTAGTAGGCCAGTCGACGGACGATTTTACTATACGCTAGGTGTGCTGGTATCTTTCTGACAGTCAATTGAAGCCCAAGCACTGCGAAGGATCAGCCTTCTTGCTTTCAGGTACTTCTGGCAAGACAACACTACGGCCAATGATTTCGTGGGTAGGTATCGATCTGGGAGAAGTGAAAACGAGGGCACTGTCAGATTAAGCCGAGACACGCAGATAGGATTGCGGCCAAAAAGCGGGAGGAGTATTGCAGGTCCCGACTGCGCCGGCAACGCACCATGATAGACGCACACACATGCCACACACAAACCAGTCTCGGATACCAGGTTACTGTGAGACTGCAAACCTTCTGGTCGAAAGGCGCTATACACGGATTGCAGATCAGGGTCGTGGTCGAAATCCTGGGATCTATAGCCAGAAGTCTGAACATGGGTTAGTATCAGGCTCAGGAAGGCGATCCATGTTTCAGACGGGCGGGTCCGCCGCCTCTCGGACAGAGTGGAAAGCCCGTGGGTTGCTGGAGAAATTGGCGAGGCATCGCCGCCCTTGGGAGTGTCAAGAACGACGAGTTGAAATTTCGTTTGACAGGCGGAAAGGAGTGCGGAACAGAGGCAGGCACAACAAACACGGCGGAGGTGGGACAGACTTGTTTGTGCAGCTGCATCTCGTGTCCATCGCAAGCTCGGGCTCACCGACATAGATGTCTCGGCTGGGCTTACAGACGGCTGTTCCGCGCCGTAAAAACCCTGCAGCAGGATCTCTCGTGCCACCGATGGATTCTTGGGGTTATCATTATGTAAAATATATATAAAAAAGAATGATCTGCGTGAGTGACCGGGAACCTACCCAGGTTTCAGCTTTCGGTGTATCCGCGTGACGCCGCCGACATTGAGGCGCCTGTTGCCCATCCAGAAGCCAATTCGCAATTCTGAGACAAAACCAGAGGTTGGCCGCGAAACCTCCTTGCAGTCCGCTTATTCTTTCTGGATCAAACGTGCGAAGATGACCCAGACCCGCTTTGCCAACTGTGCTCACTGTTTGCCGGACATACACATCGGCAACAACGAGCCAAGGAGACAAGGCGCCCAGGCAAGACCAATGCGTAAGAAGTTTCAGATAGCATTCTGGCTCGGCTCTTGATCTGGCCGTAGCAGTTCGAGTTGGCCTCTCGTATTACGATGCACCCTGAAAATCGTTCGGACATACGCAGCGAGATCGACTTTGTTCAGAGCCACAAATTGTGCGCCGAGTGTTTGAAGATAGTGGAAAGTGGTCTCATTGCCAAATCTAACGGTAAAGAGCAGAGAAGAACAGCTTGTAGAAGGCCGCTGAAAACTCTCAGCCCGTGTCATCTGAGCCTCGTGGTAAGGATATCGTCTCAATCCTGCTGCTATCGATAGCAGCACTGCCCGCATACGAATCAAGAAGGAGAGACGCGCCGTTCGTATCACTCTTGTGCAGCCTTCCTCTCTGCAATTTGCCCGGAGCGTCGCAGGCATCCCCTTTGCTCGTTCTGTATCAATCGACTCGACCTTGCCATCGCCTCACTTTCTTCCTTGCCGTGTCTCCTACAACTTGCACGTCCTCCATCCCGGCTTCCTTCCCTCCCACATCCTTTCTCCCTCAAGCATCCTCTTCCTCACACCGACGTCAAGACTTGCCTCTATTCACAATGGCTTCATCATCAGGGCACACTACTCCCATGGAGGAGAAGAATTACACCTTCTCGCCATCGTCGCAGGTCCCTCACTTTCTGCGAAACCACTACAGAGCCTCAAGCTCGCAGGGCCACGGCCGAATGCCGGGCTCTGGCTCGAGCAGTGCCGCCTCGTCGGTCATTCATCTGCCCCTTTCGCAATCGCGAAACACGGGTCTCAACGAAAAGATGGCTCCTTCTACAGCCATGCAGACCATCCCCGTCTTTGGCGGCGATAGTCCTGCTCGCACCAGCAACAACCCATCTGCTAGCGCCAGCAACAATCCATCTGCTGCGTCCTCCATCACTGCAGCTGAGAAGCCAGCCAAGGAAGGTAGGAGGTACAACCTTGCTTTCACCTTTTTTGGACTGCTTTCCATCATCCTTGCCGGAGTTGTGATCGCTTTCGGCTGGATCAACACCCCTCAACAGAAGCTCTGCCTTGCCTTCGAGGATGACTTCACAGGACGCACAACTCTCAACACGGACAACTGGGAGTACGAAGTTAGAACCGACGGCTTCGGAAACAAAGAATTCGAGATGACCACTACGCAGGCCAACAACTCCTTCATCGAAGATGGCAAGCTCTACCTTGTGCCCACGCTCACCTCGGACGAGACCGGTGAAGCCGCGATTACTGGCAACTACACCTATAGCCTCAACTCCACCTGCACCGCGTATCCTCAGACCAGCACTGCCTGCGAGAGTGTATCCAACTCGACGTTGGGCCAGGTTCTGCAGCCAGTCAAATCGGCAAGGATCCGCAGCAAGGCATCGATCAACCGCGGTCGTATCGAAGTGCGGGCTCGACTGCCCGCAGGTGACTGGATTTGGCCCGCTATCTGGATGATGCCCGAGGACTCTGTGTACGGCGACTGGCCGCGAAGTGGCGAGATCGACATGATCGAGTCCAAGGGCAACGTCGTCGAGTCTCGCAAGGATCGTTACCAGAACTCGGTCACCTCGACCTTGCACTGGGGGCCCTCGGCGGCTACGGATCGCTGGGGTCTCACCACCTCCAACTTTTCCGTTCCGCGCGACTACTTTTCCGAGGATTTCCACACTTTTGGTCTCGACTGGACTCCCACCACCTTGACCACTTGGGTTGACAAGCCAAGCCGTACCATCATGAAGCTCGACATGAACCGCGACTTCTTCACCTTCAGCAAGCTCTCGCACTTGCTCTGGAACGGTACCGCCATCGACGACCCCTGGGCCGGCAAGAAGGGCGCTCCCTTCGACCAGAAGTTTTACCTTATTCTCAACGTCGCTGTTGGCGGTACCAACGGCTACTTCTCGGATGCCGACCGCAACAAGCCCTGGCAGAACGCCGGCTCGAACCCAGTCTCTGACTTTTGGGCCGCCCGCTCGCGCTGGTTGCCCACATGGCCCACCGATCCCAAGAAGCGAGGAATGGCCATCGACTCTGTCAAGATGTGGCAGCGATGCTAAAGCGTTCTAGGCGATTCGCAATGATTGTCATTTCCTTCATCGGTTCTGCTTGTATATGCTTCTGTCTGTCGTGTCATGGGTCCTCGCTCCGTAGTTCACGCTGTATCTCGCTCTGTCGCACTTTCAATCTAATCGTATAGAAACACAATCAGCCGAGACTGAATAAGTAGGACAAAATGCAAGAGCCTAGAGAGACCTGGCAATGAAGAAAAAGGCCAGCAGAAAAAAAATGCATAAAGGCACCGGAAAAGCATGCGAAATTCGACATCGGACCCCGATGTTTAATCCGCTCGCCGAAATGAAGTGTCAATAGGCAGGATCGGGTGGGTTTACGCGACCTCATATCGGGTCAAACAGTGCGACCAGTTCAGTGCAATGTACAGCCGAGTCTTGAGTTATTTATTTACAACAGGCACAGATGACGGGACCAGAATGCTCTGCTTTCTTCTCTCTTGCGAAAGGAAGGGTATGCGAATGCTGCGATTGAACTAAACGGTGACACTGTACAATGGAGCGACGGGAACAACTAACTTGCGAAAACTACTACTATCACTATTACTAGTACCATCATCGAGACTTGAGGAACGGTAATGTGCAGAGCTTCTAGCACTTCTGCCACATGCGAACGCGATCGACGGCCATGCCTCGTTCTCTGGGATCAGTAGGCCAGGTTGGGTACCATTTCTTGATGTTGTTCCAGAAGGTTGTTGCTGGATACGCGGATTCCGTGGTCCAGGGAGCGTCGCCGGCACCTTGAAAGTACTTGCCGCCGACAGCTACGTTGAGGATGAGGTAGAAGTCTTGGTCGAACGGAGCGTGGTTGGGGTTCTCGCTGCGGATCCAAGGGTTGTGGATGGGAGGCTCGATTTGGATCTCGCCAAACTTGCCATAATCCCACATGGGCTCCTTTGGGAATTCGAAGGTGTTCATCGTGTTGCGCGGATCGTCGACGTAGACGCGCATGCGCTTCTCATTCCACTCGAGCACGTAGTTGTGATAGCCCTGATTGAAGTAATCGCGCCATCGGAATTGATATCCCGTGTGGTGATCACCGGCGTTGGTCCTCCAATCAGGTCCGAAATGATACGACGACTGGACGGCACCGACAGAACGCTCGTCCTGTCGCTGGCGCGGCATATTGCCCGAGGATTCCATCAGATCGATCTCACCGCTGGCGGGCCAGATACCGTAGACAGAGTCGCGAGGCATCATCCAGATAGCGGGCCAGAGCCAGTTGCCTGTAGGCATCCTGGCTCGCACTTCGACTTTGCCGTAGCGAATGGAATGCGACTTCTTCGTTGTGATACGTGCGCTTTGGATAGGCTGGATCATTTGGCCTTCGGCGAAGTTGTTCATCATGGCGCAGTTCGTGTCGCCGTCGCCTGTGCAATTACCACCGGCGGCAAGGTCAAGCTTGATACCGTCCATGTTGAAGTAAGGAGGCCAGAAGTTCTCTACCGTCAAAGTTGGGACAATGTAAAGCTTGCCGTCCTCCACGTAGGCGTTTTTCTCGCTGTCCGTGGTCCAATCGAACGAGCCTACACCGTATCCACCGGATTGGATCTCGTGCGACCAGGTGGTCTTGTTGAATCCGTTGGAGAAATCGTCGTCCAGAACCAGGCAGAGTTTGTCTTGCTTCTCCACTCGAAGCACACCGTCGAGCACGACGGCGACCATGGCGGCGACACCCATCAGCACGCCGATGAGAACGACTCGCTTGTTCTTTTTGTTGATGCGTTTGGCCTCTTTGCTGTCTAGCCAGGCAAGACGCGCCTGTGCCGCTGCCGAGGCTGCGGTCTTCTTCTCCATGTTAGGGTAGATGTGTCCCGACTCTTGCAGACCGTATAAGGCAAATGCTTGACTTGTGTGTCGACGATTGAAAGTCAATGTCGATATCAGTTGGAGGAGAGGAGGATAGCTGGCGATGTTGATGATGAGGAAAGGAGGTACCGCTGCGCTTAACGAGGAATCAAGGCAGCCGTGCTCGAAGAGTCTGGCAGGCAGTTTGATTACCGGCGAAAAAGTCGCTGCAAGCTTGCGCACCACGTACGGAGGCCACAGATGACCTTCCGTTAAAAAAAACAAGCTAGATAATCTTCAACGAGCCTTCCACGGACCACCCTCGATTTGGCGCTGACCAGACCCTTCGGATCTGGTACGGAGGCGTCGTGCAACCACGGTCTCGGCGGGAGAGATCAGCCGATAGCAATTTCGTCACTGCTCAAGGCAATGCACAACCACAAATGTCTCGGAGGCACGTTAGTGTCCAGAGCCAAGAGCGCTGCCGCATGGTGCATGCAGCCCGGGACCGGATCGACAAGCGCGTGGAAGAAATCGCGCATGGCTTCTGGTCGCCGGCGTTGGGGGATCCGTATGCTGGCTAAGGATTTGCCGAATCTTGCGCCTTACCTTGCAGCGGCGGTCAAAAGACTCTCGCCCTGCCCATCAAAGCGTCATTTGCGTTTGCCGCCAGGCATCCATGTTTCAGACTCGAATTTTCCCGTGGCGACTTTGGACCAAACAACACTCGTGTCTCAGGCGCATACCCAAGAATGGTCTGACCTGGATGCCTTTAGCAAATACTTCCTAAGAATAAATAAACCTGAGTCAGATCCGAAACACCTTCGTTGATTGCACCTGGGTCGACGGCTTGACTGTCTTGAGAACGTTCTGACATCCAGCAAGGCTCTCACCGATAGCGACCCACGGCTGCTTTCGATCCGCAAATCTTTTGTGTAATGTGTTCGAGTGGGATGGTTTTGACTGCGCCCAGCTGCAACGGGAACCCGTCAATGTGGGTTTTGCCGTGTCTATCGATCGCTCAGGTCCGAAAGCCACTGCAGATTGGACCCACAGTGGGCCACACCACTAGGCTCTTGGCAGAAACCGTGCAAGAACAGACAAGGCACCCTCGTTCTCTTAGCCGTCAACGGTCAGAGCTAGTCAAAGCTGCGATTCCCAGTTGCGGCCAGTCGTTAGAAGGACCCTTTGCTGTTAGCCTGCAGCCTGACTTTTTCCAATCTGCAATCCTTTCGAGGTCATTCCTACTTTGCACTCCCCTCGCCTTCCGACTTGTATCGCTCTTACGACCCTTTGCCTTTCTTCGATCTTGTTGCGCTTTGCTCTCTGACCACAACAAGCCTAAGTCCATCCCCTCCCCCCTCGTAACACCAGCAGTCTTCTCAGAGTCGGCTTAGGCTAGAACGAGTGGTCGCCAGGGCTCACTCAAGGCTTATACTCCTCTTTCGGCAATCCAAAGGACTCGACGTTAAAGAAGCAAGATGGCCACAAGCTTCTCGCGCAGTGGTCTCATGACCCACGCAACACAAGCGTTTAATGCCATCTCAACTACCACCGCCGCAGCGAGCAAGAGGCTGAGCGACTCGGGTTCGCCAGCTGATGGTCTTTCGGCCGCCTACGTCCACAACCAGGCAGCTGCACGTCAACAAGGCACGGAATCACCCGAACAGACCACGCTGCAGTTCCACTTGGCACAGCAGATTGCCGAGTCCATGTATGACAAGGCTCGTCGCATCAACCTTGCTCGCGAGGGAAGTGGAAATGACGGCATCTTCCTCCGTGCACACGACAACGTCTACGCTGCCTACCCGATGGACGCCTACCGTGGCGTGGCTATGCGGAGTATCAAGACACTCCGCTGCGAGGCTGCTATCATTGTCAACTCTGACATCATCGATTCTGCCCTTTCAACGCTTCGACCTGGCCAGACCGAGCTGATTCTCACACCTCAGCAACGTGTACAGGTCGTCAAGGATCTCGACAGTCTCTGGTCCTGTCGCAAGGGTCAGGGTGCTGCCTTCATCCAGGCCGAGGCCATCATGGTGGTCTGGACCGAAGATGGCAAGGACCTGATGGATGCAGCGCTCAGCTTCCAGAACTCAGTGCTCGACTACTTCGAGTCGCTTCGAAGAGGCAACTATATCGAGAGCCTCATCGAGTACAGCTCGAGCAAGAAGTCGATCTACGGACACTCTAAGTCCAACAGCGTCGCTAGCTCGGCTGCTTCCTCTCAGACTCATCTACCATCCTATCTCTCCCGTTCCGAACTTGGACACGGCAAGATTGGACACGCATCATCCGCATCCCACGGCAGCGCCTGGAACGAGAAGCTGCAAGACTTTTCCGAAAAGGACGCCGAGGCTGGTATGGTACCACAGTTGACCAGTGCCAAGCGACCCATCTACCACCTGGCTCCCCTCCTTACAGGTCTCAGTCTGGGCCTCAACCTTCTCTTCAGCGGTATCTTCATGCGCAGCATCCTGGTGACCTGCGTCACCCTCAACAACTATTGGTATCTCTTTGCTCTGCTTGTCATCCCCTTCCTCATGATGCTCACGCAGTTCTTTACCGATAACATCTTTGGATGTATCGCTCAGATCTTGATGCCGTACGGTCAGATGAAGAAGAACTCGCTCTACTACTCGGGCGAGAAGCCCGTGCCTCTTCCAATCGATGTCGAGCTGCCTTCGATCACCATCCAGGTTCCGGTTTACAAGGAGTCGCTTGACAGCGTCATTGCGCCCACCATTCTCAACATGAAGAGGGCCATGAAGAAGTACGAGCTTCAAGGAGGCAAGGCCAACATCCTTGTTTGCGAGGACGGCATGCAGCTCATCAGCGAAGAGGAGCAGCAGGCACGCAAGGACTTTTACAAGACTCACGAGTGCGGTTGGGTCTCGCGTCCCGGTCACGGCCACAACGGCTTCGTTCGTGCCGGTCGCTTCAAGAAGGCGTCCAACATGAATTTCGTTCTCGATTTCATCGCTGACGTTCAGCAGCTGCTCGATGGCGGTCGCGCTACTTCCTACAACGAAGCCTTGGAAATGACGCTGCAGGCTCGCGACGGCATCGCACAAGCTGATGGCGACGTGAGACTTGGTGAATACATTTTCCTGATCGATTGCGACACTCGCATTCCCGAAGATGCTTTCCTGGACGCGGCCAGTGAGATGGAGACCTGCCCTGAGGTGGGCATCCTCCAGCACTGCTCCGGTGTCATGTACGTGGCCGACCACTTTTTCGAGAACATGATGGGCTTCTTCACGGACATTGTCAACTGGTCCATCTCTTGGCTCGTCGCATGTGGTGCCACGGCTCCATTCGTCGGCCACAACGCCTACATCCGCACCTCTGCTCTCCTCCAGGTTTCGGAACGTGACCCCAAGACAGGTCAACTGATCACTTGGTCCGAGAGCTCGGTCTCGGAGGATTTCGACATGTCGCTCCGTCTGCAGCTCCAGGGATACGTGATCAGATGGGCCACGTACGCCAACCTGGGCTACCTCGAAGGTGTCTCGCTCACGCCTTCCGACGAACTCAACCGTTGGCAGAAGTACGCCTTCGGCTGTTCGGAGATCATCATGCATCCTCTGCGCCTGTGGCCCACCAAGGGACCTCTCACTCCGCTTTACAAGACGTTCCTCTCCAGTTCGCGCTGTTCGCTCGCGCAGAAGGTGACCGTCTCGTCGTACATGTTCAGTTACTACGCGCTGGCGATGAGTCTGCCGTTCGCCATCAGCATGTTCATCACCGTCGGCCTCTTCGAGCCCGAGACGAAAGCGTACATCATCGACTCTTTCAAGATCTGGCTCTCGATTCTCGTCATCTTTTCGGCAGCCGGTACTGTCGCTCGACTTCTGTGCTTCCTCCGAAGCAAGCAAGAGGGATTCTTGCACGCTCTCAAGAGGCAAGTCGTCTATCTCTTGCCGCTCGTCGTCTTTTTCTCTGGGCTGCCGTTCCACATTCTTCTCGCCATCCTGGCTCATCCGATTGAGTACAACATGACGTGGGCGGCCACGCAGAAGGACGTTCAAGAGACAAGCATTCTCGACGAGATCAAGGACATCCTGAACCGCTACTGGGACTGCTATCTGGTCATGTTCAGCTTCCTGGCGCTCATGCTGCTGTTCGGCACAAACCTGCTCTCGCAGGAGTTCTGCATCTACGGAATCAACCTCTACTGGCCAGGTTCCATGTCCATTGCAGGGCACCTGCTCTACCCCATTCTGCTCAGTCCCGTCTTCATGCGTTTCAGCTTCTAACCTCCCCTTTCCAGCCAGATGTTCCCGATTTGTCACCGGTATTCGCCACGGTACTCGCATTAATAGCAACAAGTTTCACAGCAAGGATGTTCTCTGAAGATCGTGACGGCAGTGTGGCTTTTAGATCCGAGCAAGTTGAGCTTCTTCGAGGAATTGATTGTTGGATGGTGTACTGATTCGGTTTGAACCGTGATGGTCTCGGACGATACAGGAGAGTCCAATGTCTATTTTCTCCGGACCTCCAACTATGGACAGACTGAACTCTAACACTCCGTCTGCGGCGGAAAACCGACCCTGTTCCCTGGATTGCAACGTGCGAATCGGCGTCATCGTGCGTAAAGGTTGACAGCCTTTTCTCCACATGGCCTTGACACAGAGGAACCCGCGCAGAGCAGCAGCCAATGCAAGGTCTTGGGCAACGACGCTTGGACGTCTCTTGACATCGCAGCTGACTGACAACCGTGTTTTCGGAAACATGCGTCGGCTAAGCTACAGCACGGCTGGCTGTGTACTTCTGACTTCGGCTCTGTGTCCAGTGCCGAATCTTCTTTTGACTCAGCAGCAGACCGAACCGACGTTGCAAACTAGGAAGCCATCCTTTACTCATTGACACCATCTCTTTGATACATCGACTCCTTTCACCGACTTCGAGCAAAGACGGAACATCACACACAATGGCGGCACAAGATCAAGGCACGCCCAACGTGGCATTCCAGAGCGAAGCGTAAGTGCCACTTCTTTGCTGAGCGACGTGACATCGAATGCCTTGCGTTGCTGACCTCCTCCTTTGACCTTTCCCCTTTTCTCGTTTGCTATGACACAGCAAATACCCCCACCAGACTACTGACTTCCGCGGGCCAGGTGTATCAGCAGAGAACCCAGCGGGTGCCTTCCCACGAGATCTTCGACAGCGTAAGTATTCGCCGTACCTTGTCATCTCCCTCTGCGCCTTTACTGACACACCTCCCTTTCCGAATTCTTCCACCAATGCTTTATTTCTTCGCAGCTGATCCGGATCCGATCGAAGCCCATCGACCAAAGAGCACCATCTTCGGCGCCATCGAGAATCCATACGCCCTCCAAGAAGCACTCACCAAGCTCGAATCCGGTCTGGACGAAGTCATCAGCCTCTTCCAGGCCGAAAAGAACACTCTCGCCCGCGAGGGAGGCTTCACAAAGGGTAAAGAGGGAATCGAGCTCTTCGAATCGTGGAAGCAACAGCTGGAACGCATCAAACGAGGCGAAGAATGATCTCCCTCTCACGCAAACAGTCGCCAATATTTTTTCCGCGATCACCTAAAATCATACCATTCGAGTACAAATACAAAAAGAAGGTTCTTGATTCCAACCAATCACTGCCGTTGGGTATTACTGATCTGAGCAGTGGAAGCGATAGGTTGAGTCATACCGTTGAGCGCTTCGATGTAGGAGCTGGTAAAGTTGGCCCACGACAATGGATCCTCAGAGGAAAGCGGCATTGCTCCCCAGTACGAGGTATCGTGCAGCTTGAGATAGGCTGTTGGAGTCGCCTGCCCTCCACCGGTCAAGTTGGCAGCAGCGGTGTCGGATACGGACGTCATTCTGTCGGATATGGGTTGGGCGGCGCCCGCTGCGGCGGTGGAAGGTTCGAACATTGGACCGGAGGCTGCTGCTACGTGGCTGTTGTCGTTGGCTGAGTCCAGGCGAGATCCTGTGGGCCAGCCGTACGTCAGGCCTGGGTTTTGACCGGACGCTTGAAATCGAGCTTGCAGATCCCCCTGTAGCGCTGCTGGAATCTGGTAGCTGACGCGAGGACGCGTGAGGTACATGGGAGCTCCAATGGGGCCTGGGATGGATTGTCCCGCGAGGTCATCGTTGGCCATCGCGGGGATCGATTGTGGAAGCGTCATTCCACTCGCGCCCGAATTGGAGACCAGATCTCCTCCATTCGATTGCGCCATCTGCTGCTGCTGGTCCTGCACGTTGGGCATCGATAGCGTAGATGCACCCGCGTCGGCACCGGCGCTCTTGGCCGTCGCAACAGTAGCCGATGGGCTATCTGCACGGCTCACCGTCATACCATCCGGTCCGCTCACCCCTCTGTGACTCGGCAACCCTGTCCCGTCGAGGTCCGCATCGATTCCGTGTCCCAACTGCTCCAAAATCTTGAGATGGTGGCTTGCGCTCTGCCACGTTCCGCTCATCCGCGAGAGCCACGTCATGAACTTCCTCAGCCTCCGTTTGGCCTCCAACGCGATCACTGCGTCGGTCGATGTGGTGTTGGCGATCTCGATCGTAGAAGCGGTAAAGATGCAGTAGGTGAACGTCGACGAAAGCTTTCGCATCCCAAAATTGTTGTCGTATGCGGTCAGGATGTCGCAGATACTACCCACGGCGTCGGTGCAGATACGATGCGAGGGTGGCAGATCAGGACGAGACGACTGCTTGAGAATGTAGGGCCGATGCAGCATCACCTTGCACGCCTGGTACCAGAGATGCTGCGAGAGCGTGTTGGGCAGGCGATGCGAGGGAACGTCGAACCGAAGGCGGTACGGCAAGTCGCGCTCCCACGCTACCAGCTTTGTGTGCAGTCGAACCAAGCGAGTCTCCCATTCGGGCACAGTCTCGCCGTCGTTGGTGCGGACCGAGCCCGAATCGTCGTCCTCGGCTCCGCGCTGCACGTGCGTGTAGATGGCAATGATCTGTTCACAGATGTGGCCGAGGCGCACGCCAGATTTGAGATGGGTCATGGCCGCGACAGGAGTCTTGAGCAACATGCTGCGTGCATGGTCTTTGATAAGCGAGCTATTGTTGGTCGTTTCCGCCCAGGTCTCGTGTTCGTCGACCTCGTCAACGTCGGGCAAGGGACAATCGATCTCTGCGTACCGCAACGTCACAGGTCGGCCCAACGACGCAGACGACGTCTTGTCGAGCAGATAGAGGCACCAAAAGATCCTACGTCGTGCTTGCTCCTCGGCGTGCGAGAACTGGAGCCCGAGGACCGAGGTAAAGTCTCGCTGTCGGTGGAGACCGAGGTCGACGCACATCCTGCATGCCGTCGAGATGTATGCCGAGGCCTGACTCGCCCGACCATTGCCGCCCTCTCGCAAAGCCATGAACAGAAGCGACTGAATGGTCTCCAGGCTGGGCTCATTGTTCGTCTTGACGAGATAGTATTTCGCTCTAGCGAGGAAAATGTCGCCCAGGTCGGCCGCATTGAGACGCCGCAAGCTGGTACCATCACCCAGCTGAGCGGAGCCAGAGCTGAAGCTGAGGTCGGAGACCGTTCGTTCGACCCAATCTGACTGCGTCGCTTCGGTATCCTCGACTGAAACTCCAAAGTCGCCCGAGTCCCAAGCGACGGCCGCGAGTGCGCAAGCTGCATTGTGAAGCATCGGATGTTTCTCCGGATCGATCACGTCGAAGCCGGTGAGACAGAGCGCGGGCTTGTAAAGAGCAGGCCAGATGGTCTCGACGATGCCCCAGAAAATGGTGAAGAGGCGCTCTTGGATGAGCGGCGGGATCTCGGGCTTGTTGAGCGAGACGCCGGATCGATTGACGCCGTTCCTGCTCCCGTCACCAGGCTCGACCCAGAGGAGCGGCTCGAGGTTGACGTCCTCCGAAGACGTATAGCGGGGACCGCTCAAGTCGGCGGAGCCTGCTTTGTAAGCCGGATCGTGTAGACGGTCCCGCTGCATTTGCAAAAGCGCCCCCTCCACCAACAGCTGATTGCTCTCGCCCGCGTGTTGTGAGCGCGTCCCTGATGGACGGCTAAGCTCGCTTTTGTCGCCGTCAACTTGTCTCGATGAGGCGATGCTTTGAGACGTTGGAATCGTGCTGCCGTGTGTGGATCGATGATCGTAGCGCGATGAGTCTAGAGGTAAGTTTGCAGGATCGTACAGGGCCGGTGCGGCGGCGTGACTGTTTGCGAAGCTCGCAGCGGCCGTTGGCGAAGGACGAGCGTATGGTGCTGAAGTCTTGGAGACCGATCTGGTTGCGGCCGAGCGTCCTGATAGGGCAGACTCGAAGGTGTCGGATGTGATCGAGAGCCTGCCGTAGTGATTCGGTGATGATGACGACCTACTGGAAGGATGGCTGGCCTGGAAATCAAGAGGAGGCAATTTGCGATCAGCTGTGCCAGGCGGAGGGCGAATGAGGCCAAGGCCGCTGCTGCCACCGCGATAGAATGGCTCGGCACGGTGTTTGGCAGATCCATGCGATGCAGAAGCGGGATCGTATCTGGACGGATGAGAGTGAGCAGGATGGTAGCTGTTGCTATAGGTGTTGATTCCGCCATAATTGGGACTGCCGACGCTGCCGTCGTGAGCGGATCCACCTGCCCGATAAGCTTCGCTGCGATGGTTGGAATCTGGCGAGTTGTGAGACGAGTATGGGTAGGACTCGGAAAGTGCAGATGCGTGTGGCGGTAATGCACCGTAGGACGTGGCGTAAGCCGAACTGTGCGGCAAGTATCGCCCCACGGCTGAAGACGATGCAGGCGCGGCCGTCGGACCACGATCCCAGTCTGCCTCTCGAGATGTCGGCGGTGGCAACGGCGGTCGCGAGAATGGAGCCGCAGAGATGCTGGGATCTGCTGACGAAGGCAAGCCGGCAGCGTAGTCACGAGTGGACTGAACGGGCAATGTTGTGGCTGCATCGTGAGCGTCTTTACGGAAGGATGTCTGTTGGACTTGATCTTTGCGCTTAGCGGCCTTGCTGCCACCACGTGTCGAGCCTTTGGGTGGGCCTCGCTTCTTGGGCTGACCGTACTCGCAGACTTCACCGGATCGACGGCAGGTGACGCAGGGCATCGAGCCGTCGCATTTGACCCTCTTGATGCCACAAGGTCGACAAGCCTGTTGAATTCGCTTCTTCTTGAGACCACTCATGGACTGCTCTTCTCTGGAATCCTCGTGGTCTGAATGCCCGTCTTGGCTCAAAGGCCCGGGCTTGCTTTGGGTGGGTGCCATGACGGCAAGGTGCCGAGCGTGCTGGACGAAAGCGCAGAAAGGAGCGTACCAAACCGAGATTTTGAGCTGACGTGTTTGTCGGCCCAAGCGCGGAATGGTCTCGATGCGGAATGCTTAAAAGGAGAGGTGGTGTAGAGAGCCAAGTGCGGGGCTCCAGGACGATCCTTGAGGGGCGTGAGGAATGTCTAGCTCGATGACTACGACGCCGTCATGGTCAGCGGCTCGTACATCCGTGGGAGCATATGAAAGTGAGACGCTCTTTGACGAAGCGCGGAAAGGAAGAGAGAGTGATGGCACAAGGCGTTGGATGTGGTGAGAAGGACGAGGAGGAGGAGCAACAGCAACAGCAGCAGCAGCAGCTCCGAATTTCTGGATCCTTGCTGCATAACGAGTGCAATGTGCAATACCACCGATGCAGCCTTCCTTTTTTCCGCCGTGGGATCGGAGCGGGTGATCCGTCCGGTCCTTTAGCCGCTTTTTCGCAGAATGTTACGGCGTTCGACTCGTACAAGAGAGTCCAATATAATCTGGTCAGAGTCACGGACCATTGCCGATGAGAAAGGGTCCGACCTTGTACGAAGAAGAGATGATCTTCCCGGCTCTGCTATCATCATCGAACTTTTCAGCTGTACACTCGATCGAAACAATGGGACTGCCAATCACAGTCTCAACATGCTCACTCAACCAGTGGGCGCTCGACTTTGACGGCAATCGCGACCGCATCCTCGAATCCATTCGGCTCGCCAAATCAGCAGGCTCTCGTCTCCGTGTCGGTCCCGAGCTCGAGATCCCCGGCTATGGCTGCTTCGACCACTTTCTCGAGCCGGATACTGTGCTCCACTCTTGGCAGGTGCTCGCCGAGATCCTCTCCTCCGATGCTACGCATGGCATCCTGTGCGATGTCGGCATGCCAGTTCTGCATCGCTCGACCCTCTACAACTGCAGAGTGCTTCTTCTAGACGGAAAGATCCTCCACATTCGTCCAAAGATGTGGCTTGCAAACGATGGAAACTATCGAGAGATGCGCTACTTCACACCCTGGACACGAACGAATCACACAGACAGCTTTACGCTTCCTCGTATCGTTTCCGCCATCACCGGTCAGCACGAGGTTCCCTTTGGAGATGCTGTGGTCAAGACAAAGGATACCGTACTCGGCGTTGAGCTGTGCGAGGAGCTCTTCACCCCGAACTCGCCTCACATTCGACAGGGTCTGGACGGCGTAGAGATCTTTACCAATTCCTCCGCATCGCACCACGAGCTCAGGAAGCTGTACAGACGGGTCGAGCTCATCAAGGAAGCAACGCTCAAGCTGGGAGGTATCTACCTCTACGCCAATCAGCAAGGTTGCGACGGTGACAGGCTGTACTACGATGGATGTCCTTTGATCGCTCTAAACGGCAGCATTGTTGCGCAGGGGTCCCAGTTCTCGCTCGACGATGTGCAGGTCATCTCTGCAACCGTCGATCTGGACGACGTACGTGCTCATCGCAGTGCCAAGAGCAGAGGCATGCAGGCCGTCAGCGAAGGGATCGGTGCTGGATGTCCGCGCATCAACGTCGACTTCGAAGTGGGAGAGTCGGAAGAATACGGTTCCAGGACTCCAGGCACTTCGACCCCGGTGAATGCGAATGGTTCGAAACCCGGAGAAAAAGATGACGCGGAACGCCTCTACAAGCGGTACTTTACCCCGCTCAGCCAGCCGATCGAGGTGCACTACCACTCGCCCGAGGAAGAGATCGCGCTTGGTCCAGCCTGCTGGCTGTGGGACTATCTGCGTCGCTCGCGTACCCAGGGCTACTTTGTTCCGCTTTCAGGGGGTATCGATTCGTGCGCAACTGCTACGATCGTGTTTAGCATGTGCAGGCTCGTCATTGCCGCCATTGATCCATCCAATGACTCGTCCTCGACTGCGAAGAAAGCTACGTCGTCGCTCACCACTGACACACGTGCTCAAGTACTCGAAGACGTTCGTCGCATTTGCAACGAGAAGCAAGGCTCTACATGGATCCCTTCCACCCCGCAAGAACTGTGCAACCGTGTGTTTGTGACCTGCTACATGGGCACCGAAAACTCCTCTGCCGAAACACGACAACGAGCCAAAGATCTCGCATCGGACATTGGTGCCTACCACATCGATCTCAACATGGACATTGTCATCCGAGCCATCATCGCACTCTTCTCCACCGTCACCGGATCCACTCCTCGATTCCGCGTACACGGTGGAACGCCGGCCGAGAACCTTGCACTGCAAAACATTCAAGCGCGACTCCGCATGCTGCTCGCCTACATGTTTGCCCAACTCACCCCTTGGGTCCGAGGCACCTGGGGAGGACTTCTCGTGCTCGGATCAGCCAATGTTGACGAATCACTTCGCGGATACCTCACCAAATACGACTGCAGTTCGGCCGACATAAACCCCATTGGTGGAATCTCGAAGACCGATCTGAAGTCGTTCATCGCCTACGCACGGGATGCGTTCTCTCTCCCGATCCTGCACTCCTTCCTCACCGCCGTCCCCACCGCCGAACTTGAACCCATCACAGAAACCTACGTCCAAGCGGACGAAGCAGACATGGGTATGACCTACGACGAGCTGTCCGTATTCGGTCGTTTAAGGAAGAATCTGAAGTGCGGGCCCTACAGCATGTTCAACAAGTTGCTCCAACAGTGGGGTCCAGAGATGGGGGCAGAAAAGGTGGCGGAGAAAGTCAAGCGGTTCTGGTTCGAGTATGCGAGGAACAGGCACAAGATGACCACGTTGACTCCGAGCTACCATGCGGAAGGGTACAGTCCGGATGATAACAGGTTCGATCTGAGACCGTTCTTGTATCCGAGCAGGTTCCCGTTCCAGTTCAGAAAGATTGACGAGTTGGTCAAGCGATTGGCGGGCGTCGAGGGGAATGCAGAGGTGAAGAAGCAAGTGTAGAAGGACGAGGAAAGAATTGAGGAGACGAATTAAACGATTGTCAAGATTGGATGCCAGGGATGCGATTGATGGAAATGTAAAGCTGACAAAGTCTATTGCGTACATGTGGGTTTCGAATGGCGATCATCGAATTCGTGGTGGTGTCGGTGTCTCTCCTCCATTCACATCTTCCCGTTGCTGCTGCTGCTTCACTCTCCAAGCAGCCTTCTGCGGCGCCTTGACCTTCATCGTGAACACCCACACCGTCGCACTGATCCCCCACATGACCAACCAACTGAACTGCCCACCCAGCACCCCTCTGCTCGTGCTGAAAGCGAACAAACTCGTACTAAATGTCGGCCCCATCGTCCTACTCAAACACCCCGCCATCTGACTTATACTGTTCATGGTAGCCAAACTGCTTCTGGTGGGAGCGGAGTTGTTGACAAGGAGATTGCTGCTGACGATGGACATGTTGCTGATGCCCTTGAGGATGATGGCGACGAAGAGAGCTGACATCGGCCATGCTTTTGCGGAAGGATGGGAAGCTGCGAGTTGATGGGCGATGGGGAAACAGAGCCATAGGAAAGGCAGGCACGCGGTGACGCGGACATAGACTCGTTGCGGACCGCCGAGACGTCGTTCGAGCGTGGGGAAGAGGATGAGCTGGATGAAGATCGTAAACGCTCCGTTGACGGCGAGGACGGTACCGATGTCGGAGGAGGAGAGGGAGAGACCACCGTGTGCGATGGATGTGTAGCAGAACAGCGGAAGCAGTGCGGCGTGACAGGCGTTGAGAAAGTTGAGCCCCAACTGTGTACCCAGAACTCTGCGGATCAGAGGCGAAGACAGGAGAGATGGGATCGATGGAGCTGGTTCTGCTTCCATCTCCTGCTGCGGCGTGTCTTCTGGCTTGGACAGTGCCTTGTTCGGCAGAGTCTCTTTGAGGAACAGGCACCCTAGAACGATAGCACAAAGATTGAAGCAGCTCGCAATACCACAAGGCAGCCAAAACGGATGCTTCTGCCACCACTCTCCTTCCCCAACCCCGACTAACCACCCTCCCAATCCATTCCCCACGATCGAGCCCACCGCAAAGCACAGCGGGATCAAACTAAACGCTCTCGCCTGATTCGTCTCGTCCGTGATCTCGGCCAACACGCTCTTCAAAATCACGATGTTTCCATTCATCAACCCAGCGATGGATCTGGCCAGCACCATCTGCGGAAAGGTCTTTGCGAACCCGAAAGCGTTGACCGACAGGAACGATCCGAAGAGACCGATGAGGAGGATAGGTTTGCGTCCGACCCGATCTGATAAGCGTGCCCACCAAAAGATGGTGAGAAATTGGACGAAGGCGAAGGCGGATTCGACTAGACCTGCGTAGTAGCCGAGCTGGGAGTCCGGGACGGAGGGTGGAAGGTTGGCTCGAAGCATGGCGTTTACGAAGGGGAAGATGACGGTGAACGAGATGGGTTCGGTCATTCGCATGAGGCAGAGGACGAAGAGCTGTTTGCGCGGGAGGGGAGATGCTTTTCGTGGTTCTCGCGGAGAGACGGAGGGAGAAGCAGTGTCGACAATGTAGGGGGAGAGCTGAGAATGCGCCGAGAGCAGCGGCGTCGCCTCGTTCGTCCGGTTCGGCATGGTGGGACTATAAGCTCGTTTGAGAGAACGAGGGGATGGAGCGGACTATTGTGATTTTGATCCCTTAGACATATCTTAGGTCTGTGTCTATGCGGAGAGAGCTACGTTGCGACAATCGACGATGGTCGTAGATATGAAAGCGGTGATGGGGAGCAAGAGCGAAGATGGTGGGACATGAACGGGTCTGAGCTGTTCATCAAAGTCGTAAAATTATCGGCGCCCGCCGCGGAATTTTGGACCGGCACGGCACGACCGCGTGGTCCTTCTCTGTGCTCTCCCGAATAACCGAACGTCATTAGCCGCTGCCGCCGTCATCAGGGTCCTGCTTACTGTGTCGTGTCGACACCTCCACACCAACACCTGCAACTCGATGTTGCTCATATCCTCGACCACCCTTCACGGCCGTCTTCTGTCCATTGCACGACTGTACTCGGCATCTGTCAAGATGGTCGGCACACGCTCCTCATCGCGCGCCAGCGCTTCAATCGTATCTGCCTCTACCAAATCCAAAGCGACACCCAGCACCTCATCATCCAAATTCCCTTACGACCTCCCCTACCCCTCACTTGACCTTCGCGCACATCCACACCTCTACCGTACCGGCGTCGGCGAGCAAGGCGTTCTCATGGTCGAGCCGTACAAATCGGAACTTCTCCCACATTGGAGGTTCAAAGATCCGCCCACCGCCACCGCATCCTCGACCAAGCTCCACTCGATCTTCCTGTCGTACGTCTCGGAAGCCGACTTCGTCGGTGCAGACATGGCACGCAAGTTCATCCAAATGGGTTACACGCGAGCGAGAAGATATGCAAATCACAGAGGCGGTAAGAAGTACATCTACGATGATGTGAACGGAAGTAAGACGGGTAAGAGGAGGGAGATTGCAAGGTTGGAGGTGAAGGATCAGGAGCCGAACAAGGTCGAAGCTGCGCGGATCTTCAAGACGGTATTGGACGAAAAGGTCTGGACGAATGACGAGTACGTCAGGATGAGAGAGGATCATAACAAGTGGGCCAAGACAAGCCCGGTCTTGACAGAGGACTGTGAAGAGGTACGCAAGGCCATACTCGAGGATCCGAAGCAGCAGAGGGTTGCGAGGAAGTGGTGAGGAGCAATTTCAGCTTTGTGTAATGAGCAGATGCGATGTAACAGCTTGGGAAGATTGCCGACGCGTAAATGAGCTGCGAGTCGCCGTCGAGTGAACTTGTCAGGGTGTGCCGAATCGAAGCACAGATCATCGCTCCTTTCATCGATCAGACGCAGCTCAGGTCGCTTCCACATCGCGACAGACCCTTCTCTCGGGGGAGATCAGATATCGAAGACATTAACAATGGCAGATGTACCAGCCTCGGCAGCTGCAGTCGACAAGAATGTAGACGACGCGGCGACCCAGAAGGGCGAGGACTCGCTAGAGGAGGATGCAACATCTGCCAGCCGCAAGGAGGACAAGACCGGATCAGACGAACAGGAAGCGGCGAATCAGAACGGAGATGTCGAACACGAGGATGAGGACGAGGAGAATGAAGACGGAGACGAAGACTACGACTCTTCCGAAGAGGAAGCCAGTGGAAACGTAGGGCTTTCGTACTTGCTAGAAGATGTAAGTCTCACCTGCCGGCACGCCCTGCTTCGCATACGGGATGTGATCTTCTCGTTGACACCTCCTTTTGTAATAGCACGACGACGAGGAGTCGGAAGACGAAGACTTCCACGAATCACAAGAGGAAGACGACGAAGACGATGATCCAGGTAAGTCACCCGTTCTCCAGCTCGATTTTCCGTGTTGGCCAACCAAGCTCATTCTGCGCTTTCTCGACTTATACGCATCCATCGACCGCTCTTCCGGCGCTGACCTTCAACACAGAAATCCAAGAGTCAGACGACGAAGATGGCACACCCGCCTCTTCAAGTGCAAAGCGTAAACGTGCATCGGGCTCTGCAGAGACGGACTCGATCAAGAGATCAAGATAAATGGATGCTTTCTTCTTGCTTGTATCCTTTCCACTGCACTTCCCTACATTGCTGTAGCATTGATGCGCACATATAGCTGCTAGAGCAGAGTGAGGCTAGTCGAGCGAGACAATCATTCTGCGAGACACAGAATTTGAAGATGGGCTTTCGCAATTGCGACATCGCAAAGCAGGGATCCAAACACCTAGCTGTGTCTTCGACAAATCAATCGATCGGCCATCCTGAGTTGCCCGATCGATATACTTGTCGCTTCTTGACGTACACTGGAAAGGAGTGGACCTCTCGCGACAGCGGCGAATTCGGCGTTCCCATCAGCCCCGCTTTGACCGACCGACGAGCCCAGGACACCGACGCCGCATCGACCGAAACCCGCCGTACCATTGCCTGCTACCCGAGCATTGCTTGAACCTTGGCACCGCATCATCGTGCTGGAGTGCGGAAGTCGGGAAGCACATCTCAGTGGGAACGGCGAATTGACCGACGCTCTCGCGCGGACACCCGTGGTTTGATCCCACCTCGTCTCTCGAACGAGTTGGTTGGTGAATCTCCAAGAGACGTTCTGCCGAATGATTTCTCATTCACAGAGGGAGAATGAGCTGAGGAGGCGAAGCACAATGATGCAACACAACGACACTAAGCCGCTACCACATTTTTTTCGTTCGTCTTTTCATTCTCCGTCCTCGCCAAAGCAGGTGCTGTTTCGCACCGATGAATTCCGGCGCTTTTTTTAGCAGTGAAATTTCATTTCTCGATCAGGAAGGTGCAGCCAAGAGAGCTCGTGGACTTTTGGCGCAAGAATTTAGCGCAATCCGGCTCGGGTACCTCTCTTGTTCGAACTCTAATTTGTTTGCTTCCTTAGAGTCCGGAAAAATTGGCTTCTTTGCGTTCGCATTGGCGGACTGGAGTGCTTTTCGGGGTCGTCGTACAGTCACCAATGGATTCCTCAAGACGAAGCTCGATCTAGCAAAAACAGCAGGTGACACAGTGGGGCGGAACCGGGCCGGTGAGCAGGCCATGGAAGTCGGGGACGTTTCAGGTGACGCAACACGCTGTGGCGCAGGGTCAATTGCGGAAAGCAGGACAGCTGCATAAATGTACGCCTCTCTCTCGTGTCCCACCTTTCCGCTTTCATGCGTTTCCTGTACCGCATCCCGAATTGGAGTCGCTGTACGACCGGTCAACCAGGCTTCTTCGGGAGCAGCAACTCTGTACGCGGAAGTCCGTCGGTAAATTTTTCCTCCAGCTCCCCACTCTGTCTCTTCTTCCGAACAACCAGTCAAGCCAGGGTTTCAGGCAAAGGCGCATGAATACATCATCAACTCATCCTTCTTCGAACAAGCCCTCCCCATCTAGCAAAGACTTGTGTCTTGCTCCTCAAGTCGATTTGTGTGAAGTGAAAGCGACGCGGGAAGTCCGAAGACGGTTGGACTCGCAGTCGGGGAAACGGGTATCCTAGCCCTTCTTGGCACTGCGAGATGAAGTGGGTCGGTCGGAGCGCCATGTGCCGTCAATGCAAACGTCAAGGTGATGAGGACGCAGAAGTCGGTCGAATCGGTTGGTGTTTGTCGGCAAAGCCCGACTGACTGGCTTTGCGATGCCGGCAGAGGCGGTGGTGGTTGCTGGTGTACGATGGCAGCCAGCCGCTCTCGTCTGCCGCTTGTGTGGGTTTCAGATAGGCGTGGGTGTGGGACGATGCAACTCTGGTCGGTCGTGATAACGCCGACTGTACAAAAGTGGGTTTGTGTGGGGGGAAGACCGACAAGGGGGACCCACAGCATGTACCGCATGATGAAGCAGTTCGCCGGAAGAGACCTTCCTGGACTGTTTGTCGTCCTACCTTACGTCCCCTGAGCATGGCGGAGTTTCGATCTCTTTCGCAAGGGTTTGGGTGGAAAGTACATATATGCCGCCTAGAGCATGATCAGTTCACCCAGTCCATCGCTGCTCACACAAGGAGGTCCATCCAGCATTCGACACCTTCCCTCTTCGACCACCTGAACCAACAAATCCGCCCATCGTCCTCACCCTGCTTGCCTTCGTGAACTGAGAGGTGCATTCTCAACCCCAATAACATCGATCATCGAGCCCAGGCTCCCGCACCACAATGCGTCTCGCTCCCTCCTTCGCCGCCCTTACCTCCTTCGTCCTCCTCTCCCTCTCCTCCACCGTCTCGGCAGGTATCGTCACCGATGCAAACAGCATCTCGAACAACGCCTACGACTACATCATCGTCGGTGGTGGTCTATCCGGCCTGACCGTTGCCAATCGACTCTCCTCCAACTCTTCCGTCAAAGTCCTCGTCATCGAAGCCGGAAATGACGATCGCAATAATGCCGACGTTTACGACGTCGACAACTACGGCAGGGCCTTCAGCACTGACATGACGTTCCACTTCGACACGGTACCGCAAGTCGGAGGACACGCAAAGACACCGTTGGGTGGACGAACTTTGGGAGGAAGTACGAGTATTAACGGAGCTGCGTGGAATCGTGCTTCCAAAGCGCAGTACGATGCGTTGGGGAGCTTGGTGAATTCCACGGATGGAGGGTGGAGTTGGGATGGATTGTTGGGGTATATGAAGAAGAGTGAGAAGTTTGTGGCGCCGAACCAGGATCAACAGAACTTGGGAGCGAGGTACGATGCAAGCGTTCACGGGACGAGTGGGCCGCTGGAGATTGCTTTTTCGCAGATCCGCAATACGAACGGCAGAAGGAGTACGGGAGGAGCCACGTCGCAGTGGAAACGAATGTACACGGGTCCGCAGCAGGCCGCTTTCATCAAGGCTGTCGGTGAAACGCTCGGTGTACAGCATGTGGACGATCAGTGTTCCGGTCAAGCCAATTCGGTCGCCTACACGCCCAACTCGATCGGCGTCAACGGTCGACGCACGTCGTCCGCTTCTGCCTACTACACTCCCGTGCAGAACAGGGACAACCTCACCATCCTCACCGGGACCATGGCAAAGAATCTGCTCTGGGATGCAGCCACGTCCAGCAACGCTCTTCGCAGCTCAGGTGTGGTGGTTCAGCAAGGTCACGACGGTACCCAGATCCGTCTGGTTGCCAACAAGGAGGTCATCTTGGCGGCTGGAGCGCTCAACACCCCCGTGCTGCTCCAACGTTCCGGCGTCGGTGCCAAATCCGACCTGAATGCCATCGGTGTCGATCAGAAAGTGGATCTTGCCGGAGTCGGAAAGAACCTTCAGGATCAATCCATGACCACCATCGGCTCCCGCGCCAACGTCGATTACAGCGGTGGAGGACCCGCCGCAACCATCGCGATGCCCAACATCCAACAGATCATGTCCAACGCTACCGATGTCCGCGCTTACATCAACTCGAACCTCGACGCTTGGGCTAACCAGTTGCTCTCCCAGGGGCACATTGCCACCAAATCCAGCGTTCTTGCCCAATGGCGTTCGGCCATCTCGCTGATCTTCGACCAACAAGCACCGGTGGTCGAGCTGTTCTTCGACACGGGTTACCCGTCGAACTCCTACGGATTGGACATCTGGACGCTGCTCCCCTTCAGCCGTGGTTCGATCCGTGCCACCTCCCAAAACCCATACGATGCTGCACGAATCGATCCGAACTACTTCGGCCTTCCGATCGACATGGACATGCAAGTGGCATCCCTGCGAGCCGGGCGCCGGGTGCTCAAGGACTCCAACCTGAGATCCCTCACGTACAACGGCGAGACCACCCCCGGGTTCTCGCTCATCCCCGACGGCACCTACTCCGGTCGCTACAGCAGATGGAGAGACTGGATCCTGGGAAACACCCCCAACGGTGGAACCGGATTTGCCGCTGTCAGCCATCAGCTCGGAACAGCGGCCATGGCAAGCAGAGCAAACGGCGGTGTCGTCGACACAAAATTCAAGGTGTACGGAACGAGCAACGTCAGGGTGGTGGACGCCAGTGTAATGCCCGTCCAGGTTTCGGCTCATTTGAGCGCCACGCTCTACGGCGTCGCTGAGAAAGCGGCGGATACGATCATCAGTAATAAGTGAAATGCGAGACGAAGAAAGCATGTTGATACCCCCCTCCAGCTTTGACCTGTGTATCAGGTAGAAACGAAATCATAGTCATGTTCAAAGCAGTCTTTTCGGTTTCGTGGCTTGTGTCGCCCGCTGTGAGGATATCCTGGAATGAGCTTTACTGTTCGAACAGTTTTGCGGACCTTCCTTTGAGCAAACATTAAGGTATATGACTGCAACAGATAAAAAGAAATTCAACCAAAGCCTCCCAGTTAGTACAATGGTTAGTATAGGGCACTCTCACTGCTCAGATCAGGGTTCGATTCCCTGGCCGGGAACTCGTTTTGGGGGTTTTAATTTTTTTGCTACAGCTGCAATGCTCACCACGAGGCCTACTCAATGCCTTCGTTGGGCTTTTCTCAACAATCCAGCTTTCTTGGCCACCGAGCCAGATCGAAAATGACAATATCGGTTGGCATGCGAATGTATACATAACCGTTTTTCTACAAGTACAAAGTTTCTGCCGAGTGTTCTGCTCCGACGTTCAATCCCACCCGGACCCATCGTACGGATTAGCTCCCTGAGCCTGGTACCCGTTCATCTCTGCTGCACCGTTCAAGTCGCCACCGTTCATCCCCCCTACACCGTAGTCCGTCATACCGCCATCTCCACCCGCACCTGCTGCACCAGGTTGTTCGTCCAACATGCTCAACTCCTGCACGATTTGCGCCACCCTGTACTCGAGCAATCCGAGTCCTGTCTCGACGATCTCTGCTGGATGCATGCTTCCGCTCGCCTCGACGTCAAAGTAGAACTTGTCCGCCTTCTTGTTGTAGTCGAAGGGAGCGCCTTCCTGCGGTGGCTCTTCGAATTCGGCATTGGGACCTTCGGGCCATTCCTGTTTGGCGTCGAATTCGTACCAGTAGGTGGTGTGACGCAGTGCGTTGTGCGGATCGTATTCGAAGCCGACGGCAGAGCAGGGGGACCATTTGGCGTGTTCTTTGGCGAAACCTTTGCGTGCGATGCAGCGGATGTCGAGCTCTTGACCCTTGGACATTTTGACGAGCATGATGGGCGGGATGGAACCGTCGTGACCGACGGGACGTCCGAAGTCGGGGTGCTTCGGGGCGGAGGGTTCGTTCATGGCATCGTCGTCGTAGATCGTGGCGGACTCGATGGTGTCGGAACGTATAAGGTCGCGAGAGGTCACTTCGAGGTTGCCACGTGTGGTGCAGCGTGCGCGTAGTGTGAGTTCGACGGAACATCGATCGCAGCCATCTTCACATGCGCAGTCCTGTGCAGTCGTCACGGAATACGATTGTAGACGACGTGGTCAGCTAACAGTTCGGCATTCAGGGTGCGTTTGGATCGATGTGAAACTTACCCTGTGGTCCACCAACGCTTTGGCGCAATCCATGCTCAGCAACGGAATCATACCCAGTCGATGCGCCAACATCTCATCCGGCAACACGGTCGTATTGTTCCTGATCTCCACCATGTCGATCGCTACTGTAGGAATGTCGGCGATCATGATCCTTCGCAATGAGTTGGCGAAGGAGAGGTCGACATTTTCGAGGATGAAGTTGGCATGATCACGATTGAGTTGTCGCACCGTGATCTTGGGCCGCGATGATGTCGCGTCGTATCTGCCGTTCATTGTGGTGATAATGATGTGGTGTGACTAGAGACCGGTGTGGGAATAGCGTACAACCGAAGAGGAATATCGAAAGCCGCAAAGCCGCTACGCTGCGCGATCGCTGCGTTACTGTCCCAATTATCGCGAGAGCGCGAGCCTGAACGGAGACGGATTCAACTTTGAGCGCGCTTTGTCGGTGTGTAGTCTGCTTTGGATCAAGCTGACGATGATCCAGAAGCGTTGTTTGGGTGGTCACGAACAGCAAAGACGAGAGGACGATATCGAGGACGGACGAAGCTAAGATGGACTTGATGTCGCAAGTGAGATCTTCTTGCGCCTACAAGTCGGAGGTGCCGACTTGCGACCCTGTCGTGGAGAAACCTGTCACGTGACAGCAGTTTTGTCAAAAAGTTGCAGAAGTCTAACATTTGAAATGTTTTCGGTGCTGCACCTCTTGTCGTCCAGTGAAGACAACTACATGCATCTTCGAAACACTCTCATCCGGGCAAAGCCGACAACATCATTTACACACGAGACGAGACGCATAGACGGACATGGCAGCCTGTATTGTCAACTAGAAGCCGTGACTGGTCCAGATTTTAAAGTCGCCCGCTGCGCGCTTCTGGTTCTCCTTGCTGGTGGCAGCCTGCTCTCTCTGCTGCTGTTGCCGCTGTTGCTGTTCCTGTTGTCGCTGCCAGTGCTCCTGCTGCCGCTGACGATGTAGATGAGACAGAGAAGGCAGACCACCTTCACCCTGCTGAGATTCCGAACTACGCTCGTACGCAAGCACCTTCTCCTTCAGTTGCTTACGCTCCGCCTCTTCCTTCAGCTGCTTCGTACGCGTGTTGATGGCGATCGACGCTGTAGACGGAACATGCACTTCGTGCGTCACCTGCTTAGATCCCTTCTTGGAGAGCAGCGCGAACCTCATGTGCGACGTGTCGCCCTCCTCCGCCGCTTGCTCCGATGGCCTGCGTCGGAGCGGCAGACCGATCTCGGACAGACCTCCGGAGCTGTTGCTGCTGTGGACGTGGCTGTGGCCGCCAGCATTGCCTGAAGGCAGCGCGGTCCTTGAAAAGACATGCGCGCGCTGGTAGCTGGTAGCCGAGTTCGCGCTTGGCACAGGTGCGCCCGATGATGAGCCCAGCTCGGCCATCATCTTGGCCAGCTCGCGGTCAAACTCGTCGTCGGCTTCTTTTCGAAGCGCCAACTCTTCGTCTTTCCTGTGACGGTTCATTTCGTCTTGCTCGTCTTCCGACTCTTCGCCGCCAGAGGCGCTCGCTGTGTCAGAGCTCTCGGAATCGCTCGGCGAGTCTGTAGATGATGACGAGTCGCTGGACGGCGAAGACGCTGACGACTCGGTCTCGTCGGAAGAAGTGTCGTCACTCGAGGCATGGTCGGCCCCATGCCTCGCCTTGCGACGCTTCTCCTGGCCGTCTCCATCTTGGCCACTGGCTCCAGTTCGAGCTTGATCTTCGTCGGAGCTTTGTTCCTCAGTGTCCTCCTCTGCCTCTGTCTGAGCCGTCTTGAGTCGATTGGCAGCCAGCAACTCGTCCAATGCGGCTGCTGCTTCGTTGAACACCTTCTTCCACTTCCATTCCGGGCGTAATGTCTCGAGCGTCTCTGTGAGCATGAAGTCGACGTCCATCGGTAGAGGCTGATGCTTGCAAAGCACGTAGACGTTCAAGAAAGCCAAAAAGTCGTCCAGTTTCTTGCGCAGCGATCCACGATCGAAGCACGCGCCACACGTATCGAGCAGCGAACATATCAGTCTGATCCTGAAAAAGTCGTCAGGTGCATCCAACGGCGCAACTTGACCTGGCCACGGTCGGCCGTTGGGATGACCAAAGGTCGCAAGCGACCAAAGTTGCTCGAACACGATGCCGCTGTTGATGAGACGGTAGTTGTAGAGCTCGCCCAAATAGCAGATGGTGGCCACGCGGCGCTGATTGTGTTTGAAGATGTTCTCCTCCATGCCGATACGGATATTCTCGAGCACCTGATCGATCACCTCGACGGAAAATGCAGGATGGAAGCGGTCGAGGTCGTAGATGAGAATGGCGAGCAGGTGTATATGAGAGTATCGGATCCGCCATGCGCGAGTGAAGGCATCCTTCAACCAGCCGTGTACGTCCTTGTCGTCCCAAGGAAGCTTGCGGAGCTGGAGCACAACAGTGTCGATCGTCTTCTTCTGCAGGACGTGGTAGATCAAGTGTCGGATGTACAGCTCCATGGGCTGTCGCGTCTTTTGCTCGATCGCTTTTCGTTGTGGCGGGTTGCACTGGTAGTAGGCATTGTTCAACAATAGAAGCTGGCGCGAGTCGAGGTTGGCAGCAGCGCGTTTGCGACGGAGCATCTCGAGCATGCTCCTCATGTGCGCCGAAGTCTCTTCGGTGCGCAAGAGGTACCTCCCGCAGCCTTCGAGTAGTGAGGCGAGTACGTCGATGTTTGGCCCGGAAAAGTCCTCGAGGCAGGTTTTGAGGCAGTGGAAAATGGCATGGGTAGGCGTCACCTTGAACTTGGTGAGCTCCGAGATAAAGCGAGCATTCTTGGCACGAGTCTCGGTGAGATCGATGTTCTTTTTGCGTTGTAGGTAGCGGAACTCGTCTTCGAGCAAGGCAGTGAGGCCGGCACCAACGTCAGGCATGTACCTGGTCAGGATGGCCGCGAGACGTGCGTAGTAGGGAGCCAGGTCGATTCTGTTGCGTGGAAGAGAAGCAAGGTGTTTGACCAGCTTACGGCGAGCTGGCTTTGTAGCGATGAAGGCGAAATCCACAGCGGCGCTGTCGATCATACTGCGATTTGTCATATCTGGAAGCTTCGCCATGAGCGTGGCGAGCTGTGCTGCCGGCCCAGCGTTCATGGCTTCCTCTGTCGTTGGATCGCCATCAAGCCGCGGCGAGCTGGGCGCTGTGGATGACTCAGCTGCTTCGATAGGAACGGAGCTTTCTTTTGGGCCGTCCACTGTGTCTGTAGTGGTGGAAGCGGTCGCTACGATGCCAGTGGTTTGCGCCAAAATTGCGGGAGGAATGATGTCGCCCAAGTCCAAGATATCCTGATAGAACTTTTGCGAATCTTGATCCTCCCATGGACTCTGATCTGTGGCGAACTCTTCATCTGCGCGCTCGAATGCAGACTTTGAGTCGAGGTTGACACCAAGACCGACGGCATTGCTGCTAGAGCCAGAAGACTCCAACTCAGGCATGGGAACAGCTAGAAGCTCGGAAAGTACCCTGCCCCAATCGCGGACTCGCTCGAAGCTTTTTGTCATGCGCTCGTAATTGTGCTGACGATCTTCAAAGATCTCGCCGGATCGGATGTAGGCTTCGTGGTTTTTGCGATCCTGATCCTGCAACCGTTGGTGCTCCTTGACGATGCGACGGGCGAGCGTCTGAAAGTAGGTCTCGAAGAGCTTACGAAACTTGGCCTGCCACTCGGAGGACACCAGAGGTGCGCTCGATGGGTCGAGTTGATCAATCTGATCAGCGTTGATTGCGTCGCCGAGGGTGAGGGCTGCATCAGCCTGTTGCGATTCTGGAGATGCAAGGATCGACTGACCAAGACCTTTGAGGACGGCGATGAGTAGGGGGACATTTGAATGTTCCTTATCCGTAGCTAAGAGATTCTTGAGCAGAACAAAGAGCCAAGATGACCCAGTGTTTTCGGTGGAGTGACCTACAGCCTCTACTATTGCAAGCTCTGCAACAGCTCGGAGGAGTGGCTTCTGTCGAGCGATCCTAGCAGTCTCGTCCCTTTCCTTTTGGTCGGCTGCGGCGTTTTGATAGGTCGTCTTGCTTGGCGGCGCGAGTGCCTGCTCGAGCGCAGCAGTGAGCGGGGAGCTGAAAGCTTCACCACCAAAGCGGACATGAAAGGCAGAGAGGGTCTCAGCCGCAGCAAAGCAGTCTTTGGCCGTGACGCATCTGGCCAATCCCTCCGGAATTGCCTGGATGAGCTCCTGCAGGTACTTTTCGAGGTTGAGAAGAGGCAGATCCTTGAGGAGCTGGTCACGAGCATCGAGTGCGATGCTCTGCTTGACACGTTTCACGAAAGCGGTGTTCTTTTTGAGGTTCGAGTCGAGTGCTTTGGAGATGGGTGCGGGACCCGACCTCCAGACTTGTTGGTTTGCAGCTCGGAGCTGACGTCGCTTCCTCTCGCGCTCCTTGTAAAGGGCTTGCGCTTGGGATTCATCTTTAGAGTGTGGTGGTGCGGGAGAAGCGATTGACGATGAGGGTTTGGACAGCGCCACTGCTTCAGCGCTGCTCGTAGTGGCCGGCGCCATGTGTCACTGGAGGATAATCTGAACGAGTTCTATGGCGGTGACATGGGCATCTACGTCTGTCTCTGGCAGTACAGAGCCTTTTATGCGTGCTGTTGTCGATTGGATTTCAAGAGTGCTCTGCAGACGTATGATCGATGGATCTAGATGAGAGGACGCTGTGGTGGTCTTAGAGATGGATGGACCCAGCACGGAGCTGTCAAGTGTGCAATCTTCCCAATTTGGCGCAGCGACGAGCTTCAGATTCAGGGTCCAACCGATTCGATCTCACATCTGAATACATTTGCGCCACCTTAACATTCCGATGGTATTTTTCGGTGGATTCTGCCATGTGGTGTGAGCAGCCAGCGTTCCATGCAGCGCAGCCGTCGATTCCGCCGCGTGACGTTGTGAGTGTGTCACTTTGCGAGTTCCCAAATTTCTGCCTTGTCGAATTTGAACCCGACACTCGGATTGAGCTTAACCGGCCAAATAGAGTTCCTCAGGAAGAATCCGAGCCAACGCCATCCGGCTACAACGATCAACTTGGTCGCCGGGAATTCCAACCCTAGGCGCTGCCGGTCATTCGTGCTGTGCTCTCACTTATGTCCGAGCTTGAGTCTTGAAGCATGGAAGTTCCGAGGATGAGAAACGGAGAAAAGTCCGCAAGTGAGGCTTAACGCTTGGCAGCATAGCCGAACGAGTGGCTCTCAGCAGTACATAAAGGGTTGAGCACGTCCGTTCTCGTCTTCACCTTGCCCTCATCCTCCTTTTAGATCCTTCCTCGATCTCGAAATGTCGTTCTCAATCCCGTCCCAGCAAACTCAGATCGTGCTGCGCGAGCGGCCCACAGCCGCCATCAAGGACAGTCTCGGCGCCGCTGACTCCACCTACGAGAAGCGCACCGTTCCCGTCGCCAAGGAATCCGAACTCAAGGATGGCGAAGTGCTCGTTCGCGTGGAGTACGTCTCGCTCGACCCCGCCATGCGCGGATGGCTGCGCGATGCACGTTCCTACCTGCCACCCGTACAGATCGGCGAGGTGATGCGCGCAGGTGGTGTTGGTGTTGTTGTGGCATCCAAGTTCCCCGGTCTCAGCAAGGGTGACGAGGTCAGTGGTACGTTGGGGTGGCAGCAATACGCTCAAGTTCCCGGAAAGAGCGTCGAGAAGCGAACTGTCCGCGAAGGAGGCTCCCTGCTCGACTACCTGGGACCTTTGGGCTCGTCTGGCCAGACCGCTTACTGGGGTATCTTTGACGTCGCTGCTATCAAGGAGGGTGATGTAGTGGTTGTCACTGGTGCCGCTGGATCGGTTGGAAGCATCGCTGTTCAGCTCGCAAAGTTGAAGGGGTGCAAAGTCATCGCTGTCGCTGGTGCCGATGACAAGTGCGAGTGGCTCAAATCTTCGCTCGGCGCAGACGAGGCTCTCAACTACAAACATCCCGACTTCAAAAAGACCTACCGAGAGCTCGTTACCAAAAAGTACGGCTACATCGACGCTATCTTCGAAAACGTCGGCGGCGACATCCTCGACATGTCCTTGCTCTGCATGAAGCCGCACGCTCGCATCGCCTTGTGCGGTGCCATCTCGGACTACAACAACCCCAAACCCAACGGCCTGAAGAACTACCAGACCATCATCGCCATGCGCATCAAGTTGCAAGGCTTCATCGTGTTCGACTACCTCAAGCGCTACGGAGAGGCCGAGGACAACATGGTCAAGTGGATGAACGAGGGCAAGCTGGCGAGGAAGTTCCACGTCGTGGGTGAGGACTTGGATGGCAAAGCGAGGGAGCAGGGAAAGAGCTTGGAGCAGTGTCCCAAAGCTCTCAATGATCTGTTCGCCGGTAAGAACGTTGGAAAGATGGTGGTCAAGGTCGCTCCTTGAGCAACCTGTCGATGTGTATCGAAATTGCATCCGAGAAAAACAAAAGCTTTCATCTGGCTGTCAAGGCATGCACACTCGTGATCGTGAATGAAAGTAAATAGCTGCTGTGGTATTATCGCAAGGCAACGGGTGAAGCAGAAGAATACAAAATCCGGCCCGCCACCACAGAGTGTATTGTTGGCAAGTTGCGGGGGACTGAGAAGGAACGCGGGTATTTGAGCACGTCAAGAAAAGTGAACTACGAGAAGAAAAAGGTGACGAAAATAGAGGCCACAAAAACATCCACGAAAGTCCAACAACCAGCCAAGGGCCCAACGGAACATGCAATGCTACCACGACCATCGCGCGAAGGATCATTCTCCGCTGCCTGCGCTGGACACAGGACTCAAGATGGTCGATTTGGTCTTTCTCGGTGATCTGGTCAGATCCCACGCTCTGATGCCGCCAGCACCTCCCAAGTTGGCCATGCTGCGTTTGCTCTTGAGCGGGCTTCCGCTCGAGCTGCCTGGACTGAAGAGCAAGTTGGGACGACTCGAGTTCTTGCGCACCTTCTTCGTCGGACTGCCTGGCGGTGCGCCTGTTGTCGAACCTGGGCTATCGCCATCGTCGTCCGACCCCATCGTCCCCGTAAACCCGGTGACGTTGGACATGGTTCGCGTTCGAACCGAACTCGCATCGTCGTCAAAGTCGTCATCCTCACCCGAGGAGCCAAATCCGCGCAGAGGTACCTTGTAGCTTCCACTCGGCGCAACCGCCGAGCAAATCTCGTCGGCATCGTTCATGCCGTAGTTGACAAACGAGAGTTGCGAGAATCCGCCGGATCCCGAAGCGAGCGCAGACGGCGTCGGCGATTTCGATTTGCCAGGAGAGGTAGTGGAACGAGAAGAGACGGTACTCTGGTGGGAGATGGTACGGGCACGTGTGGGCGAGGCCGAAGTGGTGAGTTCGAGTGTGAAACCGCCCGTGCCGATGGTGCTGCCCTTGCTCTTCAGCATGCCCGTCGAGGTCGACGAGCTGGAACTTGACGTGGATCCAGAATTGCTACCGCCGGCAAGGGGCAGAGACGAGGTCGTGTTGATCCTTCGATTCGAAGCGATCTTTCGCAACCCTTGGGCCGTAGGCTTGCTCGGCGAAGGCGGCAACCCAGCAACGATGCCGCCGAGTGGACTGCGAAGGTGCGGCGTCGACTTGGTCTTGGCCGGCGATCGGGGCGGGCTCAGTGGCGCAGAGATCATGTTGGGCGCTTTCCTCGAAGTCACCTGCGCAGCGGTGCTGCTTTCCGCCTGCTTGTTTGCGACAGCCTGGTTCTGCATCTGTAGGAACTGCAGTTGCTGCTGCTGGAGCTGTCGCATACGCGTCTGCTGCATCGCAAGGTGCTCTCGCGAAGCATCCGCGGGCGCCGATCGCGGCGTGCTGGAAGCGGGCGGCATCAGGCCCATTTCCGAGGTACCCATCAGCTTCGACGGCTCGAGTGTTGTCACCGTCTGTTGCTGCTGCTGCTGAGACGCTTGCGCTTGCTGTTGACTGAACGGGTTTTGCAGCTGCATAGGGTTGGCCGCGATCTGCGAGGCCAGCGAAGGACTTGATTCCGCCCTGGTGAAACCAAGATGACTCGGCCTCCTAGGAGCAAGCAGCATCTGATCGCCACTCAATTGTTGGCCGACACCCACCATGCCGCTTGCTGTCAAGGTCAGGCCGTACATACCACCCCCGCGCTCGTGACCGATGCTTCCACTGCTGATGCTGTTGTGTCTCGGTGGTGGGTAGACTGATGTGTAGCCCGACATGTCTTGCGAGTTGGCGTTGCCCTGGCCTGCGTAGAGAGTGGCGTCATGCTGATGAAGGAACTGCTGGGTGAAGACGCCTTGCTGCTGCTGCTGCTGTTGGGCCAAGTGAAGATTCGAAAACTGATTCTGGATCGAGGGTGCAAAGTTGGCAGAGTCGGCAGAGAGCGGCATGCCTGGCATGCGCGGATCAAAGTTGGCACCGGGGTAGCCTTGCATCTGGACGCCCACATAGTTTTGCATGTGCGGGTGGTATGATGCATTCGCCATGCTGCTGGGGCCGGGCTGTAGCGGATGCTGCGGTGTGACGGGGGTGGGCAGTCCGGTCGAGCCCATGCTGAGCTTGCGCGGGGAGTTGCCTTCCATGCCATACATGAGGGCCGCCTGCACCGCCTTGGCTGCACGCTCACTAGCCTCTTGGCCAGCGAATTGCTGAGAAGGGGCGACAAAGTCCTGGTAGACACCCAGTCGGGCTGCTTGCTGCGCAACGTGAATCTGATGCAGCTGTGCAAGTCTCCTTCGCTGTTCTTCCGTCATCTTTTCTGGATCCACGGTCGACTCTGTTGGATTGTTGATCGTCACCGTACGTCCGGGAGAGACCTCGATCGTCTGGTCACTTCCATCTGCCGCGGGGACAGCGACAGGTGAAGGTGCGTGAAGATCGCGCTGCACAGCACGACGCTGGAAGAGCGCCGAAGACTGAGCCACGCTAGCATTACCTGCCAACTCTGTGATCAGTGGTAGACGAGTTTGGTTGAGACCACTCTCTTCGCCGTGCACACCGACATCATGAGCGGGGCTGCTGACTGCGCTCGATTTAGGTCCAAGTTCCAGGCCGAGTGCGTTCGAGTCGGGGATGCGTTCCTGCGGGAAACCGGCGTCGACGAGAAAGTCGTTGATCAGATGTTGGGTACCAGCGGCTTCCAACACCGGGTCGTCTCGCTGCAAGAGCGGCGCCGAGATGCATGAGCGGAGCGTGCGTGCTGCGGCACCAAGGAGCCCAGTGCTGTCGCCATCTGTGGAGGGTGGCGTCGGGTTGGGCGTTTCAAAGCCAATAGAGGTAGGTGCCCCAGGTGATGCGCCAGTGTCGGACGCTTCGATGTTGAAAGAGAATCTCGGCACGTTGGAGCTCTTGCGTGTGACCTTGGAGGTGATGGCCTGCGTCTGTCCGTACCAGATACCTTCGGGAGAGTCTATGTCCGAGTCGAGGCCACCGACTACTTCTGGGCCGTGGTTCCAGCCGGGAAGGTTGATGGTGGTTGTCATGTAAGGACTGCTTGAGCTCGAGTTGGACGCACTCTCGTGGAAAAAGTCGTCAATGTGCAGGGTGTCTGTGAATGTTGACTTCAAATCTGTTATGGGTTTGGGGGTGAAGCGAAGAGGTTGGCGTGTCAGTACGTTTGTGAACAGGTACACGTTCACTTCATCAGGAGATCGCTTACCGATCGAATGCTCAGCCAGGTTTGAAAGATAGTCGTCGGCATTGTTGAGTCCCATGGCCTTTGACTCTGCTGTGTTTGACCACGTGAGCATGGGCGGAGAGACCATGTCGAATCCATCGGTCAGGCTGGTGAAGCTGTCATGTCGAAGAAGCGACTGTTGTGTAGTCATGCTGGTAGGTGCCTTCGGTGTATCGTCATGAGTCGAAGCGTTGAGCCAATCGGAGACGCTGTCGGAAGCGACGAGGTTGTTGTGAGAGTTGTGTCGGCTGCCAAGCGATTTCCCGGAGGATGCGAAGACGCTGCTTGCCATCGTGATGGGTGATTCACGAGGGAAGCTAGCAGCCTCCCTTTCGAGGTTAAGTGAACGATGAGGAGTCGGCTGCGCTCAGCTGAGACGGTATTTCTGTACAGCTACGATTCGTCTGCCAGATGTCGTTGATGAGCGCTGGTGCTATGAAGTGAGTTGAAGAGCGATAACTGTATCTTTGCAATCGACCGGTATTGAGACAGGAGTCAAGGACGTATGGTCGTGATGTCGGTGGTGTGATGAGGGCGGAGAGACTGGTTATCGTAAGGATGAACGGAAGTATGGCAAGGTTGGTGGTGATGAGAATAGGATGTGCGAAAAAGATGGTTAGAGGAAAGCTGTATGATCGTGTCAGAGCGAAAAGAGGAAGGTGCAAATGACTGCAAGAGATGTCTCGCAAAAGAGACAAGGTAGGTTGGGGCGTGAACAAGATGTCAAGGCCAGGTGTGGGTGAGACAGAGCTTTGTTCTCGGGACGGCCGCAGGATCAGAAACCAAAGGCTGGACACACTGGTGGCGCCGCGTAGTGGGAGAGAAGGGGAAAAGAAAGGGGCAGAGCGGAGTAATGGGCCCGGCGACCGTAGGGGAGAAGTTACAAATCGTATGACGCCTCATGGTTTATGCGATGGCCTTGCTGAGTTTCGAGTCCAGCCTTTGGCACGACGGTCACCACCTTAGCGCTCTTCCGTATCAGACTCAGACTCAGATGCAGCTGCAGGCGGCAGCAGGACCGTGACAGGGAGCGGTGCTGGAGAGCATGTCAGCGTCCTACGGACGCCAAGTACGGTGCCCTAGGTACGAAACGTGTGTCGTCCGTTGAACCCTTTGACGGCAAGTCGATCTTTGCAGAAACTGTCACCGTCACCATCGCGAAGAACAACGACAATCGAGGAGACAGGTCATTCGACATGCGTTTGATGGAGAAGGGGAGAGGAGGAGAGGGGGGCGTCTTGGCCAAGCGACAGCATCGGACTTGACGCAGGGCCCGGATCTGCATTGCAGCTAGAGTTGAGCCTGCAGTGGATGTGCAGGCAGCTGCCCAAACAACACACACTTTGGAGGTCGACGAGAGCCACCTGGTAAGCGAGGTTGAAGATCGACAGTCTGTCAACTCCGAGTTGGTCGCAGACTGTCGGCTGAGCGCACTACTGCTGTGTTTACGTGTTTAGGCAGGCTGCCTGAAAGTTCTGTCGGAGAATCGGGCATTTAATTTGTTGCAGCGCGCAAGCCTGTTTGCCAAAAGAGTAAAATTAAAATCAATTTATGAAAACAGTTTCAAAGGGAGCACAACTCACCCCATCCATCATTACGACGCTGTAGATTGTGGAGCCTAATCTCCCCACTCTTTTAGCCGACGGATAGATGAAGACAGGGAACAAGCGACAAACCTTGCCTTGGCTCGATCAGATCTCTTGGGGCAGCCGCCACTAGGTAACCTGGAGCGGGAAACTGACGTGCATGGAGCCACAGCATCGTAGTCCATTGTTCCGACTTCACGCCCGTTTTACCCTAATCTTGTAACGAGCTTCAGTATGCAGCCGCTTCACTTCTTGCGGCAAGCAGGATGTGTGGCGATGACATCTCAGCGTCCATCAGCACATTTCATGAAGTACCGACGGAACGGCAACAAAAAGGAGTTGGTTCCACTACGGCGCCAGTCTATGAACCCTCAAAAAAGCGCCTCGAGCACAACAACCTCAACCTGGTCATCGGTTTCCCAGAACTTTGAGATCTGATCACCTTGAACACTCTGGACGGCATCTGTGCGTCGAAGCGATCCGACTCGAAAGCCGGAACTCAGACTCGCTTACCATCAGGAGGGTCAGGGGACACTCTCCGACCATGCATGGGCTCTGTACTTGACTCTTTCCCGGGCGGGACCACCACCCCTAGCTCGTTCAATGTGTACAATCGGCGACTGAAGATGTTTGTTTCTCTGCGATCCGAGTCAGGTTCGCCTCGTGGCCATTTGAGTGTCTCGAGCATAGAAGGCTTCGACAAACTGCCTAGCAGCCAATAGGAAAGCGTCCTTCATGATCCCTATTGTTAGCTTGTCTTGCTCGAAAAAGCTGCCCTGGTTGTGCTTTGAAACACATATCCGAGCGATCTCGACAAATAACGATGCAGAACGGTGGTCCTGTAGTCATCTGCAACTGGGTATCTCGGTAACGCAGACTCAGGGCGGACCATCAACTCAAAAATAAATTCGATTTCTCCATGGCTGCCGCCGCCTTGACCTAACTTTTCATGTGAGTCGTATGGCCGAGATGCCCATTCCCCGGGAGCCGCACCTCGCATGCAATGTCGGAAGCTTGAACCGCACTGCAGCGGTGCTGTTCTCGGAAGATACGGTCTACAAGTGCGAGAAGGAGGACCGAGGACGAAGGATGACACACCGAGTCGCGCATGACGTGCAGTGCCTTGCAGACGTGCTGCAATCAGGGTGCAGTCGAAGCCGACGTGGTTGATGCAGCTCAATGGTCGAATAGCGATAGGGTTTGGTGCGGTTTTGGACGTGGGTAAAAACGAGTTTCAGTCCCATGAGACTTCTCACCGAGATGAGACAAGGACCGCGAGCTTATTTAACTTCTACATCTCCTGCACCTCGGTGTAGACAAGCACCAAAAAAATTGAATTTGTAAATAAACTTTTTGAATTCGCTTCGACTTTGACAGCTGCAAGGATGATCAGCAACAGGCCCGGAGTGCCGCCGCTTCCATCCGCCCGGACGTACGTATACCTACCTCCCTTGTCCCTAGACCTCCCGTGATTCGGACCTTTAACCACGCTCTCCCGTCTCATTCACGAGCAACCAGTGTGGCTGGCAAAAAAAGGTCTAGAATGATCAGCCACATGATCTCCCAGCCATGATACCGTGAAACCCATGCCTTTCTCGTCAGCTTCATTCGCCGAATCGCAACGTCATCCTATGTGTTTTGTGAGCCAGCATTGCCCGTTTCGCCGACCGCTCAGAGTTTTTTTTCGGCTGAACCTTCTCAGATTGCCGCCAATCGTATGCCAACGGAAGCGTTGGCGCCCGAAACCCATCGTTTTGGGACCGAGACGCTCTTCATTGGGAAGGTATAGCCGCTCGAGATTGCAATAAGCAATTTGGCTCTCGAGAGTTGACAGCGGCTAAGTTGCTTCTCCTGAGCGGTTGCTCTACAATGTACTACACACTGATACTCTGCACGTGATCACCTTCTGTGACCGTGTTGGCCGGGCTGACGACACGATCCCACCACTCGTACTCTCTACCTCCCAATGCGTTGTATGCTGATCGATCTTTCACAAGTGTCTGCACGAGACCATACGATGTGAGGCTGACTCGGTTAACGAAGAGACCCACAAGCGCTGGAAAGTACGATCGGATCATCGCGCGTACATGACAGAACAATGGGAGGAACAGGAGCCCCTGTCTTAAAGCATCAACTCAGCCGTGTCGGCGTGCGAAACTACGTGGAAACAGAAGCCGTGTAGTTGATCGGGCGAGTGGCATACGCCGATGGAACGATTCTCAAAATTATATTTTTCTCTTGCACGTGTAAGATCGGCAGGAATTATTGATTTCTCAAAGAATTTGGGATGAAAGATCGGTTCCGAGGCGAACGGGCAATTTGTCGAGACGTGAACCATTGACACTCACACTCACACTCACACCTACGCTGCTTTCCCACATTCGCACATCTTCACCGCACTGACATCTCGCATCAACTATCATCTTGACACCACTTACACCGAACAAGTGCTGTCTACGTCCCACTCAGTCACCCCAAGCAGGCTCTTGGATCACCACCGCGCCGTATCATCGCAAAGATGGCTTCCATCTTCTCACCTTTCCGCAGCACATACCGATACCTTGTACGTTCGATCTTGTTCTCATCTTTGAACCTCGCTTGTCACGAGACTCTCTTGCCCGTGGCATCGAAGCGCTGACTTTGATTTCTCTTTCTGCACACATCCCACTTTCATTTTGGCCTTCCGGACTTGAACAGCAATATGCAGCGCACGAGCATCCAGTAGTCTTCTTCTCCATCGTCATCGGTTCCGTCGGACCGCTGGCAGTGGTCACCGTCCCACCGATCCGAAAGGCGTACGGCTGGAAACCCGCTGAGAAGGTCCCCACCTCGTATCCTCGTAAGCATCTCAGAACCATATGTGCGGCGTATAAGAAGCCGGGTTCAATGGCTGACACTTTTTGCGTTCTTGTGACTCAACAGTTCCGGCTCGTGCACGGGAGGAAATCTCTGCATACGAAGATGAAGAGTAGATGCACCAATGATGTACACGGCACAACAGAAGAGTAGCAATATCAGCAATTGCACCCAGTAGACATCTTGCTCGACAGAGCCACGGTGCGGGGTGGAACGTGCGTGCAAGCAGAAAGATGTGGTCAGAAGGGTTGAGACGGAGCAGGATGGAAAAGGTCAGGGAAAGGAGAGCTTGCCAGCTTCTGGATCGCGTCGATAGGAGAGGCTCAACCGACACAAATCTCAAGTGTCGAAGGACAGCAAGGTGTGGATCGCTAACCACTCCCGCACTCCCGCACGGACAAGTCTTGCCTGTCCGCCAACCGCTCTTGCGGCGAGTCCTTTCCTACAGCTGCCATTGAACGACGCCGTCGATCAAACGGTCATCCAGCTCACAGGTCGGAAAAGCCGGGACAGTCAGACAGAATCGAAACGTCACAAACAGTCACAATGAGTCGAGGTGAAGAATAGCGATGCTATAATCTCGCAAAGTGTGATACAAACTCGTCGCGCTGCATCACAACCCTGCTGTCCTCACCAACCGCCTATCCCAAGGCCCCAAATCGCTCTTCCTACACCCCTTGTCCTCCCTACACTCACACTCCCCACCCAGCTCCTTCGGCCAATCCTTCTTGGCCACGTACTCATATATCCTCTCCCTGTAATCCGACCCTGCAATATCGATCTTCTCCACCGTCGCCGTCGGCAGCCAACCCTTGATCCAACTCCAAATCGTACTAAACATGTACGGTGCGTTGATGATCTGGACCCTCCCCGACAACTCTGGAAAGTTGTTATCCAGGATGCTCAACAACTGCTGGAGTTGTCCCTTCATCGACCAAAACGTTCCCAGCCCTAACCCGGCTAGGTTGACCACCATCATGTTGTCATCCACCCACCGCCCGCTCGCTACACTGCACGGTTCGTACCGATGTCGCACCGCGAGCTCCAACGTCACCGCAAAGTTCTGAATCACGCGTTCCGGCGTCGTCTTGCGAAACACCTCGGTGCAGTTCATGTTGCCCAGATCTTGGATGAAGATCGGTCGTCCCAATCGATCCGTCTTGTGAAAGTACATGCACCACCCGTGTGCCGCCACCGCATCGCGCTCTTCGAACTCGAATTCTTGTACTAGACGATCCAGCTCGATCTCCTTCTTCCAAGCCTCGGCTTTGAGGTACATGGTTCGTGCCGCTTCGACGTTGAAGCTCCTCGCTCGTAGGAAGCGCAGCAACTGCGTTTCCTGGTACGAAGGGGGGTTCGATTCGGGATCTTGCAGTGCTCCGTCGAGCTTCAGTCCCTGCGTAAGGTCGTGAAGCGCTTTCGACTGCGCCGATGTCAAGTTGCCAGGGTGTCCCGGGAGAGGTTTCGCATTGGGATTTTGAAGAATGCGCTTGAGCGGCGAGTCTTCATAAACGTCCGTTTCAGGTGTGGCCAAGGGGGGACCGAATACATCCGTTTCATGCTTGGAGAAGCTGCCTCTCCTTGAAGCTGGTGCTGACGGCGCGTGCGTGGACAGAGCTCTTTGGTTCTCCGAGCTTGTTCGAGTCGATGCTGCGCCCTTTTGAAGGTCGAGCTTCTCGAGGCGCTGAGAGCTCTCTTCCAATGGAGTGACTGCCGGCGAAGTCGTACCGGCGGACAAGGTCCCGGACGCAAGTTTGCCAGTAGAGCGTGTGAAAGATGCGAGTCGATTGCGGAGAGAAGAGGGTGTGGTGCTTCCGGTAGGAGTGGAGGGGTTGACGTCGGGCTTAGAGCCTGCTGCGGCCGCAGCACTGCGACTGGCAGACCAGGTAGCATTGCGGTTGGGTGGTGGAGTGACGGGCTCCAGCGACCCGGACGAGGTAGATGAGTCCATTGAAGGAGGCATTGATATGTGCTAGCTGCACCTGTCAATGCTGGTCGATAATGGTGGCCGACGAATAAGCTAGAAGAGCTGAAACCGAGTCTCTGCGGATGGGCCCAGGTGATGAGATATCGTGATCGCAGGAGATGAGTGTCTAGCGCAATCCCGTCTCGTTCTGCCAGAAGTCGCTCGGGAACCACTTCTCCGTGCGGGAACGATGCGATGCCCTGCTCTGAGTCGTGTTGCGTAGTGACCGTTGACACGTTCGCTGAACACGGACGCCGATTGATGAGGCGGACTAGAACAGAGAAGCAACGGATTCTGAAGTTGCTGATTCTTGACCGGTCAGGGACTGAAGCCACAGGTGTTGTAGTTGCTGTTGGTAAGACTAAACGAAGGTCGATGTAGAAAACGTAAGGGATGAAGAGAGAGCTTGTGCTCTTTCAGGGTTGCCGAAGTGGGACCGAGCGCGGTCACACGCTCAGTCACAGCTTCTCTCGGCGCACTGATTCCCGACCACCGAACGGGCTCGTGTGACTGCTGCTCTGCACCCAACAATCAAAGAGTGTCAGCAACGCTGTCAATTTCGAAAAGCTTCGGATTTCTTCTTGACTGGCTCTGCTGCCTGCAATTTGAACCTCCACAAAATATCTCCTGCCGGCTGGGAAGACCCGATACCCTCTTGACCTGTTCTCCTTGATCGCCCAATCAGCGTCAACACTTCTGCACCATCGTACAAGCTACCCACTCGCATCTTCTTGCTCAGATGTACAGACATTGCAGCCAAGGTTGAGTTCAAATCCAAATCATATTTATCAACAGTTTTCTTCTAGAGGATAGTAATCAATATAGGAAAAAGGGCTTTACAGTCGCTTCCATCTCTCAAGACCTGTAGGTCGTCCATCCTTCCATAGACAGTCTCGATTCTGCTACGAGTTCAAGACGCCGTCAAGCTTCGAAAAAAGGAAAGCTGTGCGAAGTAGCTTCAAGAGCGCTGGGGAAGGACCATGGCAAGCAGGGCCATGCGCAGGTACAGTCCGTACTTGACCTGTCGCCACCAAGCTGCACGAGGATCGTACTCGAGGTCGTCCGCCAGCTCGTTGTTCTTGGGCAAGGGGTGCAGGACGATGGTGGTCGACTTGCACTTGGACAGTGTCGCATTGTCCACCACGTAGCTGTCCTTGACCGCTTCGTACGATGCCAGGTCGGGGAAACGCTCCTTCTGTACACGAGTGACGTAGAGCACATCGGTGCGAGCGAGAATGTCGTCCGTGAGCTTGGTCGACTCGTACTGCTTGATGCCCTTGCGTGCCACCGCCTGCTTGACGTCTTCCGGCATCTTGAGCGATTCGGGGCTGACGTAGTTGACAGTCACGCCGTACAGGCACAGCAGCTGAACAAGGCTGTGCACCGTGCGCCCGTACTTGAGGTCACCCACCATGGTGATCGTAAGTCCAGCCACGGTACCCATCTCTTCTCGGATGGCGAACGTGTCCAGCAGAGCTTGCGTAGGGTGTTCGATAGACGACTCGCCTCCCGAGATGACCGGAACAGGAGAGTGCTTGGCAGCCAGGTGCACGCTGCCAGCCGCAGGGTGTCGCATCACCACCGCGTCCGCGTAGCAGCCCAGGGTGCGGATCGTGTCCGGGATCGACTCGCCCTTCTGCACAGACGACTTGTCCGGCTGCACCTTGACAACTTGGCCGCCCAGACGGAGCATGGCGGCCTCGAAGGAGCACGACGTTCGTGTCGACTCTTCGTAGAACAGCGTAGCAAGAACGCGTCCACGCAGCAGGTCCACTGAGCCCTGACGCTCGACCATAACGCGCATCTCGGTGGCAACCGAGAACAGAGCGTGCAGGTCGTCACGCGTGAAGTTCTTGACAGAAAGAATGTGTCGTCGCGCAAAGGTGGGGTGGTACAGCACCGATCCCAACGCGGGTGCCGAGGGCGCCACGGACAGAGCCGTCGATTCGTTGGCGAACGCCGCCATCAAGCTGCCGCTGCGAGGCTGAGCGGGCTCGGTCGAGCCCAGCACTGGCGACTTGAGACCCAGCGACAGAGGTGGAGGCGAGGTGGGCGCGTCTTGCGTCGACACCACACCAGAGCCAGCGGCCGCAGTGGCAGAGAACGAAACGCGGCGACCGGCAGCCTTGGCCTGCTTAGCCACCGTAGCGACGCTGCTCACATTGCTGCCCAACGAGGCATCCGAAAGCACCTCGCCATCGACGAACACGGTCTTGCCCTTGAGCGTCACACGGTTGATCGAGCCCACCGTGGCACGCGACTCGAGCGGCGACCAGTGGTCGCGGCGCACGAACGCGGTAGGTCGGTCGATCTCGATCTCGACCTGCGTGTTGGCCTGTGCCTGGACGCCAAAGATCTCCTTGGGCTTGGTGTAGAGCCTGAGCAAGATGTCGTCGAGCGTCAATCGGTGCTCGTTGACAGCGTCGAGCAGCAGCAAGAGCGTCTCTTCGATACCCGACTGCGGCGCAGCCACTTCGCCGATCTCCTTGGCGAGCTGGTAAGGCGTACTGCCGATCGAGAACATGTCAATGTCGTCCAGGTTCTCCCACAACGCCTTCTGGTCATCCGCCGAGGGCAGGCAGGTGGCCTGAGGGTACATCTCGGTGGTGAAGAAGAGCGCGTAGACGGCAACGTCGCAGGTCACTTGCAGACCCTTGGCCTTGGCGAGCGCGATCAGGTGGATGTCGTCGCGCGAAAGCACGTTGGTGACGTGGATCGAGCGGTTGTTCAGGCTGGCCAGCAGCAGCACCGACGCGAGGTCCGTGTTGCGCGCATCAGTGACAATCGGGCGGTCCGCAGGCCACGAGGCGAAATGAGACGCGATAGTGGCAGCTTTACTGACGTTGGAACCGAGACCGTTGAACGAGATGAGCAGCGAGCGAGCGCTGTCGGCGAGCTGGTCGATCGATTCGTGGTTGCCGGCGGTAGCAGAAACACCGAGCGAGACATCGCAGTGAGCGCCACCAGCGATCTTGCTCTCGGCGTTGGCGAGCGAGGCAGCATCGACGACACTCGATGAGACACCGGCGGGCATGACCTGGATCGTGGTGAAACCACCGGAAATCGAGGCGCGAGTGATGGCAGCAAGCTCTTCAGCGCTCACCTGGCCGTCAGCGATGCTGGGCACGAACGCGTTGACGTTGATGAGACCGGGCAGGGTGAAGGCGGTGTGGCTGGTCTTGAAGTCGACGGGCGAAATGTCGAAGCTGGAGCCCGCCTTGCGGTGACGAGCAAGCGCCTCGACAAAGAGCTTGGCGTTCTTGACGTTGGTGATGAGCGGAATGGATCGGTCGATCGCCAATCGACGGGCGCGGTAGCCCATCGAGGTGAACGACACGGGACGACGGTATTTGTTCTTGCTTGGCAGCGAGATGAAGAGCGACGAGAGACCCTGGGTCAAGTGCGTGAGCAGCGAGTAGGATGCCTTGGCGGTGTCCTCGAACTTGGACTCGTCGTCCTCGGGAAGCGCCTCGAGGTGGATGACGGGGATGCCTTGCTCCGAGTAGAAGTCGGCGGAACCGGACGAGCCGTACAGGGTGAAGCCAAGCTGGTGCAGCGTGCGCACAGCGGGCAGCAGCTCCTGCTTCTCGCTGTACGAACCGATGCTGAGCAAGACGTTCTTGGTAGGGAGGCGGATTCCGGAAGCGATCATGGCCTTTAGGTAGGCCTCGTACTTGTCGCGACCGAAACAGGCCACCTCACCGGTCGAGGCCATCTCGACGCCGAGAATCGGGTCAGCGCCAGCAAGACGGCTGAAACTGAACTGGGGCACCTTGACACCGACGTAGTTGCGGGGCAGGTCGACCGGAGGGTAAGCCTCGACGGGCAGGTCGAGCATCAGATCGGTAGCCATCTGGATGGCATCGACACCAGTGACCTTGCTGACGAAGGGGAACGATCGCGACGCACGAACATTGCACTCAATGACCTTGATGTCGTTGTTCTTGGCGATGAACTGAATGTTCATGGGACCCGTGATGTGGAGCGAGGCAGCGATCTTGGCAGTGGCCACCTCGATACGGCGAACCGTCTCGGGGTCCAAATCTTGCGGGGGCAGGATTAGGGTAGCATCACCGGAGTGGACACCGGCGTTCTCGACGTGCTCCGAGATGTAGTGCATCATCAATCGACCATCCTTGGCGACGGCGTCCATCTCGATCTCCTTGGCACCCTCAAGGTACTTGGTGATGACGACGGGATGCTCGCGGTTAATGGCGGCGGCCTGCGACAGGTAGCTGTTGAGATCTTCGGGCGAGTAGACGACGTTCATGGCGGCACCACTGAGCACGTACGAGGGTCGCACCAGCACAGGGTAGCCGAAGCGGGCACAGGCAGACTGGGCCTCCTCGAAGCTGGTGAGCTCCTTCCACATGGGCTGGTCGACTCCAATCTTGTCGAGCATGCGCGAGAATTTGTATCGGTTCTCGGCCATGTCGATCATCTCGGGCGAAGTGCCAAGGACCTTGACGTTCTGGCGGTACAAGGGCAGCGCAATGTTGTTGGGCGTCTGACCACCCATCGACATGATGACACCAGCCGACTGCTCGGTGTCATAGATGTCGAGCACGGTCTCGAGCGAGATGTTCTCAAAGTACAGGCGATCGGCCTCGTCGTAGTCGGTCGAGACCGTCTCGGGATTGTAGTTGACCATGATCGTCTTGAAACCGCGCTGGCGCAGGGTTCGGATGGCGCGCACGGCACACCAGTCGAATTCGACCGACGAGCCGATACGGTAAACGCCGGAACCTAGCACCATGACACCCTTGTCGGCGAAGTTAACGTCGTGCTCGACGGCGTTGTAGGTGGTGTAGAGGTAGTTGGTGTAAGCCGGAAACTCGGCAGCCACCGTGTCGATCTGCTTGACAAAGGGCATGATGGCGTGCTCCTGGCGCATCTTTCGGACGGCAAGCTCGGTCGAGTTGAGCGCCTTAGCCAATTGCTTGTCAGAGAAACCAAGCTGCTTGGCCTGACGAAGCATGGAGACCGGGAAGCTGGCGGCATTGTGCGAGGCAAACACCTTGTGGGCATTCATGATGCGCATGAGCTTGCTGAGGAACCATCGGTCGATGTTGCTCATCTGGTGGATCTTGTCGACCGAGTAGCCCTTGGCCATGGCGTTAGCAATGGCAAACATGCGCCTGTCGGTGGGGTTGGTGAGCTCCTCGTCGATCTCGTCGTCGGCGACAATGTCGTTCTGGCTGAATCCATCGTGGGCATAGTCGACCGACCGGATGGCCTTTTGGATGGACTCCTCGAACGTGCGACCGATGCTCATGACTTCACCGACACTCTTCATGGAAGAGCCAAGCTTGCTGCTGACACGCACAAACTTGCGCAGATCCCAACGAGGGAACTTGGTGACGACGTAGTCGAGCGAAGGCTCGAAGCAGGCGCTCGTCTCGCGCGTCACGCTGTTGCGGATCTCGTTGAGAGGAATGTTGAGACCCAGCTTGGCAGCGATGAAGGCGAGGGGGTATCCGGTGGCCTTGGAAGCGAGCGCCGACGATCGCGAGAGACGGGCGTTGACCTCAATGATGCAGTACTCGCGCTTGTGCGGGTTGAGCGCGTACTGGATGTTGCACTCTCCGACGACACCAAGGTGGCGGATGACGTTGACGGCGGTGGTTCGGAGCATGTTGTAGTCGTCGTCGCTGAGCGTCTGCGAGGGAGCGATGACGATCGAGTCACCGGTGTGGACACCGAGAGGGTCAAAGTTCTCCATGTTACAGACGGTGATGCAGTTGTTGCGGCAATCGCGAACCACCTCGTACTCGACCTCCTTCCAGCCCTTCATCGACTTTTCGACGAGCACCTGGGGCGAGTTGGCAAAGGCAGCAGCGCAGAGCTTGCGGAGCTCCTCGACGTTGTTGGCGAAACCGGAGCCGAGACCGCCGAGGGCGAAAGCAGCGCGAACAATGACGGGGAAGCCGATCGATTGGGCGGCAGCGAGAGCCTCGTCCCAGTTGTTGGCGGCGGCAGAGGGAGCGCACTTTTCGCCGATCTGTTCCATGGCCCTGGCGAAGAGATCACGGTCCTCGGTGGTGATGATGGTCTCGATGGGTGTACCAAGTACACGCACACCCATCTTGGGCAGCTCGTCCTTGATCTTGATACCGACGTTGAGTGCCGTCTGACCACCGAAGGTGCAGTAGATACCATCGGGACGCTCGTGCTCGATGACCTTGAGTACGAATTCGGGAGTGACGGGCAGGAAGTAGACCTTGTCGGCCAGACCGGACGAGGTCTGGATGGTGGCGATGTTGGGGTTGATGAGCACGGTGTAGATGCCTTCCTCCTTGAGCGCCTTGATGGCCTGCGAACCGGAGTAGTCGAACTCACCAGCCTGGCCGATGCTGAGACCACCGGAACCGAGGACAAGCACTTTGCGCACGTGGACACGCGGCACAGCAGCAGCGTTGTCGGCGAGGAGACCGCCTGTGAAGCCAACGGGGGGCAAGATGGTGGCAGGGGTGGCGCCGGGAGCAGCCTTGACAGCGGCACAGTCGACGACACTGCGGATGAAGACGTCAAAGAGGAATTCGGTGTCGCGAGGACCAGGCGTGCTTTCGGGGTGGAACTGGACACTGAAGAAGGGGCCTTCGGTGCAGTAGATTCCTTCGTTGGTGTCGTCGTTGGCGTTGGAGAAGAGAGGCTTCCAGCCGGCGGGAAGGGTGTCGGCGTTGACGGCGTAACCGTGGTTCTGGGAAGTGATGTAGCAGCGGCCGCTGATCTGGTCGGTACAGGGGATGTTGTGGCCACGGTTACCGAACTTGAGCTTTTCGGTCTGTGCGCCGGCGGCGAGAGCCAGCAGCTGGTGACCGAGACAGATACCAAAGACGGGGATCATGTTGGCACCCTTCAGCTTGAGCAGCTCGGCGATGCGGGCGATGGTGGGACCGCACGAGACAGGGTCACCGGGACCGTTGGAGATGAAGAGACCGTCAAAGGCCTCCGGCTCGGCGAGGAAGTCGTAATCCCAAGGGACGACCTTGAGTTCGACACCGCGCGAGGTGAAGCATCGGATCTGGTTGTACTTCATGCCAACATCGAGGGCGAGGATGCGGATGGGACGACCGGAAGGGTGGAGGAGAGGGGCCTCAAACTTGCCGAGCGACTCGCCGGAAGCGGTGTTGGCAGGAGTGTAAAGCTGAGGCTTCTTGCACGAGACGCGCGCGACCAAGTTCTGGGCGTTGGGGTCGGCGAAGGGGAGATCGACGACGACCTTGCGCCAGTCACCGGCAGCAGCAGCGTCGGCGATGGAAGCGCCAGGCTGAGGCATGAGAAGCTTGCCGAGCATGCTACCCTGGTTGCGGATCTTCTTGGTCAGAGCTCGGGTGTCGATGCCGTAGATGGCGGGCACGCCGCTCTCCTTGAGCCAGTCCGACAGGCCGGTCTGGGCGAGGTAGTGGCTGAACTCGTGGCTGTAGTACGACACGACGAGACCGGCCACGTGAATGCGGCTCGACTCGAAAGGAGAGGCGAGGAGCTTTTGAATGCTCTTCGCAGCTTCCTCCCGGCTGGGCACACCGTAGTTGCCGGCGAGGGGGAAAGTGAGGACGAGGATCTGACCCTCGTACGAAGGGTCGGTGATCGACTCGACGTAGCCAACCATACCTGTAGATGGCCGTATGAGAGGGGATGGAGAGAGCGGGTCAGATGATCTAACACACTGCGATCGCCGACGGCTGCGTCGAAAGCAGCAGCAGGACGAGACTTACCAGTCTGGAAGACACATTCACCAGAGACGGACTTGCCTTCGGCACCGAAGCTGATACCTCGGTAGGCGGTGCCGTCGGCAAGTTCGAGAACCATCTCGGTGCTGTCCTCTTGACCGAGAGGAGGGCTAGTTGCGGGGGGGAAGAGGGCGACCTGGCCGTTGACGGGCGAGGCGATCTGGCCTGCTCCCAGCGAAGGGGTGGCCATGTTGACGGTCTAGAAAAGGGTGTAGAAAAAAGAAAGCAGGCTTGGAATACGGAGACGAAGACTCGGAGAGAATTTCCTGTGAATGCGACAGGAAACCAGTTTTTTGAGAGAACCGGGACTAACTCGAAAGAAGGTGATGAACCTCGGACAGCAATCAGAGCTGAACAGAATGAAGGTTACTTTTGAAGGGCGTGCAAGGGCTCCGTGAAGAGTGATCCTTGGAAAGGGAAAGAGAAGATTCGTCTACCGAGACAATAGAGCGAATCTACCAGACGAGATAATCGCAATTGCGATGCTCGAAAGAAACGATGATGATGGTGGTGGTGATGGACGATGAACACAATCAAGGAAGGAGAAGGGCGTCAAGGGCGCGATTTGGATTGGCAGATCAGATCGAGTTCTTGGACCTCGTTTCGACCTCCTTCCTGTCTTGCGTGATGTGTTGTGCTCGCTAAGAGAGGAAGGAAGGAGGAAAGGAGGAGGAAGAAGAAGGAAGAGTAGAAGGAAGATGGTGGGAGCGCCGTGCTAGCGACTAACCTTCTCCAGACTCAGCCTGCCAAACCAAAAAAAAAGTTTTTTTTGAGCTTTCGCTCGAGCCGCTGGAGACGGACAAGGATCTCTCCGCTCTGTGACGGCAGGATCAGCAGCCAGCCGATGCTCAGACGCGAATCGTTACTTGCAGCGCTTTGTGTTTGAGTTCACTTTTCTGGAGCTGCAGTCTGTGCGACGGCTCTTTCAAGAAGAAAATCGACGCTCGAGTAGGAATTCGGGTGCTCCGCATAAGAGCGGCATCTGTGCTCTGTGTCGCCTGAAAAAATTTTAAAGCTTGGAATCTTCAAATTCTGTTGCAGCTTGAAGATCCGACGCGGTCGTGCATTTCATTTTGACTCTGATGTGCCGACGCGACGGTAAAGACAAACCAAAGGCTGTCGCGCTAAGAGCTGCTTTCCAACCGCCGATTTCCAGTTTCTCATGGAGACAACTCTACCTCTCACGGTTTCTGCATATCCGACCGACGGATTCCTGCTGGCGAAAAGCAATTGACCGATCTGAGCCGACCTTGCATAGACCGAACCAAGCAGTGCATCGATCGAGTCAGGCATTTGCTTTGTGCCGCGTGGTTGATTCAAATGCCGCCCTCGCCAGTCAGGTTGACCCTTCCCGAAGATTCCATGTCTGGACTCGGACGAGCGATCGGGCTGTTGCTCTGCCGATTCACCTCTGCCCTTCTGCATGCAAAGCTTATGAACCTCGTTGAGATCAAGGCGAGCCATCGTATAACAACGCGGGGTATCATCATTGATGCTAGTGTACAAAACGTGTTGGGAACGAGACTGACATGCATTCGGTAATCCAGCGACCGATTCGAGGCAATGCTGAGCTACTGGCGCCGACGCTTGTTCTTGAGCTTGGCCAGGCATTCCGAGCAGTACCACTTTTGTGGCAGAGGCTTGGTGACACCCACACATCCAATGTGGAACCATTCCTTGCAGTCCGGGTCGTTCTCCGCATTGTCGCATCCGATCATCTCGCCAAATGAGACGCGCTGGCAGAAGCAGTACGGCGTGTCGTCCTTCTCTTCGCCTTCCTCGCCCTCGCCAGGTTCGCCTTCGAAGCCTTCCAGACCTGCCAACCCGCCGAGCTCGGTGCTCTGCGACAGTCCTGATCGACCCGGCCCACTGGCTGACAGCGAGCCTCCGCGTGCTTTGCGCGAGGCGCCGAATCCTCGCACTGTAGCCCCCAATCCTCGTTCTGGCGGTGCTGGCGAACCAGATTCGACCGGTGTCGTGCGTCCAGCTGCTCTTGCTCGAGCCGCCGCGCTCATCGGTGTGCCTGGCGTCAGCGTGCCAACGCCTGGCGACAACAAGCTGCCCTTGCGCTTGAGACCCGCTAGCGGAGAATCCAGCTCCACCGCGGGACTCTTGAGACCTGCCAACGCTGCAGGAAGCGCAGACAAAGACGGAAGCACCGGCGTGCCAATCGATGCGGTCGAAGAGTAGTTGCTGAGCACAGCTGGGCTGATCTTGTTCATTTCTTCCTTCAAGTGCTTGTGGTGCGCATGAATTGCGCGCCAGAGACGCAGGCTCAGCGCTTCCTTCTGCGAGCTCCACTCGTCTGCGCGTCCGTAGTCGGTCCGAATCTTGTCGGCCAGCTTTTCCGCCTTGACCCGATCCGCTTCCGACAGATTGCCTGCTGGATTTGACAGTCCACCACTTGACTTCTGCAGCAACTCTCTCAGCTGTACTTCGCGTGCTGTGATTTTGGGAAGCAGATCTTGAATCTTGGCGTCCTTGTGCTCGATCTCCTTGACCATATGGCTCACCTCCTGCGGCAAGTTGTCCAAGTTGGAGATGAACTCGGTTGCAATGGCAGCAATCTCTGCTGGGTCCTCGATGTGCATCATAATGCCAGGCTGTAGCACTGATGCGGCGTCAGAAGGGTATGTTTGCTTTGATCGTGAGCGAGAGCAGGTGTGCAGGGGTGATTGTAGGCGTTGATACTGTTCTACAAGTCGGCCCTGCTGCAAAAGACAAGGCTAGCCAGATGCCTTCAGCTGTGTGTGTGTGTGTTTTGGATACGATCCGTAATATCCAGACTGCCGGCGCTGAACAACTTCGTGCTTCGATACACCTTGAACTTGCAATAGCACTGATGGATCCGGGTCGAGATGATGATGGTAAGGGTCCAGGCTGCAAGCGCGACATCCGCAGCTCAATTCCGACGCTTTCTCGCCAAAATGGAAAGGCCGAGTCCCGAGACTTGCACCAAAATTTTGGGTTTGTTGCGTTTCTTCCTGCTGCAGCTCAATTCCCTCCACACCTTTCCACCTCGGCTGTGGTACATGCTGATCAACAGCATACACTGCATTGCTTCCTCCTTCTAGACGCAGCTTGCTCTTCGGCACGTGATCGCTGCAAAAGACCGATCCCTGCCTTCCGTCGCAATCTTTTTCGAAAGCGATCTGGTCGAAGTCCAAGATGGCCGACACACTAGAGGAGAACTACCTCATCGACGACAACGACGCGGGTTCACTAGTCGGCTCCGATGATGGAGCCGTTAGCATCCATGCCGAACCCGAACTTTCAAATGAAGATGACGAGACACAGCCATCAAAATCTATGCAGAATGCGCAAGAGACCAGGGATGAAGCTGCGCGCAAAGAGGACAAGAAGCGCAAACGCAAGGAGAAAGACAAGGCTCGCAAGCAAAAGGTAAGTGCATCGCTCCAGATGCTTAGCTCGGATAGCACAGGCTCCAATTTTGCAACGTGATGGAGAATGTCTACTGATACTGTTCCTTCTCGCTACACAGAGAGCAGCTGTATCAGCCGAGCTTGCGCAAGGAGTGGGATCCGTAGCCACACAACCACCCGACATGCAGGCCGACTACCTTGCCACCAAACAGGGCGCCTCGTTCTCCAAACTCAGCGAGCTAGAACTCGAGGAGCTGCGTCTTGGCGAGGGAATGCTGCTCGACACGAGCGGCTTCGATCAGCCTCGTACGCTAGCATCTCTTGCCGACTTTGTGCGCTCGTGCATGCCGGCTCTCGTCAAGAGTATCAACGATGCCAAACACCCCTCGGTCAGCCAACCAGGTTGTCCTGCACTCATTATGCTGACAGGCAACGCACAGCGCGCTGCCGATCTGGCGCGTGGCCTACGGGCCCTCGGACCCAAGCTTCCCGAAACCACTGAAGGCTCCGACGGCGACGATCGATCTGCAGCACCTGCAAAGCGACAGAAGCTCGCAAAGCACGACAAGACGCAGGGAACAAAGACAGAGGGCAGATCCGTTGTCAAGGACGGCGCAACCAAGGAGCTCTTGGGTGGCTTCTCCGTTGCCAAGCTCTTCGCACGCCACTTCAAGCTGAAGGAGCATGAAGCCTGGTTGCGCCAACACACCACGCCGCTGGCCGCCGGTACACCGCAGCGAGTCGCAGCATTGATCGCGTCGGGGAGTTTGCGGCTCGACTCGCTCCAAGCGATCGTAATTGATCAGACATGGGTCGATGCCAAACAACGCAGCGTCTTTGACAGCTTCGAGACGCGGGACGAGCTCATGAAGCTGCTGGCGCTCGATGCGGTGATGGGTTCCTTCAAGAGGTCCAAAGTGCCAGCGAAATTGGTTCTCTTCTAAGCCACGGTGGAAACGGACTTGTTCATAGATTCTCTCGCATACAGCATCTCTTAGAAAACCAAGCATCTCAGCACTTCGTATCTGTCAAATTTAACTTGGCTGTCCAGGCATGCAAGCAGACCCGATCGCGACACTTATGCATGAAAGACTTGTTTTGACCCGCTGTGCGTAGGGGCGATGTCGCATGCAGTTCAGCGACTCAGTTCGGTAAAGGCTGGTAGACTTCGGCGCCTCGATCTCCGCCTCTGCATAGAGCATACAATGAAGTGGTCAATAAGGTCCAGTGCGCGTCAAGGCGACGTGAGGTGGTCGAGCAACTTCTTGGAGAGCAGCAGCTGCAGAAATGCTGCCTCTATGCTCTGTGCTTTTCCGCGTTACATTCTTCGATGTTGCAGGCTGACATGACGATACAAGACTCAGGCAAGCGCCGCCTCTCTCCAATGCCATCGCGTGTGTTGCTGTCAGAATGTTGGCTTGCTCTGCCTAGCAAGTCCTCTTCCTTTCTCTTGTCCCGGAGCTCCCTTCGCATCGTCCGAAAGCTCCTTTGCCGTGTCAGAGAGGAAAGGCCGACGGTAGAGGGCTGGCGCTGCGAGCTCTGCTGATCGACAGGATGCTTTTGCGCGCAAGTCATGATTGCGCCACGGCGTTTGTGATTACAGAGAGGCAAACTGTTTGGCTACAAAATTCCAAATTCTAACAGCACCGCTCTCTGAGAAATCAAATCTCGTCGCCGTGTTGACAGCGGCTCTAGTTCAGCTCGCTCACACGCTCCTCCTCCTCCTTCTCTGCCCATCCAGGCTCTCTGACCAGTCACTTGGCTTTCCGGCGTCACTTTCTTCAAATGCTCATATGTCCATCTTGTCCACAGACTCAGTCTCGACCATGGCTAAGCAAGCAGTCAAAGCTCGAAGTCTTCGAGCCGGCGCAAAAAGCGTGATCTGGATGTCGCTGCACAGCGCATATAGCTCCTTCCTTCCCGTTTCCAGCGGCGTCCGTCCGTCTCGCTCGCCTGTGTACTCGGTTGTCCTGCAAGATGGCTGTATGCGCAGATCCTTCACGCGCACCTGAAAGGCTTCTTGCGCCTCGCCTTCAGTCGGCTTTCACTGGCTTGAGGTTACGACAACGAGCAGCGCATCACGGCAGATCAACAGAAACTTCTGTCCAGCCTCATTCCTCCTCCTCGCCGCCTACAGAGAAGGCTTAGCAGGCGCAGCCTGTAGAAAAGCCGCCCTCGCCTAATCTCTTTTGATCTGGGGCCATGAAATCGTTTCGGCCAGCTGTGGACGGTTTTGAACTCGGGTGCTGCCGCCGAGCTCTCAAGAGCGGCTTTCCGACATCTTCAATGTTGAAACCAGCGTTAGACAGCATAGCACAAGATGCGGGGCGAATAGCTCAAACGCCCTCGCTTTCACGTCGCTTGCAGGAAGATGACAGGAGCGGTCAGGTGGGTCCGCGTAACTCCTTCGCTGTGCGCAGTCTAGCTTCGCCAATCTAGCTGCGTTGCAGTCTCTCAACCTTGTCTTCTTGTTGAACGAGCCTTCGACTCTGTGACTCAGCTAAGCGTGCTCGCTCACTTTACCTCTCTCCTCACCCACATAAATAGAGCCCCCGTCGCGCAAGGTTCCTTGTCTTCCCTCAGTAGCGATCCGCATTCTCTCAATCACCTCTGGCCCTCCATAGAACCTCGCTCAAGCAACGGCGAGATCGACGAGAGCCTCCCCAGCATCAAGGTAGCACCATTCGCGCACAACTTCATCCTATTGCTCATTGTAGAAACACTCATCTCGAAATCTGCTTCCCTTTTGGACCTTCCTCAACGACCTCTGGCGTCACTCCGCCCAGGTGAAGATGAACGAGCCCGGAACAAGATCACAAGCCCACGCCAACCATGACACTTCAGTGGGCCAGCACAACCTATGTATCAGACCCGAGAGCCCAGCAGCTGCCGTCCTACAACAAGCCGTCAGAGGAGTACAGGACTACCATAACATTTTCTACCATTCCGGACTCTCAGACGTGGACCCAAGAGAGGCAATTCATGTCCCCGGGGGCGTCCCTTTCGGCTACGGTATGCTGCATGAAGATGCCGATTATAGCCGTCAACGGTACGGCGCAGGGCGTGTCAACATTGAAATGCAGAGCACTGCGGGTCAATGTTTCCGCGGCTACGGCTTATACTCATACGAAGAAGCCGACATTGAAGGCGATCTGGACGATTCCCTAGCTTCCGCACACTCTTTCTGGGACACCTATCCCGGCGACACGACCGGCGACACTATAGACACAATAGACTTCGACGCTCCTGTACCATTGCTTGATCGAGACGGGACGTGGAGAGGTACACCGCCATCAAAGAGGACAGAGATCGAACACGAGACTCGAATGCAGCAACATGGACACAAGAGACAGGCAAGCCTGGACTGTCTCGACCATACCGTTGCGTTTCTCGATCAGCAGTCTTTGAAGAGCCGTCCTTCCCGAGGCACTCGACGCCAAAGAGCGACCAGCGAGGACGATGCTGCTGTCGTACAAGGCTCAAGCTCCCTTAAGAGGATTCGATTAAGTCGAGAGGAGAGGGAAGAGGACGAACTACGATGCATCACCAAGCCTAGGAAATCGAAGAAAGGCGGGTCAAGCGCACAACCTCGCTCGAGGCACTCTGAATCTAGCCAAAAGGCGACAACGAGAGAGGCGATCGGCTCAGAAGTCCGTCGGCATAGTGCTCATGCTAGCAGTGATCTAGGCAGCGACTCCTCTTCGAGAGTGCTGTCATCGCCTGCGTCCTCTCTGGGTAGATACAGACTCAAAAAGAAGGATAGCGTGCCTGTTCTCAGCCTTGTGGAGTTGATGACTCCACCTCCGCCGCCCAGTCGATCGACTCGACAGTCTGACGAGGCTGTTCACGGCTCCGCAGACTGGCAAGATGACGATGCTCAAGGGCAAGCCGAGCACCCTGTCAATGAACACCGTCGCCGGTCTCGTCGCTTGAGAGCATCCGACGTCAAGGGTCAGAACCAGATGCAAGAGCATGTCGAACAGCCGGACGTGAACGAGGATGTGGAAAGTGACGCGATCCGACCCGGCCGTGGAAGAAGTCAGAAAGGCTTGAAACATGCACTGAAGGAAGAGCCTGAAGATATCCTCGGGCCAACACGCGCACAAGATCGAGGAACGCGAACCTTTCCGCCTCATTGGGAGGTGCATCCGGAGTTTCCTTTGCTGTATCAGCGATATTCGGTGCCGTCGTCTGTCAGCCCCGAGGTGCTCGAGATGCTTCTTCGACATGTCGACAGCGCAAGGTGAGTTTCGGATCTTCCCTCTGCACACACTGCCTACGGTCCCAGAACTGACACATCTTTCCCCGCTTTCATCAATTGACGGACGCGTCGCCAGTGTCGACGAGAAATTCCGCGACATCGTCAATCGAGCTCATCGATGTCTCGGCACCTTCAACAAGCCTCGCTCCATATTGGATCTATACACGCCGCGTTGGGTCAAGGGCGTCAGTGCTCAAAAAGTGGGCATGTGTCCTGTGTGGTAAGTGTACTCGGGTCGGCACAGACGTGGATGATCGACAAGGATATCTGACCTCCATTTCAATTCCGTTGCTTCGACACAGCTACGAGGACGGCAAAGTCAAATTTCTCAAGACCAAGTTTTCAGGTGGGTCACTAGCAACCTTATCGTGGCAGACTCCGCGCCAGAACATTCGTCTGACCAACCCTTTGCTCGACCACACTGTTTCTGAAAATCAGCCTACAATTACCACTTGCAAAACTTCCACGGCATCTCGGCGCTTACTGGTCTCCCCTTCACCCCACCTTCGCACTTCCGTCTCAAGCCTCGACCCCACTCGAGGCCGACGGAACGCGCTGAGATCATCCAAGGCCACTGCCACAGCTGCCGCAAGTGGATTGACATGCAAGGACCCAGAGAGACCGAGGTCAAGGTTGCCGAGATCTTCTGGTGGAAACACGCGCAGGCATGTCATCGGAAATCGACGACGCCGGTGGGGGTGGATGGATTCTTTGTCCAGGATGTGTGGTTCGAGAGGGTGAGGGGCGTATTGCAGTTGATTGATGGGTATGAGGGCGAAATTGGAAAGTTGCAGGCTGGTAACAAGTAGGCTGGAGAAAGGAGGACAGATAGACGGATACTTTAGACGCGTGAGTTTTGCATTTGTCGGCAATCCTAGACTGTTGTGTAACGTTTCTCTCAAGAACCGATGTCCGCCACTGAATGGACGAGAACCTCCACCCTCACCCTCTTCTCCAAGGGGCCTCCCTCACAGCATCCAGCACCCCCCTCGCTCCACCCTCATGATACCTGCCCACCCAACCGCTCCACCTCCCCCTCACAGCGGCCCAAACGACCAACCCGCCAACCACCAAGATATACAGGCTGATAATCCCTTGATCCTTACCACTATCCCTCTCAAAACATTTCGCCCAGACGTCACCCTCTAGACCGGTTCCGACGTCGTGATCTGCGTGTTCGAGTTTTGCGCCTTTGCACATTTCCAGCCCCTGATCTAGGCAGAACTGCCGCGTGCACGTGAGGCAGGGTTTGGAAGGATCGGATGGGGAGTAGAGGGGAACGAGGGTGGAGTTTGTTTGGAAGCAGGTGCATTTGCAGAGGTGGAGGTGGCGGCTGTTCTGACGAGGTGATACGAGAGGAGATGATCGGGGCAGAAGTAGCGAGGTGGTGGCAGGTTGAGGTGAGGCGAGGGTTGGGGAGATGAAGGCGAGGATGCAGGTGATCATGGCTAGAATGAACATGGTGGTGCCCATGTATCTGCTGGCGCGGCCCCTGCGTGGTCCACGGAAGCCGGATCGAGACCGAGAGCTGAACGAGCCGCGCGACGGCGAGCCTCTATGACGCGATTCGAAAGCACCGCGAGATCGGGGACTGGAGGACGCACGCGAGGAGCCAGAAGGGGTCGATGGTGTCGAAATTATGGTGACAGGCTCGTCATCTTGCTCCCACAAATACGTTGCATCGACATAAGAATCAGCCATTGCGGCGCTCTGAGGCGATGCGGACATAGCAGCAGCAGCAGCTGGGGCAGCGGAGGCAGCGGAGGCAGCGCTTGGCTGCTGTGCGAGCATCTGTGCAAAGCCTCGGCTCAACTCGTTCTCCATTTCATCCTCACTTGGTGTTTGAGTCGCTTCCGCTTGTGAGGACTGCCGTGGTGCCGGCGGTTGTGATGGTTGCGAACGTACGCGAGCGAGCTGGTCGACCATGCCCTGGATCAGCGACTGTCGCTGTGCTATTGTCTCCAGATCCTGGACCGTAGTTGGTCTCAGCACTTGAATCTCCGGTCGTGGTGATGCAGATTCAGCGGAAGATGTGGCAGCGTTCGACGAAGGCATCACCGTTGCGTCACTGGAAGTTGAGCCCGATGCAGGCCTCCTGTGTGCCGTGAGAGTGTTGATAATTGCCTCCGGTAAACCTCGGAGAGATGGAAAGTCTTGCAGATGTGGTTGCAAAGCTCGCGCCACCGTGCCAACGGCGGTACTAGTCAGGAGCATGGCGTCTGAATACGTGATTGGCTCTGTAGTCGAAAAGTCAAGTTCTGGACCAGAACTGGTGGTTGCTTGAGCTGAAGGTGCATCTTGCGTTGACGCTGCTGCTGCTGCGGCCGAAACACTGGCGGTTTGCTGCTCGTCAGGGAGGTCTACAATGACGTCGATGTGGACTGCATCGAAAGTGAACTCCTTCTTGGCCCTCGAGTCGGAGTTCGAGGAGCTGTGATTTGAAGACGACGGTGTAGGCCTGAAGAAGAAAGCATCCGTCCAATCCTCCCAGTCCTGTTGGGTCTCGATCAAGACCTTCTGTCCGTCGAGATTGACAGACAAAGCTCTTATGCTCTCCTCCTGTATCCCCCAGCGCTTTGCAATCTGCCTCTTATACGGTGCATCTGGCTGAACAAAACGATGAATGACACCGTCAGGGACGATATGCCATGGTCCAAGATGAGCGGATAGGTTGATGCACTTGACCGATTCGACGCGGTTGTTGGTGAGCAGAAGCGTGCTTTCGGGACGGGCTGAAGCTGGAAGATGGACGAAAGCGGGGAATCTGACGATGCCGTTCTCGAGTGTTGCCCACAGCTTCTGTTGAGACTGCGACATGATGCGTCTGTGGTGATCCGCTCGGGCCCGGAGTCGGTGTCAAGGTTGAAGGCCGGAGGGGCAACTTGAGCACTGTCAAGGTGTGCGTGGTTATCTGGTGGAGCACGACAACAGAAGCTTCGCAGCGGCTAAACTCTCAAGTCTAACACTAACACTAACTGGATTTTGGCCATTGTCGCGCTGGCCTGTGCGAGTGTGCATCGATGAAAGAGAAAGTCGGCTGCACGCGTTCATTCTATAATAATTTCGACTCCAGCCAGGCAGTAGTTAGCATTGCACTGCACTACTCTTCGCTGCACAGCTTCGGAGTCGCGCAGCAGACCGCATCCACATCACCGCAGCTTGGACAAATTGAAAGCAACACGCAGTCGCTCGAGACGCAAGCGAGCTTTCTTTTGCGCAACTCCCACTCCTTCTTTCCATCACCACCATCAGTACCATCAATCACTCTCAGCCCAGTCCTACCAAATTTGCCAAGATGGATCAGTGGAAAAAGTTCACCAACAACGTCGCCAGCAATGTCGCGCCCCAGTTCCAGAACATCGGCAAGACGTTTGGCAACCTCAACCAGCAGGCGCGTGAGCGCTTCGGTGCCGTAGACCAGGAAGACATCACCGAGTTGCCCCAGGAATACAAGGATCTTGAACGTCGCGTCGATGCGCTCAAGAGCGCGCACACCGGCCTCATGAAAGTCGCCAAGGTCTACGAGACTGAGAGCTATGACTATCCCGTAAGTTGATGCTGCTCAACAATTTTGTATTGTCTGCATCGAGCACGTCGCTGACCGAATGATCTCCAATCGCATCATATCCGAACAGACTCAGCTCCAGGAGAGCATCACTCAGCTTTCTGCATCGGTCGGTCACAGCGTCACTTCGTGGGCTGCATCCGCAACTCGCGGTACCAACCTTCCCAAGGTCTCTCCCACCGCTCGTCCCGAAAAGGTCAACAAGACGCTCCACCACGCCCTCTCCCGTGCTGCCGCAAGCGGCGCTTTGCAACTTGGCGCCGATCCATCCAACCTTTCCGGCCTGCCCAAGCTCGACACCGCCACCGCTCCTGGATCCGAACCCGCCGTCAAGGACGACTCGAAGCTCGGCGAGGCGCTCCAGAAGTTTGCCATCGCAGAAGACCGTCTTGGCAACGCACGTTTGACACAGGACGACCAGATCACTCAGGGCTTCAATGTTCCCTTCAACTCGTTTGGCGCTCAGATCACCCTCGCCATGAAGGCACGCCAGAGCGTAACCGACGCCCGTCTCCACCTGGACAGCTGGAAACAGTCGCTCAAGTCGGCTGAGAACGCCGGTGCAAGCGCCAAACTCGAACAGTACAGAGGAGAGGTCGAACAAGCCGAGGACAAGCTGGTCGCCGCTACCGAGGAGGCTATCAGCTTGATGAAGCAGGTGCTCGAGAACCCGGAGCCAATCAAGAGCTTGAGCGCCTTTATCAAGGCTCAGGCCGAATACCATGCGGCGGCTGCCGAGTTGCTCGCGAGCGTTCAGCAGGAGTTGGCGCAGTTGGCCACATCGGTGGAGAGCGATTACCGCATGTCGCGTGGCTAGATGCGCGACAATAGCGATAGCAGAGCGAGATGAGGAGGTTCGAGTTGGACAGACGCTTTTGTGTGTATATATGATAACGGCAATTCCATCTATTCCCAGAGTGCAAGCCGAAACGATCACGGTACGGAGGAGCACGACCTCTAGGTGGGGATCTCCCTTCCAGCTTCACGCCAAGCTTCCTCGACTACGCCGCGCAATCTGGTGAACGCCGTGTCGACCTGATCGAGCGGAACCTGGCTGAAAGATGTGCGTACGTACGCGCTCGTCTTCCTCTCAGCAGCGCGGGAAGGAGGTTTGAAAGCTACTCCGGGGAGGGCGAGTACGCCGGCGGCTTTGGCTTTGGTGCTGATGAGGTCGAACGAGTCGCCGTCCGGGGAGTCGGTGGTGGGGGGAAGGTTGAGTTTGATCCAGAGGAACATTCCTGCTGTGGGAGTGGTCCAGGATGCGATGGAGGGGGAGGCGGTGAGGATGCGCGTGGCGGAGGATTCGAAGTGTTGCAGACGATCCTGGTAGAAGCGAGCGACGTTGTCCGCGTGCTTGAGGAACCCTTCCACGCCCCACTTGTTCAACAGTGCGTAGGCGATCGCCTGACTCGTTCCGCTGGTCTGCAGATTCCTACTGCTCGTATCCAAGTCGATGGCATCCAAGATCTCCTTCGGACCGGTCACGAATCCCAACCTCAATCCTGCACTGAGGATCTTACTGAAGCTATCGAAACGAATCACCCTCCCCACTCCGCCGCCATCCTGCGCTTCCAGCTGGAAGTAGCTCTTACCTCTAGTCCTCGTCACCGCATCTGCACCCGGTTCGAGACCTTGAAAACTGAGAAAGTAGTACGGATCGTCTTCGAGCAGCAACAGATTGTGTTTGCGGACAATCTGGAGGATGGAGCATTTCCGGTCGTCCGAGGCGGATGTTCCGGAAGGATTGGCACCGGTAGGAGTCGTGTAGAGGAATTTCGGGAAAGGTGAATCCCGCGTAGCCGGATCACTCTTCCAATTGGAGAGCAAGGCATCTAGCGCTTTTGGTTCGACACCTTCAGCATCAGTCTCGGCTTCGAACATCTTCGCCTTGTGGGCCACCAGGCTCGGCAGGATCCCCGAGTATGCCGGCGATTCGAGAACGACCGAGTCGCCAGCATCGATCAAGGCTTCGAACGTCTTTGTCAGCAGATCCTGCGAACCATTTCCGAACGAACACCTCCACACCTGGCCCGGTTGCGAGGCCTCCTGGACGCGCGCTCGCGAGTGAACCTTGGACTGGAAATCGATGATCCACTCGACGAGCTTGGGAAGACCGCTAGTGGCCGAGTACTGAAGTGCGATGTCGAGGTCGGGTCCTTCGATGGAAACGGTCTCCGTTTCGCCAGCGGGGTGGTTGGACGGTTTTAGTTCGAGTGTGATGCGTTGGAAGGGGAAAGTTTCGGAATTGGGTTTGCCGGAGAGAAGCGAGACCATGCCCGGGATGAGCTCGGCGGGGAAGAGGGAGCGGATCGCGGACGGCATACGGTTGCGAGCCGAGGACGAAAGGAAGGCCGCATAGTCGAGCGGCGTGGACGATGTCGAGGATGCCATGGCGAGCTGTCTATGGGGTGGAATTTGGCAGGGGGGAAGGATGGTGGAGTGAGGGGATGGGAAGTGTGGGGTCGTCAAATAGGAGTTGCCGGACTGGAAGATGGATTGCCGCATTGACCAATTCACGTTAACAGCGTTGCCGGACTAGATACCGAACGCTCTCCACATTCTTTCTTTCTACACCGCTGCCGGCAACCCTGAACTGAAAGGTGCTCCCGAACTCTCTGCGACTGATTGTGCCGGCAAATGTTGGACTGAGCCGAGTGCTGGCTGGACGCTGCCAGAGGTAAGTGGCAACACCGAAAGGCTTCCGATGCATTTTCGGCGAATTGCCGAACACTGCTTTTGGCTTCACGGCAATGCCGACGCGACTTATAGACTGCGTCATCTCAGCATACTCGAGTTCCTCGGTGCAGGAACAAGGTCCTGTATCCGGGTCTGGCACTAGCACTCAACTTCTGACCCCAGGCCAGCTTGAATGAAGAGGCAAAAGGAACATTTGCAATTGCTCTTGGTACGGTCGCAACCGCTTTGACTCCGCTACAACTCCCATCGACCAAACATGCGGTCGAACAGGCTCATGATCGTCCACTTCCTATTCTCGGCCTCCGGGAACACCACCGAGCGATCCGAGTAGAACACCTCGTCATCCACCTCGTCGCCCTTTCGAGGCAAGCAGTGCATAAACTTCCAGTCGGGCTTGGCACCTCCTTGCTTTGCCATCTGTTCGGTCACCTGGAACCCGGCGAAATCGCGCAGACGCTGTTCCTTTTGCGCCTCGTCTCCCATGCTGATCCATGTATCAGTGACGATGATGTCGGCATCCTTGACGGCTTCTGCGGGGTCGTTTGACCACGACACTTGACCGAGAGCTACAGGTGAAGAGCCGGATTTCGAAAGTGCCGACAGTCCGTCTTGCATTGTACCCCAGACGAGATCGTCGCGTTGGTACGCAGGACCCTTGGGTGTAGCGACGGAAAGATGGATGCCGAGTCGAGGATATGCGACGAGCATATCGTTGAGGATGTTATTGCTGTCTCCCACCCAAGCGACTTTGAGACCCGCCAACGAAGAGAGATCAGTAGGCAACGACGCGGGTGCGTAGATCTCCAGCATGGTCTGCAAATCGGCCAGAATCTGGGTTGGGTGGTATCGGGCCGAAAGAGCGTTGATCACGGGTACGGTCGAGTGCTTGGAGAGCAACTCGACTTCATCGTGTCCGCCAACGCGAGCCATCATACCGTCCACCATCGAGCTGACCACCTTGGCCGTATCGTACAGGCTCTCGTTTACTCCCAATTGGATATCGGATGGAGCCAGGAACAGACCTGTGCCGCCGAGGGACGCGACGCTGGTTTCAGAGGCGACGCGGGTTCGGGTGCTGCGCTTGCTGAACATGATGGCGATGGATTTGTTCTTGAGGCTCTGCACGATGGGCGAGTCCCCGGAAGCGAGCTGCTTGCGCGATGATTCGGGCAGCGCTTGCGAGACAGCTCGGAAGGCAGACTTGAATTCGATGGCCGACTCGAGAACCGATGCGATTTGAGCCGGAGACAGGTCGGCAAGCGTCAGGAGATGGGGTGGGGTGCGGGTTGCGGAATTAGCAGAGGTCGAGGCGCAACGACGCATAGCTGGAGTAGCCGCGTTGCGCAGCAACGTAGCCGCTACGTGTCGTCCTGTCATGCTTGGTGTGATTCTTTGTCAATGTAGGACGATCGAGAATGTGATGGTCTGTAGTTGATGAGGTCGATGAAAGAAGAAAGGAGGTTTTGTTCTAAAAAGTGGCCCCGCCGTCCTATCGAGAGTGACAATATTCGTGACTCTTTTTCCCTCGAGTCACGTCGCAGCACGTCTGTCTCCAATCCCGAAGATCAAAAGTTTAAGATGAAATTTCAACCGAGGCGTTGGTCAGGACAAGGCTCATCTCGAACGTCAACCGGCTTGGCCCTCCATCGACATGGGTGGCTGGCTATCCAGCCAGCTCGTATCGAATCTCGGTCCTTTCTCTACCGGATGGCAATCCCGGTACACTTCTGGCTTGCTTTTTTTAACAATATCACTGATCGCTCGCATCACATACGGGATGATAAGAGAGGAGAGTTGTATTGAACAATCAGAGACCTGTTTCTGTACATGCCGAACAAAGTCTTGGAAAAGGCGCCTTGATTGCTTCGTGCCCAAACGGACGAAGCGCGCGCGTTGATCCAGGTATGGGAAAGAGATGCGTATTATCGGCGAAGTGGCGGAACTGCAAATGCGAACAACGGTGCAAAAACGACTAGAACCATGGATGAGTCACGAGCGATGAATGAGGCAACCGACCCTTGAGCGGGTCGATCATCCTCGAGGCGTGTAGGGTAGCATTCGATGGTGAGAGGCTTTTGAACCAAGACGGGAAAACGAAACTATGGAGCCGGTCCGACGTGGGTCGGACATACTAGTATGAACACAGTGCAATCGAGGCAGGGGGGGG